TAGCAGTAGTAGAAATAGTAGAAGTGGAAAAAACACAGATGGCAGGAGTAGAAGCAATAAAAACAACGGCAAAAAAAGGAAGTAGCAGCTAAGCTGAAAGTAGTAGAAGTGGTAGTGGTAGCGGCCGCAGCAGTAGTAGTTGCAGCAGCAGGAGTAGCAGTGGTAGTAGCAGCAGTAGTAGTCGTCGTCGTAGTAGTAGTAGTGGTAGTGGTGCAGTAGCACAAGCAGCAGCAGCAGCCGTAGCAGTAGCAGACCAATAGCATTGTTGTTGCTGCTGGAGTAGTAGCACTGGCAACAGCACAAGTAGTCGTCGCCGAAACAGAGAAAGCACTCACAACATGGTACCATCAACATCAGACTCATTCTAATATCTTTGCTGATCCAAGTCGTCATGACCGTTATGATCATCAACCTTAGTTACAAGCCTAACCATTATCTGCAACCACCGTCATCATATGCATCATCAGTGCCGTCATCACCACCTGCAACAATCAACATCATCATCGTATCAACTATCATCGTGATCACATGCTCTAGCACTTCCTTGTGAAGCTTTAAGATAACATCGAAAACTGACCCTGAACCGTGGCGTATCAAATGCAACACCCGGGCCGAAGGGGAGAGGCCTGCACCACGAGCGGTGGTGGTGCCACGTTGGCGAGCTTCGTGCCCTCCCGTGAGGAGACGACTAGAGCTATGGCTTTGGGTTTAAGATTTGGAGTCTTGCAAGTTTGGGTTCAAGGTTGATTAGGGCGTGGGGCTTAAGCAGGCCTCATCCTAAGCTATCTTATCAATTCTGAACCCATAGCAGACACGAAAATCCTTTAACTACCGAAACCCCCCCAGAGCCAAATCCCTCACGGCCTAGTGCGCAGTTTTTTGTCGTAGGCATGCGGAGGTTTAGAAAACAACCACGGATCGGGGGACCGAAACAAATCTAAATCAACTGAATCATGTCAAACGTAGATGTGTATGCATACATATATATATATATATATACAATATACATACCATATATATATATATACAAACATACATATAGCTTCATGTTCGATTAACTGTTACTCATTCATGGTTTTTACTTAACCGAGATCGACAGATAGACAAGTAGAAAGACAGAGATAAATAGACATATAGGTAGAACATACTGACATACTGCATGATTAAGTGTCCGATGTTGGGATCCCCGCATTTGAGAAGCCCGCTCGTAAGAAAATGTTTCTGTAAAGGGTTCCTGCATGATGCCATCTTGGCTGGCCCTGTTCGGCTCCCTTCCACCAAAATAACTGGTAATACTGGGGTTCCATATTTCCAAAAACAGCAAGTCCGTATCAAAATATTAGAAGCTCTTGTCAGCGACCTCAAACGCCTCCTCATGGGAACACTCCTTGAAGCAACCCCAAAATGGCTAATCCCTAAACGATTTCTGAAGACAACCCTGAAAAAGCTCTTGAAGGGAACCCTCAAATGAACCCTTGAACGACTCCTTAAAGGAAGCCTTAAGGAACGCCCATGGTAACAACTCCATAGAGGAAGCTGCGTCCTACCCAGAAAGTACCCTGATAGTGACCTTGCAGTACATGTGAAGGAACCTTGAAGGAATCGTATGGGAACCTTGAGGCACCCCTTAGTTAAAGGAACGTTTGTAGCACCCTTACAGAGGCCCTCAACCCTAAACCCCTTTTAAAGGGACCATAAGCCCTAGACCCAAAGGAACCCTTAGAGGACCCCTTGTGGTACCCTTTAGGCGAAGCCTTCAAAGGGACCCCTTTGAAGGAACCCTTTAAAAGACCCTTTTAAGGAACCCTTCAAAGGGACCCCTCCTTCTAAGGAGCCCTTCAAAGGGAGCCCTTTAAAGGAAACTCATGGCCTGGAGCTGGTTCACCCTACAGGACCCTTAAAGGAACCCTTGTGGTACCCTTACAGGACCCCTTTAAGAACCCCTTCGGGACCCCGTTCAGGGCCCTAAACCCTAAACCGTAAACCCTAAACCCTTTGTTTGCACCCATGGCCTGGAGTTGGTTCACCTGCTCTTGCGTGAGCCCCTTCGGTCTTCCCTCAAGGAAGTGCGGGCTTGGCTTTGCAGAAGCGGCTTTACGGCCTTGGGTTCAGGGTTTAGGGCTTCTGAGGCTTTCAGATGCTTTTGGCTGATGCATTTGGGTGGTTGTTGTTTTTGTTGTTTAAGGTTTTGGCCTTTCAGGGTTGAGGCTTTGTCGTGACTTCAGAAAAGTTTTCTGAGGGTTTAGGTGGCCAAGACGCCAACAGCGCACACCACGATCATGACTTGGGGCGATTGGGTTTTAGGCTCCCCCTAACCCCCATAAACCCTGAACCCAACCCTGAACGCAGCACTGTTTGCGACCTGGCAACCAGCCAGTCCGTCGCGTACGTTGGGGGGACATAGTTCGGCGTGCTTTGCACCTCGTCGAGCTCGGGATCAACAAGGGGATTCAGGAATTGAAGGGGTTTACAGTGGGCAGAAAGGGTTTTTTGGGGGTTTTAGCAGGGCATCAGGACCACAGACAACAATGAGGAGGGCCATCGCCATCCATGCAGTCACAGCGCAAACTATGCTCAGCGAAAAAGATGCGGCAATGTGTGTGTGTGTATATGTATATAAAAAAAAAGACATACAAAATTAAAAAAAATACACATATGTATATACAGTTATATACAGGTGTACACATATATGCATATATATATATATACACTGAGAGAGTCATATGTATATATATATATATATATATATATACATATATATATATAGATAGATGTATGTATGCATATTTATGCATACACATATCATCATAGTTATATACGGCTATATGGTATACATCTACACAACACATATCAACATGAGGAAGGCGCTTCTAGCAATGCCACTAGTTCATTGTTGGGATAGGATTAAAAATGTACATTTATATTCCTTATTGGGTTTAAGTAACCATAAAAATGTAAAATGTTACCCAACTATGACAAAGGCCACCAGATCAGAGTTCGGGATTCACAAACATTTGAGCGAATTCTCCACTTGGCGGTTTGGGCCGGCTTGGGGAATTAGGGTTTCGGTTTAGAGGCTGGGGTGTACCACGATTAAGGGTGTATACTAGGGTCTACTCGATTTCAGACGGCAGAAAGCTTAAAGCAGTTCAGGTTGCGACATGTTTGGGCTAATGGCTACAGGCAATTCGGAGCCGTTCCGAGTTTAGGGGGTTGAGGGATGGATGGCTACGCCCTCAAGCCTAAACTCCCAAGACCTTGGCTAAGAGGTTCGAGGTTGAGGCGTTGACCTTTGAAGGGCAACATACAACCAATAGGATCTCCCAGTGCCTCCAAACCCCAAGCTTCCGGAGCCTTGCTACTTGAGGATGCCCCAAGGGCTTCAGAGTTCAGAGCCCAGGGTTTAGGGTTTCGGGTTCAGTGTTTAGGGTTTAGGGTTTAGAGTTCAATGTTTAGGGTTTAGGGTTCAGGGTTTAGGAGTTTAGGGTTTAGAGTTCAGGGTTTATAAGTTTAGAGTGCAAGGTTTGGGGTTAGGGCTCCCCTCCACAAAATCTTAAACCCTGAACCCTAGCCGGCAAACTGTTGAGGCCTCTTGGGTTCTTCTGCACATGAGAGCTCTGACAGCTCATGGGCTATAGCTAGATGGAGGTGTTCAGATCTGCTATCGATTTAGACATGTGCGTCTCCTGCCCCTAAACCCTTAACCCTAAACCCTAAACCCCCCTAAACCCTAAACCCTAAACCCTAAAGAGACTCAGGCTTTAAGTTCAGGCTTTGTGAGGATTCGAGGTTGACGCAGCACTAGGCATAGATCTCCTCAGCAACAAAGGCACACTCTTGCGAACCTTTAGGCTGCCATTCTGCGACTAACATAGGGGCCTCGATGATTACAATCGGGTTCTTTTGGGGACCAGTATGCTACAGTAACACTACACTTGTAATAAGGGACCCCTAAATAGTCTTGGTAATAATTTAGGCCCTTTTGGTACGTGGAAGGGCTAGACTATGCCCAACCCGGGAACCGTGGTATCTGCAGCGTAGCTCACACCAAGGTCGCAGGTCTATTAATGCAAGCCAGAAGCCGAGAAGTTGGGCCTACATCCAAACTCAAATTCGTCGTTGAGGGGTTGGTGTCTATGAATGTCCGCAAGCCTCTGCAATGATAAGCTTCTGTTCGGCGAGCTCTGTGTTCAGCTGCTGCTGCTTGACATCGTACTCCTGGCGTAGTTGCCGGTCGGGCTCTTACGCCTACCTCCTTCAGACTGAAGTCTACGGCTTAGGGGTTTAGAGTTTAGGGTTCAGGGGTTTAGGGTATTTAGGGGTTTAGAGTTTAGGATTCAGGGGTTTAGGGTTCAGGGGTTTAGAGTTTAGGGTTCAGGGGTTTAGGGTTCAGGGGTTTAGAGTTTAGGGTTCAGGGGTTTAGAGTTTAGGGTTCAGGGGTTTAGGGCTTAGGTGGGTATCAAAGAGAGGAGGAACAACAGGACGATCATGCTCACACGTCATAATTGAGAGCCTCTCAACGTTAAGGCTTGGTTGGGACACTGTTAGAATTCGATGGCTTTGCGGCAAGCTTTCTTTTTGCCGTAGACGGAACTCAAGTTCATACCCCAAGCAGGGCTACCAGGATCCATATGGGAGATTCTGAAAACAGGGGACCCTAATATAGTACCCTGAATAGTAGGATCCTGAGACCCCAAAGTACCCAGAGGCCCCAAAGTAGTTCCTTTTTGGGACTACCTTATAGGATTCTATAACCCCAAAAAGGAACTACTTTGGGTCCTATGGGTAAGGTACCCTTAACTTTCGGAAACTCCCGTATCAAGAAACCTCAGAAAGGAGGAGACCCAGGCCTTGCGAACCCTGAACGAAACCCTAAATCCTACACCCTGAAACCCCTGAACCCTAATTCCCCTAAACCCCTATGGCCTGAACCCCAAAGCCCTGAACCCTTAAACCCTGAACCCCTATAGCCTAAACCTCTGAAGCCCTAAACCTTAAACCCTGAACCCTAAAACCTAAACCCATCATCGACCTCGTCCAGCTTGATAAAGTCCCGGGTCATCTTTATCTCGGTCCGAACGTCCCCCGAGAGACTCGAGGGAATGCCTTCAGCTGCGAGACATGTGTCGTTGGTCTTCGAGCTTAGGGGGTACGGATAGCCTTTGGGCTTTAGGCAGGATTTGCTTTTAAATGCAGTGGCTCTTTCAGGGTTCATGGTTTAGGGTTGATTCCTTTGCTTCGGCGAAGCCAGATTGGGAGAAGCTTAGCTGGCGAGCCGAAGCAAATCCTTCACCCCAAACCTACCCGAAACCTCAAACCCTGCCTGCTGCACCCTATACCCAAAACCCCTAAACCCTAAACCCCTAAACCCTAAACCCCTAAACCCTTTGGGCTTCGCCACGTAGAATGCATGGGTGCTTCTTGAAGAAGGGGCTCCTTTTCAGGTCCAGGTTTTGTTTGCGATGAAAGAAGGGTCCTACTACTCCTCTGGTTTCTATGTAAAGATCATCTTGAAAAGTGCCTGATGTCTGGCACCACATTAAGGTACCCGACACCAAGAACTGTGCGAACCTGCTGGACGACGTTGCACACCCTCAACCCTAAACCCTAGCCGCCCCGACATGCAACCGGTGTGCTCATGAGCAGTGCCGCGGCAGATTGATGCGTAATGACAATCCTCTTGTCGGCATCGTCCTTCGAAGCCACTGTTCGGTTGGGGAGTGTAGGTTGAGGGCAGTTTAGAGTCGAAGGTTTGGGGTTTGGAGTTCAGCGTCTGGGTTTTGCGCTTGACGGCATTTGGGTTTACGGCTTGGGGTTTGGCTCGGCTTAGGGCTTGTCCCTGTAACCCTTCTCACCAAACCTGAACCATGCGTGTCTTCCACAGCCGCAACCTGGACTCTCCGGTGTCTTTCCTGTGCTTGGTTGCCCTTGTTGTCTTATTTGGGTGTAAACCCCAAACACAAAGCCCTAAAAGCAAAACCAGGCGCGCAAAGCAAACTCTCAACTGGCACCTGAACAGGAAAATCCTTCGCCCCGGGCCACATCCAAAGACTTGGACTAGAGTCGACCTTCCCCTAAACCCTAAACCCTATGAACCCTAAACCCTAAATCCTGTGGGTCCTAAACCCTAAACCGCCTAAACCCTAAACCGAAACCACTTAGACTTCCTGTCGTACTAAATCCCCACCCCGAAACGCAGTCAGAGAGTGGCTCTACAAGAATGGCCGTAGCAAGTAGAAGATGATTTGTTGAGGGGGAGCCTCTTACCGTACTTCTTCTATGTAACTAGTAGAATGAATAACTATGATCAGGAGTTTGGGGTTTAGGGTTCAAGCGAGTTCGGGGTTCCGGTGTGAGTCTGTAAGGCCGATTTAGGGTTCAAAGGGGTTTAGGGATTAGGTTTTAGGGTTTCGGTATGGGGTTTAGGGTGATGGATGAGCAGGGTTATCAAAAGAGGCCTTCGTCTGGGCCTTGATCCAGCCATCCAACCTCGGAGCATCGTCTTCTAGAGGTTGGGAGCTTCAGGGATTAGGACACCCCCCGTGTCCGGGCACTGGTCTTTAATTCAGATCTAAGCCTTAGGCCTTCTAAGGCCCTGCACAACCCGAAAACCTTAACTCTTGGAGAAACCTCGTTTTAGCCGATGTTGCTTGAGAGTGGGGCTACGAGCTACCCTCCACAGAGGCCGCAAGCCGAAATCCAGAAACCCCTAAACCTTGTGTGAGAATTTGGGTTTAGGGTTTCGGTTTAGGGTTTACGGTTGAGACTGGCGTTTGCTTGAGTCTTGGAGTTGCGCGGACTTGAGAACAAGGGTGGGTCACTATGGGACTCCGGATTCAGGGCTTGACGGTTTTGGGGCCTACCCAAAGGCCCCAAAGTAGTTCCTTTTTGGGGTTCGTATATAGAATCCTATATAGTAGAAGCCAGAAAGTTGGAATATCATTATCCTAACCCCTTTAAGGTACATTATAGGGGATCCTACCATTAATCCATATTCCAACTTTCTGGAGTTCCCTTTAAGGTAATCCCAAAAAGGAACTACTTGGGGGCCTATGGGTAGGGGCCTGCTGGGCTCCGCGAAAGCCGACGGGTTGGTGATCTAGAGGGCTTAGGGATTCGGGCCCAAGGGACCCAGAGACTCCAATACCCTTAATTAAGGAATATTCCTTAAATCATATTATAGGATCCTACTATAATTTAAGGTATATTCCTTAATTAAGGGGTATTGGAGTCTCTGGGGACTGGCATCTTTGCTGTGATTGCGACTGCTTGGAAGATGAAGGGATGATTGGGGCTTCAAGCACCTGTGCCACCCACGTAGAAGCTAACCGCAATCCTCTGAATCGAGCCTCGTCGGTGAAGGCACCGCGGGGCATTGGGCCAGATGCTAGTGAACCTTGAACCCTTCTGATTCCAACTTCCAACACTAGCTCACTGAAACCCTTATGGCGACCCTTGTATGTCCTTCCACTCAGCTCCAGAGCAAAAAAACACCACTCCAGCCAAGCGGCCATTTCACGTCTTTTCCTTTCTTCTGCAGTGCTGCCTCAAACAGTTGCAACAACTTCCTAGAAAAGGCATTTGGCTTACATGTCAAAATGCTCGATGGTGGCTGACGGTAGTTCAACACTTCCGATTCAGTCTTCTCATGTCGGTGTTCTGCTGTTGCTCCTGCCCCGGCAATAAAAACGTATCCTGCTGCTCATGGTCGTGTGACACCCAGCCAGGCAAAGACCTTCATGACGGTAGGGGGTACGTAGTACTGCAAAGTGGCATGATCTCAACGCTTGTGAAACCTTCGTCCCTAAACCCTAAACCCTAAGCCTAAACCAAAAACCCAAACCCTAATCCCTAAATCGTGATCTCTAATCCCCAATCCCTAAACCCTAATCCCTAATCCCTAAACCCTAATCCCTAAACCCTAATCCCCCCTGTATTGCATCCTACGGCCTTCTTGTCCAGCCAGGCCGTTGCCAGCGCGCTCCGCTTCTGCCAGATGGTTGCCTGATCTGCTTCCTGAGTGTCGAATCTTCAACTTTTCTTTTTCATCGATGCATAACTAGACAGGACCTAGACCCTCCATCTACCCTCTATTAGACCCTAAATGCCGCTTATTTGGGGCCATATACCCCTGTTTTAAGGGTACAAGGAGGGTCCTGGGAGAGAGAGCAGTGTGATCTCTGGTAGATTCTGGGGCCTCTAGATACACAGTTAGCATCTCCATCTCTGAACCCATCAAGCTGCGCAGCCCAGTTCCTCCGAACCTGGTGTAATATTGGGAGTTTCCGAAAATAGGGGATCCTAATATGGTAGCCCTAAATAGTAGGATCATTATTATAAGGACCCCCAAAATAAGGTACCCCCTATTTTCGGAAACTCCCATAGGGTTTTTTAAGCTTAAGGATTCGGGACTAGGGTTTACCGGTGCTTAGGGCCTTGGACAGTAAGAGCCGTTTACTTCGAATCCCACAAGAAGAACTCTGCGACGGGAAGAGGGTTGAAGCTTCTGACAGCCTCGTCATGACTAGGTTCCCCGACTAGGTTCCCCAGTAGCCCCTTAATAAAACGGGTAGCGTTGTTCTTACCATTTGGTTTGAACAATAAGGGAACCCGAAAAGAAAAAGGGTCAAAGGGTACACACGGGGAAAACCTAGATGTTGCTTTTGGGCTACAGGGTCACCTCGATGAGTCAGACTCGGAATGGTTGGAGGTGACAAACATTGCGGATGAAGGACCAGTAACCAGTTTGTTTGCTTTGCCCTTCGTGGTCTGCCAGAGACATGACCACTTCGCACGGGCTGATAAACAATTTTGGGATGGGACTCTATGCTTAAATCATGAGCCCAATGGGTGCAGTCTATATATGCAAGGACAACGGAAACGGAAGCCCGGCAACCTGGATGGAAGCCCTGAACGCCCGCTCCTTTGATCAGGATGTTAGTCGAGATCATGATGTTACATAAGGCCATGAAAGAAGTTGACATGAAACAGAACCGCACAACCACAAGGACCTCCCGAAATAGCATTCCAATCCAGGCGACTTTGGACAATGCCTGCTTCTTCGCCATGAGGCCTGGTCGCTCCCTCGAACTCCCAGAAAATCCTACCAGAAAACACTACACCCTGAACTTGCAAAAGGCATTACACCCTGTAGGTCCCAAACCTTAAACTCGAATCCCCCCAAACCCTACACCCTATAGAACCCTAACCCAAACCATAAACCCAATAATCCACAAAGCATGGCAGCGCTGAAACCTAGCTGAAGCGCTTGAACCCAAAGCCCGAACCTATCCAATCCTTCCACTCTATCCACCCATTCCCAGCGTCACCTCCACCACTATCATAATCATTCCAACAAGAAGAAGAATGATAAGTAATAGCCCATAAGATCAGAAACAAACATCGCAATAATTCCAGGAGTTGCTCTTCCTGTTAGCTGTTATCAACATACCAAAGTCATAAGAAGACTGACAATCCCCACATTCTGCATTATGGTCGGAATCCTCCTCATCCTCAGGCTCGTCATCCCTGGGGTCAAGGATTTGGGATCACCATGACCATCATCACGATGCCACTGGCTCTAACAGGCTGCATGAAGCTCCTGCGTATACATCTCAAAATCCCAATACGAATTATATGGTGTAGTACATACAGTTTCGTATAGTATAGTATACAGCAGAGTATAGTATAGTACAGCATAGCACAGTCTAGCAAAGTCTATTATGATTTTCAAAGCTGGCTTGGCCAAGTCCCGCGTAGCTCCAACACCGGAACTGATGTCAGCCTCTAGGCCAAAGTCGAAACCAAGCAGTATTGGGCAAACCAGTATATATACGGAACCGCATTAAGGGTTTAGGTACGGGATTTGGGATGCCTAAAACCTGAACCGTATATCCTTGAAGCACTCTGGACTCCTTTGGGAAAGCTGGCTGAAGGATGCTGCTGCTGAGGAGAGTTGTCGCGGCTGGATCGAATTTCGCGAAATACTCATAAGCTTCAACTGCGGAGGCTGCTGCACACGTCAATCGCTTCAATGGGCTTTGTCCCACGGAGACTCCTGATGATTGTGGGGGAGGCGGAGTCCGCGATCTGCGCCTCGAAAAGGACGCTCGCAGTAGTGCCCGGAGTTCCGCATCCCGCAACGATCCACCGACCGAAACCAAACCCACCCGAAGCTCTTACAATTCTGATTAGGGCTTGGGGCTTTAGGTTGAAGGTCCAACGTCTAGGGGTCTATCACCAAGCCGCTAAGTATTCAAGAAGTCCGAACAAAGGACATTGTGGCAAAAGCAAAAGGATACAAGTATTTCTCACAATTTTCGACGGCCAAAGCCCAAAACCCCATGAACCCCCTAGACCCCTAAACCCCCACTGCCCATGCCAACCCACTCCTGACCCTAAACCCGAAGCCCCACCACTCTAAACCCTAAGCCCTAAATCCAAAAAGATAAAACCCAGCGAAAGCTCGCTTAGGCCAGGGCCTTCCATCTTTTTGTAGGCGCGGGCTGCCGCTGACCTTGAGGCTAAAAGGCTAGTGGGGACAGGGGTCTAGTATAGGGGGCTTAAAAATTAGAAAAGGGCTCCGAAGGGTTCCTTTAAAGAGTTCTATAAGTATCTAAAATAGTGTTCTATAGTATCGGGGCCTTATACTTACAATAGGGTTTGGGGGTACATTTTCCTCTAACAACCATATTAAGGAACCCTTGCAATAGCATTGGTAATATACTAGGTCCCTATGTTGTGGTTTCGGGTTGAGGGCATGGGGTTTAGGGTTTAGGGTGGAGGGTGCGGTTTAGGTTGTGGGGCTTAGGATATGTAAGGGTCTGTTTACAGCAAGTACTTTGCAGCAGGTATGGAAGATCCCAAAGGGTCTAAGTATCATTATGGTATATACTTAGACCCCCCAAAATACCCTACTAAGTATACACCAGAATGATACTTGCACCCTTTAGGGATGAGCAAGGGGACCACTATACTGAGCTTAGAACCCTAGCAAAAATTATAGTTTTAGCTGTTTCTTAGGGGATTATACTATCCAAAAAATAATCAAAAATATTGCTAAGTACCCCTAAGACCAAGCCAAGCTCGCAAGGCTTGGCATCCGGGAGCTGCTTCAAGGCCGGCTGGGCTGCTTGGTGGCAGTGCTGACGCAAGCCAGGAGTTCTGCAGCAACTTACTCCCCCAATAAGCCACTGAAGCGAAAGGTTAAACTCTTAGATTCCTATTAAGTTATAAGAGCCCAAAAAGTTTAAAGGTCGGGTATTGGGTATCTAAGGCACAAGAGCTCCAATAGGAAGCCCTCCAAGTTGCTGCAGACTGCTGCGCTAGGGGTCTTCGGCTTGAGGCTGCCCAGGACGATGGGATCCCAGTGGGATCTCTGGAGATCTCCGATCTGGGAGTTTCCGAAAATAGGGGACCCTAATATAGTACCCCAAATAGTAAGACCCTTATTATAAGGACCCCAATATAAGGTGCCCCTATTTTCGGAAACTCCCATCTCATGGCAGAAGTTCCCTCAGGAGGCCCTGATGCGATTCGCCGCCTGCTCTATTCGAGGATGGCCTGTATCTAGCTTTGAGTTCTATGTCCGCACCTTGCACAGGTGGCCAGCGGTCCTTCTGTACCGTGCCTACGGGCACAGACCTCCCACCAGGGCTCCAGAGACCTACGGTTGATGATATAAATCCTGCATGACCCATAATAAGGACTATACCATAATTCCCATAGTTTAGGGTCCTTAAGGTAATGCAGGATTTATATCATCAACCGTAGTCATGGTCATTGGTGTCTCAGGTTGTATTATGCACCGGGGAAAGTCCACAAAACTAAACCTGAACAAACCCTAGGGGTCCATGTACCCAAATAGTTTATGCTTTGGCCTCCTATATAGGTACATTAGACCCGAAGTATATAATGTTTGGGCACATGAACCCTTAAAAAAAACTATCGTGAATTACGCCCAGCAGCCAGCCAAACCGCGAAGCCTTCTCATTCTGCTTCTTTCGGGCTTCCAGAGACCTTAGCGGCGCTCATGCCGGACCAGCACGACTCTGGAACCCCAGACAGCAGGATTTGGGGTTTCGGGTTTAGGCTCAGAGTTTGTTCAGTTTTCAGGGTTTTGGGTTGAGGGTTTCAGGTCTCGGGTTTACGGTTGGTCTTCTGCTTAAGCACTTCGAACTTGGAGGTTGCGCTTGCCATGCCAGCATGGTTTAGGGCTTCACCGCGACTGCTTTCTTGAAGGGTCCGCCACCGGCATGGCAGCATGGCTTGTCTTAACTTGAGACACAGAATCTCAGCCTATGTCCATAATGTGCTTGACCAGACATTCAAGTGCTTTTGTTTGGAGGGCCAAGAACGGTGTGGAGGCTTATAGGGATATGTAATGATTGAGTTCAGCGTTTTGGAGTCACGATTTGCCCCTCTACGCACTCAAGCTCTTTTAGACCTGCAACCGACACACCACATGACCCCCGACGAACCCGAAAATGCCCTAAGGACTAACCCTACCTATCACCACGTAAACTTCGTCCACAGCTGAGAAGCTTTTGCTCCTTCTGGTTCCGTTCGATGGCCTGCACTCCACTGGCACGGGTTTGCACGTAGCTTTGTACCAGCTACAAGTAGTTCAACTGCATGAAACATATGGGAGATTCCGAAAATAGCGGGACCCTAATGTAGTACCCTAAATAGTAGGATCCTTATTATAAGGACCCCAAATAAGGAACCCCCTATTTTCGGAAACTCCCATATCAGACGGGCGCATTGCGCTATGGCCGGACTCGGACCATGGGCCAAGCAATGAGCACAGGGCTTGGGCATGTCATGCTACCTGGTACTTACAGCACATTCCCTATACTATACTTCTAAGCAGTCACCCTTGGGTAATTATTTAGGCCCCCTATAGTACCCTAAGGGTCCAAGTAGTTCCTATTTATGGTTTTTGGTACCTAAAAAGGCCCTAAAATCCTATAATAGGGAGTACTTGGACCCTCTGGGATTGAGATCGGGCATTTACTGCCTCATTATCCTAGCACGGTGCTCTTGTTCTTTCCCTAAGCCTAAACCTATCCACTTCCCAGGGCTTCTTTGACACAACCCTCGCAAGTCGACATGTCAAACCTCAGATGCATTACACGACTTCGCGATCTAGAGCATGAGGCCTACATTTCATTGTGGACACTTTAGGGTTCGGGTTTTGAAGGACGTTTGTACAAACAACGAACAAGTTCCATAATTCCAACATCAAGCGCTGTGTCAATAGAGTCGTGCCCAGGATGACAGACACGGAAACGACACACTGCAGACAATGCTAAACCTCAACTTTAACCCCAAAACGCGGCGGCTCTATCCACAGCCAACTTCAAGGATAGAGGACTTGCTACAATGGACGGGACATCTCCAACTTCACATGAACCAAGTAGGTACTCAGAGTCCTAAATCACCTAGAGCCGCAGACGACAATTCCTGGAGCTTGAATCCAATCTCAAAAGAAGCATCCAACCCGGCACTCCAACACCTGCCTCTCTAGAGACAAAACTCATACTTGGAGGATCATGCGACTTAGTAAGTAGGGCTATAAGTACCTTAATTGGGGTTGTAAGTAATTATAAGTACAGCTACCTTCATTATAACCCCGTTACTAAGTCCCATGATCCTTTAAGTAGAGCCCCTATAAACCTTAAACCCTATGCAAGAAGGAACTCAGAGGGGCTTTGAACCCTAGACCCCAAACCCTCGACCCGAAACCGTCCATGTCATCACAGGCATGTAGACCGTAGTGTCGGGGGCCAGGGTCTTGGGGTATAGTATGATATATTTTATGGTGACTAGAAACTGATATTGTGATGGATTCTAGTTCACACGCCTATGTAAAGCCCAGGAAAACGTTACGGCCCCTAATATGAAGGCTTTGTTGTGTTTCATAGGGTGTTGATGATTGCTTACGGTACGTATACATAAATTGGCGGAACCTCAAGAATGATGTTGATACTTGTTTAAGCCCTACAAACCTTAAGTCACTACATGGATCCTGTATACATAAACCCGAAACCCTAAACTCTCAATCCTTCAGCGCTGAATATAGGGGCCTTGTTTTGGAATAGGGTTTTGGGGCCCGTAATACTGTAACTATAGTGAGGAACCACCAAAATAATATTGGTAAGTATTTAGGCCCTTATAGTAAATCCTGCTTCTTTTCACACTCGCTTCGCCCAGGATCGCCAGGGTGGTGTCGTCCGGCTGGCAACCGGCCGCCACGGCCCGACGATACCTGGGTTTGAGGGTTTAGGGATTGAAGGGTCAAGATTGAATTTAAGGCTCTAGGAAGATTTCTAAATTGGCCACGACGTTGGCGTTCAGGATTTGGGGCTCTAGGCTCAAACTCAGTCACTCTAGTCTATGTGGATAACGCGTCACCATGCGGCCGATTTCGCTGGAAATCCAGCCAGGCAGGACTTGGTGTGGGAACCTGATTAAGAAACCCTCGGCCTCTAACCCCAAAATACTCTAGGATGCAATGACAGACAGGGCTTTGGGGCCCATTTTACTATGAACAAAAATTACGAACTCCCAATATAGGTAGTCATGAGGGCCCCTATATAGTGCAGATCAGCCACCAGCTGTTTATGTCCAAATCCCCCACGCGGCTCGCTGCCGCTAGCAGGCTGTTCCTCGCTTTCTCGCTTTCACGGAACCCTACACCGCAAAATCCCCACACGCAAACGAAGGCACTGAGGAATGATATGTATTTATATATAGATATATGTCGAGATAGATAGATACATAGATCGATAGGTAGATAGATGGACAGATAGATAGCGAGATAGACAGATAGATAGTTAGGTGAACAGATAGACAGATAGATAGATAGATAGAGAGTTAGAGAGAGAGAGGTAGACAGATAGGCAGAAAGACAGATACACAGATAGACAGAGTGACAGACTGACGGAGATACAGGTAACGATACCGACACAGATACAAATATGGATATCGATACAGGCATAGATTTTGATATAGATATATGTATAGCTACAGATATAGGTGAAGGTACAGATGCTAGACAACGGTATCTCCATCTCTGTATGCAGTTATTTACGTATATATATATATATATATATATGTATGTAGGTACTGGTAGGTAGGTATAGATGTATGAACGAGTATGTATAGATTTCAATGTATGTATGTAATTATGAACGTACGTATGTAGGTATGCCTGTGCGTAGGTACGCCTGTATGTATGTCTGTATATGTATGTATGTATGCATGTATATATGTATCTAGGCATGTGCATATGTGTGGGTACGTGCATGTATGTAGGTATGTAGCAGTGCATCTTTGTATGTGTGTACATGTATATAGATGTACGTACGTATGCATGCATGCATGTTTGTTTGCACAGTTCTCTCTCTGTCGCTCCCCCCCACTACTTATGTATCTATGTGTGTACGTACGTAGGCGTGTATGTTTGTATGCATGTAGGGGTACACAATTATCTCAGAATTCTCCCTCTCTCTCTCTCTCTCTCCCTCTCTCTCTCTCTATCTCTCTCTCTCTCTCTCTCTCTCTCTCTCTCTCTCTCTCTCTCCCCTCCTCTCTCTCTCTCTCTCTCTCTCTCTCTCTCTCTCTCTCTCTCTCTCTTTCTCTCTCTCTCTCTCTCTCCGTCTCTCTCTCTCTCTCTCTCTCTCGCTCTCTCTCTCTCTCTCTCTCTCTCTCTCTCTCTCTCTCTCGCTCGCTGTCGCTGAATTCAATCTTTTGGCATACCCGACAACGCAATGTGTTGGGCTATGTTGAGCCTTAGGCTACCACCAGAGTCATTAAGCCCTCATTCAGAAAGCCAAAGGACTTGCACAAATTCTTCTTATGATTCAGTAGGAGCTACATTGGGTAGTTGTCAAAATAGGGGTCCCTTTTTGGGTACCCTTAATTTTCGGTGCCGTCTCATATTAGGGACCCAAAAAGGGACCATAATTTTGACAGCTACTCACATGGTCACATGATCATTCTAGGATGCCGATAGAAATCTTGAAAGTCGGCACGAGGCGCTTTCCAAAACGAGGATCCTGAAAGGTGCTTGTTGAGGTTTTGTAGGCATTCGAGTTTAGTATTCGGCATTCATTTTTGGGTGGGAGGAAGTAGTAGTCACGAATCTGAACCCAGATCGCTAAACCGTAAACCCTCGATCCCTGATCCTAAGCGCCGCAACCCCAAAACCGTAAAGCAAAATTCTATCAGATACGAGCGGCAGAGCATCCGTGTCCAGATTTGCCTGGACCTGCTGCGCCTTTGCATGGGACACTGTTACTTCGATTGCCACTACTGACTACTGCTACCATTACCATCATTACCGTTACCACTATCAGTACTATTACTATCAGTGCCATCAATTACTGTCGCGAATGAGAACTAGCCGGTAGCCATTACTCACACTGAGCCTGATGTCTGAGCCCTACGCTGCTCCACGCACCACCTGCTGGTAACGGCTTTGCTGCTTGCTCGTGGCACTTAAGTGACCAGGATGATGGCGATGACGATGAGATGATGGCCCTGACGAAGGTGAATGCTTGGCAATATCCGACATTCCCTGATAGTGCAGAATCAAAAACAGTCAGAGTCAGTAACGGCCTATCCAAACTAACCGTTGATAGTAATTCTGCTTAGAATAAGGACGGCAATCACAACTGACAACCGTGATAGCAATGTTGAGCCCGGGGCCATAGAAGACCCGCTTAACAAAAAACAAAAACAACACTAACGCCCCTAAATAGAATCCTTATAAGCCCCTAGGCACACCTCATAATTCCTGTGAAGGCCCCTCAAAAGCACACCACCGAAATGCAGAAAATCGCACAAGAAGGGTTTAGGGGTTTGGGGTTTAGGGTTTCGAGTTTCGGGTTTACCCCGGCCTTCTCCAGCCACTTCCCAGCCGCCTTAAGGTCGCCCTTGTTTGCTGCGGCATTGATGAGCGTGCCTTGGAGGTAGCTATAAGTAGGGATATAAGTAGGGTAATTATAGTTATAGCCCATATTAGGGTTCAGGCGTGCCTTTGAGGCATCCTAGGGATTGAGATTTATGACGCAGAGTATGGGAACCAGGATTCACTTTGAGGGCTTATGGTTTAGGGGCTGCGGGTTGGTTAGGGTTTAGACTTTAGAGGTGAGAGCTGTGGGGTTGGAGGTTTTAGGGTTGCTTTGTTGAAGCATACTGTTCTAACTGCAGGCTGTGGAGCTTAGGATTGAAGGCTTTGGGTTTAGGTCTCGGGGCTCTCTTCGGGGTTTTGGGGCTTAGGCATAGGCTTGAGGGGCCGCTTGAGGTTTAAGAGTCACGGGTTCCGCAAAGGGAACCATGAGGGTTCTTTAAACTACCCAAGAAGGTGACAGCTCATCGTGAACTGGCAAAATGCTTCGCACTTCCTCCTGGCCAAATTGCCAAGTCTGTGAAGTTGCGGCAATACACCAGCAATCTCAGCAATCTGCCGTTTCGTGCGCTGTCATAGTGCTTTATGGGGTGCTTATTCTTGGGATTCTAAGTGTTCCGATAAGAGCTGCAAAACAAATACTGCCTTGGCGTTTAGCCAAACAACAGAAACTGTAAACTCCTACAACCCCAGAACACGAATCTTAAACTCTAAAAACTGAACCCTAAACCCCAAACTCAAAAGACTAACCTACTACAAGTAACCATATCACTACAACTCATGATTCCCAGCCTGCACCTTGCGGTCCGGAACCCAAAGCAAGAAAAACTGCCACCCCCTTAAACGGTTTGGGGCTTAGAGATTTGTCGATCGCCGGCTTTGCCGGGTCCGCTTGAAGTGGAAGACAGAAAGTTGGAACATCAATATCCTCATGCCCTTAAACACACCTTCCCCCTCCGGAAAACTATGAGCCCTCAAGGCTGGGAGAATTCGTTCCCCAACTTACATGTAACCAAAACAGAGGCTCATGATAAACAGGGTTTGGGGTTATAGGGTTTAGGGTTATAGGGTTTAGGGCTATCAGGTTTAGTGTTATAGGGTTCAGGCCTAACCTACAGCCGATGCACCCGAAACGGTTGAGAAGGCTTGGTGTCGTGGGCTTTGGCGCGGATCTCGCAGTTTTCACTCAAACAAGCAGAGCTGAGTTTAGGGTTTAGGGTTCAGGGTTTAGGGGAATGTGCTGCAGGCCCGGTCTACCCTCCTTGAAAGTGCTGCACATAACGCGCGGCTCCAAGGAGAACACACCAGATAGTGCGTCGCTCAACACGGACCTTCACGTTGTCAATCTTCACGGGTTGACGGAGGAATTTGGTCAATGACTCGAAGGAGCTGACATTTGCGAATGTCGCGTCACAGATGGCCTCACCGGAACGCAAGCCAAAACTGATTGACACTCTAGTCCCTAGAAGCTACCTCAACCTCTGGAACCCTAAGCCCAAGCCCAGTCAACAAAGGTGAGCGCGTCTTGTTTTACGATTGCCGATATGTGTGATTGTGAAAGTAACCTGTTGCAACGCCCGTAAGCAAGAACCAAGCAAGCAAAAGGCCAAGAGCCGTAAAGCAAAAAACCTGAACTATACCTTCCTTAAAACCATAAAAGAAAAGATATGTTGAATATTCTCTTGGGCTGTATATGAACAAAAGTAACTCCTAAGGAGACTATAGTAAAAGCCACAAGCCGGACGCCATGAACCCCAAAACAACCCGAAACCCTTCATCCTAAGCCCCTCGAGGCTCATACCCTGGCACGGTCAACCCTAAAATCCCTGAGCTGCGCTCGTGTTAAGGAGATTAACTGAAGATACTGGTAAGTGTCGTAATCAGGAAGCCCTGTTATTTACTACTACAGATCAGTAGTATGGTAACTGCAACCCAGCGAACCCGCGAAGCCCATCACAAACACCGAAGGCCGTGGCACTGAAGGTTGCCCTAAACCCTATCATCCCTAAACCCTGTAAGCCCATACTCCCTAAACCCCAAGCCCTAAACCTTGATCCCTATAACCCTATGTAGTTTCTAAACCCGAATCCCTAAACCCTAAACCCCAAACCCAAAACCCCAAACCCAAAACCCTCAACCCCAAACCCGAATCCCTAAACCCTACACCCCAATCCTCTACACCCGAAACCCCCAAACCCTAAACCCCAAACCCAAACCCCTAAACACACCCCAAACCCCAAAACCCCAAACCCTACCCCTAAACCCCTTAACTCTGATCCGAGGCGCTGAAGGTGATCGCGTCGTGCTTGCTTCCGGCCACACTGGCCCGCTCGAACCACCGCTCCGCAGCCTGCGAAGAGGCCCAGGGGACTTAGTAAGCAGTAAGGTTCCTAAACGGTTCCTTGGAAGGGTTCTATGAAGGGGGGATAAATTATGGGGCTAAGAGGCCCAGGGGACTTAGTAAGTACCCATAGGCCCCAAAGTAGTTCCTTTTTGGGGTTCATATATAGAACTCTGCATATGAACCCCGAAAAGGAACTACTTTGGGGCCTATGGGTAGTAAGGTTCCTAAAAGGTTCCTTAAGAAGGGATCGATAAGGGTTCTATAAAGGGGGGATACATTCTGGGGCTGGTTGAGGGGTTGTCAGCTTAGGCCTTGGGCCAATTGGAGCTTGTTCAAGGTTCATGTCAGGCTTCTGTAGTTCAGCGGTCCCAGGTTCGGGGGCAAGAACACTTAACACCCAGAAACCCCGAAATCCCCAAAGTTTTATCCTAAGCCTCCCCAGGCCTCAGACCTCAAACCTCAAAACCCCGAAACACCCTAAACCTTAAACCCTAAACCTCAAACATGTACCTCCAGATCTGCACTCTTGGCGCACGCATCCATGAGGATGCTGAAGGTGCGTGTATCAGGTAGGATTCCATCTGCCTGTCCAGCGGAAGGACGGGGCTCTTGTGCTTGTGGATGGGACCCCTAAGCCCTAAACCTCAAACCCTAAAGGGTTTAGGCGTTTCATTGCAAAAACCGCCTCCATCCGCTCGAACCAGGACTCGGCAGTAGCAAGAGCTCCCTGCTTGGCCTCCGGTGGTCTTTTTTGCTGCGTTGGAGTTTAATAGGGCTATGTTAAACTAAGGGTTTGGGTTTTTATTCAGGCTGTTGGGTTGAGGGTCTTGCAGGGGTTGGAGTGTAGCGTTTAGGATCTGTCTAAGTTGTGGCCTAAAAGTAGTTTAGGGTACCTTTGCGAGTCTGACATATCGGAGTCTCTACGGGCATGTGGACAACTGGGGTTTGGGCTGACGGAGTGACTGTGAGATCTAGCTGTGGGAGCATGATAGGCTGGGGAAGGCCTTTCGGGTTTAGTGCGTACAAGAGTCAGGGGTTGGGCGATTAGTGATGGGGTTTGGGCTTGGGGTTTTGCAGGGTGTATCGTAGCTCCTGTAGGTGTTTTCGCACCTGTGCAAAGTCTTGCAAGGCACTTCTCGCATGAAAAGGGATGTGATCCATATTTCGGCTTCGGTTTAGGGCCTTTAGGGTTTAAGGCATAGAAAACGAAAGCTACTGCTGATGGACAAAATCCTGCATGACACTAAGGACTCTAAACTATGGGAACTATAGTATATTCCCTATACTGGGTAATGCAGGATTTTGTCCATCAGCAGTATCGTGCATCACACCTGCAGCACAGAGCTGCCAGAAGTTCCAAAAAGCTCCTCGGCCTGCTGCTGGTGCCCACAAGCAAACAAGCCGATCTATAGTCAAAGGGGAAAAGGAGGGACCCTTAATGCGGACCTCTACCCTATAATGGGCTATATAATGGGTATATAATAGCTATATTAAGGGTATATGTCTAGGGGTCCTTATTAAGGGTCCGTCTTTTTCCCCTTTGATATTATAGGGTTCGGGTTCGGCAGTCACCCATTATCAGTGTCCCTTATCCCTGTATTTGTATGATGTAATTCAACTACAATATCCACCAGAAAGCCCCTCGTAGCCCGAAGACAACGTGAACGACCTGTCAACGAATCAGCATCCTGAGTCCGAGGTACCTTATCATTAGAAAGAGTCTTTGGGGTATATCACAGAAGAGCCGTTTCAATAGTTTAAGGAACTTCAAGGGGCTTCTGTATTGAACCCTAATTCAACCCTAAGCCCAAGCCCCTATGATACCCTTGCAACAGCCCTTGTAGTACTACAGCAACCCTTAAAGCACCATAGTATACCATAGTGCAAGGCAAGTCGCCGCCGCGGAGAGCACTGCGTTGTACATGGCCACATTGGGCCGCACCTGAAGCATTAGGGGACTTAATAATTAGAATAGTGCTGTGGTGTATTATACTGTCCATTACGGACCCCCCAAAATAGTAAAAAAGACAATTATTACGGCCGCTATTTTAGGAGTGTCAGGATTTCGCCTTGAGGATTCACGTAAATAATGGGCTACGCGATAACATCATATGTGGCTCAGCCTGGCACATTCTGAAACAGCTTACTCTACACTACAGCTCGAAGTCTTCAAGTAGGCTTGGAGTTCAGGGTTTGGTTGAGATCAGGTTGAGGTACTCGCGTGCTCTTGTAGTTGCCGATAAGGCCACAACGGTATGTGCGGCTTGTGAAACCAACTGCAGAGTGTTGATGGCGGGAGTCGAGCATGGTGCAGACTCCTTCGAGCGCAACGCCAGGCATACGATTCTGTAGTTTCGGATGCAGGGTCACAAGCTGCGAACCATTAGCACTTACGAAACGCACGGGTTTCCAAATAAAGAACATCATGCAACACTGAACATCATGCAACGCTGAACCAGCAGGTCAACAGGGTTACACCATGTGAATAAGATGATCGGGACAAGATCCTGGGCTAGAATGTGTTGCAACAGCCCCCTGGGGCTGCAAGCACTACACCGATGTCTCAGGCTTAGGTTATAGTAGCTTAGGGTTTCGAATCCAGGCCATAAGCCCTAAACTCGAAAAGATACAAGTAACAGTTTTCACACAGAATCGAACCACTCCTGCCCACCTTCGCAGCAGCCCTCGCGTACCAGTCCTCACACCAACCAGCGTGAGAGACCCAAAGATGCTTTATAGTACAGGGGCCTTAATAATTAGAATAGGGTTTTGGGGCCCATTATACTATAGTTATAATAAGGAGCCCCCAAAATGGTGTGTATATATATATATATATATATATATATAGGTAGGTAGTTATTTAGGCCCCTATATTATTCCAAGACGACTTCGCCTGCCAACTTAACTTACTCCTGTCGGTAAACCGCACATGGCTCCAAAAAATCAAACGCGAGATCGTGGAGTTCTGAGATTCTAGATGGGTTTAGGGTTTAGGGGCTCTCTCTAGGTTCCGAGCAGGAGGCAAACACACTGGCCACCAAATTCGAAAGCCCCGAGCCCAACTTTCAAATCCGTCCACAGCCCTATGAATGCCACTTCAACGGTTGAGGATTTAGAATTCAGTTCGGGGTTCTTGCACTCTGAACACCTCCAACTTTCACGGTTTGGGGTTGAAAACTTGAGGATTCAAGTTTGGGGTTTGCGGTCAGAGGCCCATTGAAATCAAGGGTCACAGCGTTACACTTCAAGGAATTATATAGCTTTCAAGCCAGTGACTCTGGGCTTGAAGAACTGCACACTACAAGCACGACATAAGAAGAGATAGCTTCGGGCCTATGTCTTGTGCGAAGGCTGGGATTCCGAGTAGATGGCGACGAACTGCATGTCAAGCTTGACTGCCCCTGTACGGTAGATTGCTCTACCAAAGCCCACACGTCCTCCCGCAACAACGCTGCAAGAAAGACAGGTGCAGAGAAGGGCACTACCCCAAAATCTTAAGTCCTAAATCCTAAACCCTGAGCCCTAACGGCGGGGCAAGGACAAGGATTGTAACCTTTCAGGAAGGGACTCGGTAAATCTTCACTCCATGACCCGAGAACCCTACTAATCCCTGAACCCTAGACTCTTATCCCTAAACCTCAAACCCTAAACCCTACACTTTCATCCCTCAATCCTAAACCCTAAACCCCTAAACTCTAATCCCTGAACCCTACGCTCTCATCCTAAACCCCTAGAGGGTCCTGTGCTTTTTTGAGCCGGCCCTCGTTGCCGGCGGCTGAGATCCTTGTCAGGTGTGTGCGCTCAGAGTTTCGGGTTTAGGGCTTAGGGAAAGGAGCCCTTGTAGTAACCCTTCAAACCCTAAACCCTAAAACCTAAACCCTAAACCCCTAAACCCTAAACCCCTAAACCCTAAACCCTAAACCCCCCTTTGTGCCTTGTAGTTTCAGGCTTAGGGCTCGGGGTTTAAGGAAAAGGGTCCCCAGGGTTTACGGATTAGGGTTTAAAGCTTCAGGGATTTAGGGTGCAGGGCTTAGGGGTCGACGGTTTAAGGGTTTTTTTTTAAGGGTTTAGGGTTTAGGGTTTAGGGTTTAAGGATTAGTGTTTAGGGATTATAGGGGTTAAGGCTTAAGGTTTAAGGATTAGGGTTATACAGGCCAGTTTATGGTTTAGGGATATTACCTGCATGCAAAATCCGTCCGAGGGTCGTGCTTACAGAGTAGGGATGAGGTTTTGGATGAACATAGTAAAGGGTTATAGTGTCATAGTTATAGCTGATACAAACAAGAAGTAGGTGTTCTTAGGTCGACAGAGCCTTCTCAAGGACAAGTCCTCAAGATCCACGTGATCCTGTGTTCGGTCTTTCGGGGACTTTTGGTGACGGATCTCGAGATTCGGAGTACCTTAGGCCCGAAGCCCTATAAATTTTCGGGTGGGTAAAGGTATATGGGTGGTTGTCAAAATTATGGCCCCTTTTTGGGCACCCTAAATATTAGGTGCCGTATTAAAATAGGGACCCAAAAAGGGACCATAATTTTGACAACCACCCATATAGATGGAAGTTAAGGAGGTGCTCTCAGAACCTAAGAACCAGCAGGATACATCAACCAAGGACCCTACAGAGAAGGCTCTTCGCCTTGAAGAAGCAGGCTCTACCCAGAGGCACCAAAGTAGTTCCTTTTTGGGACGACCTTATAGGATTCTATATATGAACCCCAAAAAGGAACTACTTTGGGGCCTCTGGATATGAGGGGCCTACATTTTGAGGGTTTAGGGCCCGTCTACCAAAAGTCCGCTAATCCGTAGCCGCCGTCCAAGCAGCATGGTGGTGTAGGTTACCACGTTGGGGTCGACACGAGCTTCCACGGCCTGGTTGGTCAAGTTTAGGATGGATCCCTAATAGCCTAAACCCTATACTCCTAAACCCTAAACCCCTAAACCCTACACCCTTTAAGGGACGATCATAGGCATCCGGATCCCTAATAGCCTAAACCCTAAACCTGCTTTTCATTAAAGGGGACTCAGGGGTCTGTAGCGTGTCGGTGTTCGGGTTTGGGGTTCGGTTTGGGCATCTGACAAAAACATCTAGAAGGAAGCCGCCAGAGACTCAAAGGCGGCTCGTGTCTTCGGAAATCCAGAGAAGCGCTCTTCAGTTTCTTGTAGGGTTCAGGGTTTAGGGGTAAGGGAATTCATAAGGCATAATAGTCGTGTGTTTGGACCCTCTTGGTAACTACTAAGTCCTTTAGTCAACCCCTGTAAATCCCGGTGCAGAGGCCTTGGAAGGAGCCCCGACAGTCAGAAGAACCACATGAGCCCCCCACACACCCTAGACCCTAGACCGTGAACCCCAACCCCCAAACCCCCACCTCCCGAACCCCCAAACACGAAACAACAAGCCCTAAACCCCAAACCCCGACACCAAAAGCCCTAAACCCTAAACCCCTAACCCCTAAACCCCAAAGCCCTAAACCCCAGTTTGATGGCCTGCTCGAACCAGTGCTCGGCCGCTTGCAGGTCGCCCTTCCGGGCCGCGGCACTGATCAAAGTGTTGTAGGTCACCTGGGGGTCTACAGCTGGGGTTTAGGGTTTTAAGGGTTTAGGGTTTAGGGCTGTAAGGGTTTGGGGTTTAGGGTTTAGGGCTTGGGGTTTAGGGTTTTATGGGTTTTGGGTAATGGGTTGCAGTTTAGGGTTTAAGGTTAAGGTTTTAGAGTCTGAGGTTTAAGGTGCCGTGCGGGGTTAAGGGTGTAGAGGCTGATCCAAGTGTGCTGGGGGGTTGATCCAAGGCTTCCTTTTCGGGTGTCCTGTAAGGGCTGCCGTTAAGGAAGTCGAACCTTAAAATTTCACCAGGGTTTGTGGACATAGTTGTACTTGGAAGACCTTTATTCTGGCTGTGAGACTTGACATACACCCTAAACCCTAAACCCTGAACCCTGAACCCTAAACCATACCTGGATCTTGGGAGTTTGGAGTCCCCTGCTGCGTCCCAGCTGCACGGTCTGGGCTCGCGCCCATAAACTTGGCCGTGCGCAGCCAGCGCTCTGTCATCGACAGATTCCCTTGCCTGGGGGTTTGAGGTGTATGGACTCTAACTGGGGGTTCAAAGGTTCAAGGTTTGGCTGTTCAAGCCCTGGGGTGGTGTATGTAGGCCTGAGATGGGTACAAAGGCAGACATGCTTGAAGAGTGTTAGGGTTTAGGGGAAATACCTGCCTAACTAGCCATCGTATACCCTCCCAGCGATTCAAAGGGTTCTATCGTGGGCTTTGAGGCGTTTAGGAATGAAACATATTGTCTGCGCACGGCCCCCTGCGACATCATACAAAGAATGCACATCAAAAGCTCCCAAAGTCCCTTTTACTACGCAGCAAACAAAGTGTGAGCAGCAGCTCTTTGACATCTTGCCGGCCCCTGGAAGGTTGAAGGGTTTAGGGTTTGGGCCTCTTGTAAGACCCTTCCGAGACTGAACAAGTCTGAAGCTCTGCAGACGCCAGGCGAAAAGCGGCAGTGGCCTCTATGTTCTATACATTCCGGAAAATTTCGTGACATCGGATTTTCTGGGCGCTTAGATGCGTCTGCTTTACCCTATAAACCTTGAACCCCAACCCCCTAGACCCTAAACCCTGAACCTATACCCCCAAACACACCTCCTCATAGCGCCCTGTCTTTCATTTCAGATCCGAAAAATCGTGAAGAGCCGGCGGATCTGGCCTCGCCGGCCCGCTCATGAGGGTGTTGAAGGTGCCTCGGAAGGTTTTTTCTAAAGTGCATTGGCTCTTTCTCCACATCACAAGAGGGCTTAGGGCCTAGGATTGAGGGTTTAGGGCCGTTTAGGGTTTAGCTTCTGAACTTTACAAGGGCTTGGGAGCTTAGGGTTTAGTATTTCTACGTATTTGTGGCTTTGGGTTTGGGGCTGGGATGGGCTTTGGGATTCTTAGGGTTGTGAGCCCAGGGTTCAGGCACTTAGAGAGGCCTTTGCTTCTGCTTCGAGATTCATCCCGGATCCCTGTAGCATATAGCATATGATATAGGACATAGGAAAATGCAACAATTTTAGAACCATATGATACAACACAAGTAAGGTCAGAGTGGCGGAAAGCCTACGGCTTGCAACTTGCAAGGTTCGAGCTGCATCTTTCCGCGGACAGATCAGGTTGAAAGCTTCCGGAGCAGGAATAACTAGTTCATGGTTGGGGTAGGATTAACAATTTACATTTTTATTCCTTATTGGGTTAAGTACCCATAAAAATGTAAAATGTTACCCAACTATGACAAAGATAAGTTGAGGATTTAAGACACTGATTGCTTAATCGGGAGTGAGCGGGGTGGGAAGGTAGGAAGTCCCCAGATCCTGCAACTGGCAGGAACCGCTGTCGGGTTGTTTCAATGGCGGAACCAGATATATTGTGGGACTTTCCTCTGCGTGGTCCGCTGTGAAATGACACAACGACTCGTACAGAACAAATGTAATTCCATCAACCGCGGAGAACAAAACAGCTTGACTGCGTTTACCTTGCGAAGCCTATACCCCGATAACCTCAAACACACCACTAAAGCGATCCAACCAGCCTGATACAGCCGCACCGGCATACAAAAACGCGACTCAAAAAGGACCGAAGATCGGATGGTTGGCTGAATACCCATGTCCAGCGCCATCTCGTACCAATGCCTCCGGCACAGTGGCTCTGGGAGCTGGAGGTATGGCTTAGGTTTAGGGTTTCAAGGTACAAACGTTTCAATCATTCTGGGCGGAAACATTGGGAGAGGCAAATTGGAAAGCATGTCCATGGTGGCCACTCGTGCTTAGATTACAGTAGAAGCCCAAAAGTTGGAAACCCATTAGCCTCAATCCTTGAGAGTAATGTATGGCCTCAATCCGGTTTCCAACTTTATGGGGTTTACTCTAACTGCTCTGGCTTTCGGTGTAAAAAGGCCCTTATGCTGAAGAGCGCTGACGAAGCTATCGAACACCCTTCTTGGCTGTCACTACCCCTAAACCCTAAACCCTAAACCCTCAACCCTAAACCTTAAATCCAACCCTAAACCCTAAACCCTAAAGCCCGTTCGTCCTGGGGCATCCCAGAGGGGGCATGGCAGGGTGTAGGGGCTTGTTTTAGAGGTTTGGGAGTTAGGGTTTAGTGGCTTGGGGTCATATGGCTCAGGCTTGAAACTCTCGTATTTCTTTGTGTGTTAGATGGCAGTGTTTGGGCCTAATTTCCAAAAAACTTGTTTGGTTACTCTTTGTGATTATACATTATACTACTGGGATTGTGGCGCATCAAACAAGGTAAAGGTTGCTTACCCTAAACCCTAAACCCCTTGCATACCTAAACCCTGAAGCCTTAACCCTTGACCCTGGGCCCCAACCCCTGCACCCCTAAACCCCTAAGCATCCTAATCCCTCAACCCTTGCAGCCCTAACTAAAACCCTAAACCCCTTCACCCTTAACCCTTGCATCCCTAGCTAAAAACCCTAAGCCCCTTCACCCTTAACCCTTGCATCCCTAACTAAAAACCCTAAGCCCCTCACCCTAAACCCTGCACCCAAAACATTTTGAACCTAAACCCTGAACCCTAAAAAGTCTGAACCCTAAACCCTGAACCCTAAAAACTCCGAACCCTAAACCCTGAACCCTGCACCCAACAAATTTTAAACCCTAAACGTGACAAAAAGGCGAGCCTGCCTCGCTGCCTTATCATCGCCGCTGCGCGCGGCAGCATCGATCATCGAGGTGAAGGTCACGACATTCCTGGGGCTCTGTGAAATTTAGAGCTTGCCAGTTTGCCTTAGGGTTTAAGGGTTAGGGTTTAGAGGCGGAGTAGAGTAGAGTGTAGTAGAATATAGTAGGCTATAGTCAAAAGTATAGAGTATAGTAGTAGATTGTCGTCTAGAGTATATAATGCAGTACAGTATAGTAGAATACTGCAGGAGTTACAGGGGTTATAAGAAGATGTTCTCAAGGTTCTGGAAGCATTCTGCAAGGGTACTGGTTTACAAGGCTTCTATACTGTACTTGTTCGGGAAGCGGAAACGCGCTCAGGGTCTACGGTTTCACAGGTGAGGGTTGAGAGTCTAGATTTCCAGGTGCACGGGTAAGGTTTTGTGTTTTGGCGCATTGAGAACTGCGTGCCTGAAAATCTGAAGAGCCTGCTTTATCGCCTGTTCCGAGGAGACTCACCTGGTTCAAACTGGAGTGCCCTGTGGATTCTAAGTAGACCACAAACTGCGGTTTCGTGCTTAAGCTTTAAGCTTTCTGCTCTCAATGACTAAAGATAAACGGCAAAAGCACTATAAAGACAAACCGCAATGCTATGTGCGAGAGAACCAAACGCCGCAAAGCCCGTGCGAAAAGCCGCACGAGAAAGCTGTCCAGGACACTGATCACAAAACCAGTGAATCTACAAGTCCTAGACCTCAAGCTCTTATGACATTATGAAACCCTCAACAACCCTTGAAATAGGAAGCTGTACAGGGACCCCAATGAAAAAAGCAAGCAGACCCTGAACCCTGAGTCGGGATTCGGAGTGACCCCATTCTGCTCCGCGACCTGCGAGGGCTGTGTTCCTTTCTGATTCTGGGTGGTCAGTGGGGGTTTTGGGATTTTGGGGTGCAGGGCTTCTTTTCGGATGAGGCTTGAGTCCGGTCGACACGCCAAAAGGGTGTATTGAGTTTGGGAACAGTCAAGAGTCCAGGGCTTAGAGGCCTTGGAGCTCTAGGATTTATGGTGGCGTTAGGTTGACAGTGGGCTGCCTTTCCGTGGGTCGGGGACCCTTACAAACCCTCAACACAACCCTAAACCCTATAAAAACCCTACACCCTGAACACTAAACCCAAACTAAAGCCTATACCCTGATCCTTGTATATAAACCTATTTCTGGAACGCTGACAACCTAGACCCTCCATCTACCCTCTATTATCTATTGGACCCTAAATGCCCCTTCTTTGGGGCCATATACCCCTATTTAAGGGTACAAGGAGGGTCCTGGAAAAGAACTCCGAGACCGGCTGACACAAGAACTCCGAATAGACCCTTAATATAGCTATTATATACCCATTATATAGCCCATTATAGGCTAGGGGTCCCCAGAAAAAGGGTCCCTCCTTTTTAAGAACTCCGAGACCCGGGCCTCGTACCAGTGCTCTGCCATGGAGAGGTTTCCTGCCTTGGCAGCGGCACTGATGATGGTCCTGGGATCAAGGAGTCTAGGGCTTCTAGGGATGGTTTGGGTAGTCGTCAAAATTAAGCTCCCTTTTTGGGTATCCTAAATGATAGGTGCCGTATTTTAATAGGGACCCCAAAAAGGGGCCATAATTTTGACAACCACCAATTTGGTGCCGTGGGCTGGCGTACCATACGGGCCCCGAGAAGTATAGGATAGGATGTGATGTGCATCTAGAGCTTAGGATGCCAGGCCATGAAAGCCCTGTCGACACATAGCATACCAAGCCTCCCAAAACCTAAACCCTAAACCCTAAACCCTATTCGAGGTTCCGCACGAAAGGGCTTGGGGTCTAGGGGCTTCTTCAACTCCAAAATCCCGGCCGCAACTCCCGAGAGAACTAAACTCTAGGGACAGAGCGGGCCAGAGAGTGTAGAACAAGCTTATGTAGGGGCCTTCATAATTAGAATCAGGTTTTGGGGGCTCCTTATTCTAAGAATATGAAATAATATACCCCCCCAAGCCCTATTCTAATTGTTAAGTGCCCTACACTTGGAACCCCCGGTCTCCAGAGTATTCGCCCAAAGGTTTCCCGAAGTGGGCCCCCTGAAGGATCTCTCTTGGGGCTTATAGGCGTTGAGGAGATTTTTTGGTTTGAGGTTCAGGGTTTAGGCTTCATGGTTTAAGTAGGGTTTGAAGAGGTGTTGGTTTAGGGTTCAGGATTCAGGGTTTTGGGTTTAAGTAGGGTTTGAGCAGGTTTTGGGCTGTTGGGTTCAGGGCCTTGGGTTTGGAGTTTGTTTGAATCACCCCCGTTACGGAGCCTTCTGGTGCGCTTTGAAGCCAGAGGGCGTGTAGGTCACCACGTTCGGTCTCAACCCCGCTTTCTCCTGGGATCGGGCTGGTCGAGGCGTAAGGTTTCGGGTCCGTCAAAGGGGGTTAGAGTTTCCTAGACCCCCCAAAGTAGGTAGAATAATGGCCCCAAAACCTATGAAAGGCTATTATTCTACATACTTTTGGGGTCCAGGTTTTAGTCTAGGGTTTAGGGTTACGGTTTAGGGTTTAGGGTTCCTCGAACGGTTCCAGAAGGGGTTAAGGCTTTCAAGGCGTTCGATGCGGCTTCAGGGTTCAATGCCCGAGGCATGCTCATGTAAGGAGTTGAGGTTTGGAGTTTCGGGTTTCAGAGTTATGGGTTTGGCGTTGCAAAGACATCAAATGTCCAAACACCCTTACAACAATCACCCGAGTCAACTCAAATTCATGCAAGCATGAGAGGCGTGCGGTGCATTGTAAAGCATAACTGTTTTGGGTGTAAGGAGGCCTCATGAAGAGCTATTCAGACACCCACCTATGTTCGCCGAAAGCCTGTTAAACTCAGGTCTGCAAGAGGAACTTCTTCGGAGGCAACGGAAGCCTGCCCCAATCCTTGGGATCTTGCATCCAAAGGTCTACCGTAAACCCACTAAACCCTAAACCCCTAAACCAACCTCGATTGGGTAACCTCAAGCCAACTTCGGTCCTTTAGGGTCACAAAACACCCCCCAAAATCCAAACCCTAGACCTAACCCGAAACCAAAGTTAAGAACAGCCTAGGACCTTATCAAAGCCGCTGCAAGGCCTGCGTTGATCCTTCAATCAAATCCCTCACGGTCCCTGCACAACTGAATGTACTACAAGTATATCGAAAAACCCCTCAAAGACCCATATTGCACTATTAATGAACTTCGAGCCATACTACATCGAACAGGGTTTGGGAGTATGCTAAAGTACGTACAACCGTAACCACCAGGAACCTTATTAACTCTAACCCTAAAGCCCTCAAACCTCAACCTAAAACCCAGAGCTCTCAAACCCTGTAGCCCGAAACCCTAGACCCTGAACCCCAAAACCCTAAAGCCACTGAGCCTGCCCTAAAATCTATAACTTCTTGTCAACAACCTTATCACCCTAGACACCCTAAACCTTAAAACCCTGAACCCCTATTAACCTAAAATCCCTAAACCCTGAGCCCCAAGACCCTAAAACACGAAACCCTGAACCCCAAAACTCTAACATCCTAAATCCCTATAAAGCTCACAAAGCCCCAAAGTACTTGCCAGGGTCGATCCGGGGAAGCCATCTGGCCGTACCCTCCACGTCTCCATCCCGGGCCGAGGATGCCATCAGGGAGTTCCTTCGGTTTAGGGTTTAGGGCCTTGACTGAGCTTGGGAGGACACCAGGAGAAAAGTCTAAACTCTAATTTTCAAAAGGGCTCCTTGAAGGAACAAATCCAAAAAAGCAGTCAAGTAAGATAATTACTCCAGAACCCAGTTGATGGAGGGTTTGGGGGTGGAGGGTTTAAGGTGTAGAGTTCAGGGTGTAGAGCTTAGGCCTGTGTTTTGGTTGGGGTGGCGGTCTCTCTGCATGCCAGCCAATAACTCCGCTCGCGAACTTGATGAAATCGTGCTCCCGCCAGAGTGCCATGCACATTTTGGCTAGGTGGGGCTTTTAAAGCTTTTGAAACATATTAGTAAATAAGATCCTCTTAAGCCCACTAATGGAAAATATAAAATGTCCCAAAGCCCTACCTAGTTGGGGGGTGTTTCAGGAGGGCAGGTGGCCGACCAGCCAGGTGATGGGGGCATAGGGGCTTTGGGATTTGGACTTTCGGGTGGAAGTCGTGCTCCCCCCCTGGCAGTCGAATTCGAAGAGTCCTACAGGACAAAGCTTTGGTTAAGTCCAACCTGAACCTCCTAGAACCTACTCCCCTTACAGGACAGGGTTTAGGGTTTAGGGTTTAGGGTTTAGGGGTTTAGGGGTTTAGGGTTTAGGGTTTAGGGCAACTTTCGGGAGCATTGGAAAAACAGCTTGTGGTAGGATCAGCTACAGCGGTAACTCCAGCAGTCAAGGTGCAGCATGCTAAGTGTCGGCGTAATGCCTTCCTCCTCGGCCAGCTTCAACCACGCCTCAGCAGCCGCCATGTCACCTTTGGGGTTTAGGGTTTTAGGTTTAGGGGTTTACTGCTTCAGGGTTCGATGTAGGACCCAAGTTTATGGCTTAGGGTTTAGGGTTACGGTTCTAAGGCTGGTTGCTTCAGGGCTTTATGGTCTAGGGTTTTACGTCACCTTTGGGATTGCAGGTTCAAGATCCAGGGTGCCCCTCACGTCGCTTGTCCAAAACCCCAAATTACCCTAAACCCTAAACCCCCACAACCCTAGACCCTATATAAACCCCACAACCCTGGACTCTAAACACTGGATCCGAAGCTCTACATGAGGGGGTCTTGGATACTCTGCAGTAGCTTTGAGGTCTAGCGGCTAGCGTCTTGGGTGCTCCTTCGGAGGGCGGATGAAGGGGGGGGGGATGTTAGGGGTTTGAGATACCCTAAACCCTAAACCCTAAACCCTAAACCCCTAAACCCCTAAACCCTAAACCCTAAACCCCTAAACCCTAAACCCCTAAACCCTAAACCCTAAACCCCTAAACCCTAAACCCTAAACCCTAAACCCCTAAACTCATCACGGCACGAACCCTGAACCCGGTGGTTCGCGGGACTCTGAGCCGAGATCCAAAGGGTTAGAGGTCAAGGGTTCTCTCTTTAAGGGATCTATAGGGCTCCTTTAAGGGATCTATAGGGCTCCTTTACGGGATCTATAGGGTTCCTTTAAGGGATCTATAGGGCTCCTTTACGGGATCTATAGGGTTCCTTTAAGGGATCTATAGGGTTCCTTTACGGGATCTATAGGGTTTAGGGTTACGGCCCAAGGCATGTCTCCAGAGTGGCTTCAAGTGTTAAGAGACAGCTTGAGGCAACCATATGCCCATGCTTCCGAAGCAGGACAGATCATGCACTAATGGGGTCAGTCTTGGGTCTCCAGCATTATGATATGCGTGCTCCGTGAAACCAAGTGTTATTCATATTGCCAGTATAGTCTGATGGATACTTGTTGCCCCGGACCATGAAAGAAGCCCAAAAATCTAAAGCCTGAAACCCTAAACCCTACCCTAAACCCTAAACCCCAAAACCCTAAAACCCTAAACCCTAAACCCTAAACCCTAAAACCCTAAACCCTAAACCCTAAACCCTAAAACCCTCAACCCTAAGCCCTGATCCCTAAAAACCGAAACTGCCAAGCTGCCCTTCTTGGATGCGGCGTTGATGAGAGCTTGGTAAGTTAGGCCATCTGGCTGGCAGCCTGCACTTTGTGCCCGGGAATACCAAATCCTCGGATGGGCTTTTTCTTCCGAGTTTAGGGTTTCGGATACCTCGTTTAAGTGAAGCTAGCAACTCTCTGCATGGGTCTGTCAGGAGTTGAGGATAGTTTCCGGGTCTCGGATGCTTCTTTGTCGTTAGGGTTTAAGGTTTAAGGGCACACGCATGAGGTCGGGTCAAGTTCACTGCAGTTCAAGACCCAAGGTCATTGAAGTTTCTTGATGCTCGTGCATACCGAGACAGCTCTTAACAACTAGGTGGGGCTTTTAAAGCCTTTGAAAAATATTAGTGAATAAGATCCTCTTAAGCCCAATAAGGGAACATACAAAATGTCCCAAAGCCCTACTTAGACAATGTCCTCTTCAGCCCTACACTCCTTAAGCTCCAAGGCCGCAACACCCCAAACCCCAAGCCGTGAATCCGGAAGCCTCGACATAAGGATTATATAGGATTATATTAGGGCCCTATTATATTCCCATTATACCACTATTACAGGGTGGGGGCAGCTTCTAAAAGATAAGCCCTAAAAGGTCCCGCTCCCTATGCAGAACTTCTTAAAGCACTTCCGTCGCGATGCCGAGAACAGGCGAGCTTTTTAAGCAGGCATAGACATCGTACATGCATCAAAATGTAGGAGCCCTCTGTCAAGCAGAGAGAGCATTCCAATTGAATAAATCAAAATCAGGCAACTACATCACGGTTCTCAGCAGCCGAGACGCTCTGCAGCGGCTGTGTCTCCGTTTTTTGCCTGAGTTGAGTTGGGATATCGGGTTTGCAATTCGATGCGGCCTTCGCGGTGTTTAGGCAAGAGGGTTTCGGACTGAGAGAGGGTTTAGGGTTTAGGGTTTGAGGGCAGGTTAAGTCTTAAGTGTTGCAGACAAGGCGATGAAGAACCTTGCAGCGCGTTCGCTGTCTTGCGACCAGTGAAACCCAAACCCGAAACAGCCGAGCGGGGCCGGCCTGAATTTCCATACAGGATGGATGTTCGGTAAGAGTTTTACGGTTTAGAGTTTAGGGTTAGGTTCAGGCTTCATGATTTCGGGTGTCGAGTTTAGTTCGTGGGAGTTGAACCATGTGAGGCGCTAACCTTAGCATGAGCCCCGTGTGTGGTGCCGCGCCGCCGCTGCTTGCATCATGCTGTTAAAGGTCTCCACGGTCGGCGAGATTCCACCTCGCTGCTGCACTTGAGCTGTTTTCCCTTTCAGGGTGAGAGTTTTAGGTTTAAGGTCATGGAAACATTACGCGGCTCGTAAGGCGTTCGAAGGACGTGAAACCTGTGAATCTGCAAAGCTTTTCGGAGCGCAAGCGAAACCTTATGGCTACCGCAGAGTGTGGAACCTGAACCCGACAGACAGAATCTTGAATCATACACCTCGGAGGCCTCACAAGGTGGGATGAAGGTAGGTGGGATTAAGGATCCCTTATACAAGGACTCTTATTTGGGAATATCCCACCTACCTTCATCCTACCTTTTGAGGCCCCCGAACACCTGGTGCCCAAAGCCCTTCAACCCGAAACTCCAGGAACTTTAACCCTTAGGCACCACACCCTTGAAAAATCCTAAACCCCTAAACGCTAGACCCTATGAGAGTCTTACAGAACCTTTGTAAAACCAAACAACAGTTTGCAGAACACAGTTCAAGTGCTATACTATACCCCCAAACCGAATCAGACCCCGCAGCAGGGAGCTAATACAAAAGGCCGTAATAATCGTAATAGGGCTTGGTGTATCTCGTTTACTACAATAGAATGGGAACGCACAGGAATAGTATGAGAGATGATTACCTTAACTTAACCCCAAAAAACCTACCTTAAGGATTTATCTAAAGAGAAAAGATTAAGCAACCCTGAACAGGTAGGTTTCTAAGAGTCCAGGTAAGGCTTATATGGTTGGTAGTTTTACTACTATTAGTAGTTTTATTCTGACTAATATTGTTGTTATTATTATTGTATACAACTATCCAGGCTTATAGATTAAAGGCACCTTCTGCGGCTTCCATGTAGAGGTTGGCAGCGGCTGCGAGGCCATCATCACCTGGGATCTTGCCGGTGAACTCATTGACTTTAGAGTTTAGAACTACGGTTTAGGGTTTAGGGGTTTAGGGCTTTAGGGTTTAGGGCCAGAGTTTAGGGCCTAGGGTTTAGGATTCAGGTGTTACGATTTGAAGTTTAGGGTTTAGGGCCTGGGATTTAGGATTCAAGGCTTATGGATTGAAGTTTAGGGTTTAAGGCAGAGCAGGGCCGGGCTGGATTCTGTACAGCTTTCACCCGAAATATTACCGGTCATGGTCGGATCGGGTCGCGGGCTTGAAGTATCGGAGCTGGAGTTCGTAGCTTCAGAGATGCGGCTGCCTTTGGAGGGATCGTGGAAGCGTGTAGGGTTTAGGGTGCAGGGTGAGTGGAGGGTTTTGGGTTAGGCGTTGAGGGTGCTGGGCTTTGGGGTTCTAGGCTTGAGCCTTGGAAATCAATGTGCTTTGTAGTACATACGTAGATATGTACTGCTTATATATATATATATATATATATATATATATATACCTGGTCCAGGAGTCCACACAAACAGACCCTTTCGCATAAGCTCAGCATAAACCGGCAATGGGGCCACTGGCACTGATGCTGCACCTATGCCTTAAATTCTGATCCCTTTTAAACATCCTCGACCTCGTATTGAATTGAAAGGATCACAAGGCCTCTGTTGACAGAATCTCATGGGGTCCTGAATCCTGACGATTCAGTTCCCAAACCCTCTAAGCCTCTAAACCCTAAACACAGCCCTAAAGACACAACATGCTCATCGCTAACAATCCTGCATCAGGATAACTTCAAACTCTCAACCCGAAGCCGTGCAGCACCCTGAACCAACATGCTTCGCCAGCCAAGCTGCGGGCTACCCTCTCCAAGAGCGAGTTGAAAGCCTGGCAGCACAAGGGTTCAAGTATGGGGGTTCCATCGAAAGCTCCTCAGAGGGATCATCTTTAAAGTGACTCGTCAAGAGTTCCGTCAAGTTGAATAAGTTTCCTTAGAGGTATCTGTACCCATAGGCCCCAAAGTAATTCCTTTTTGGGGTTCACATATAGAATGCTATAGATAGTCCAAAAAGGAACTACTTTGGGGCCTCTGGGCAAAGGAATCCTGAAAGGGTTGCCTAAACCCTAAACCCCTACACCCTTAAGGCACTCTCAAGCTTCAAGGGTTCCTGCATGTGAAAGGCGCCTTGATCGAAGGATCCCTTTCAAGGGTGCATTAAGCGAGAGCTATATGGCGGGGGGGTTGTCCGAAAATAGGGGACCCTAATATGGTTTACTAAAAGAATAGGATCCTTACTAGAAGTGACCCCAAAATAGGGCACCCCTAATTTTCGGAAACTCCCATATACACTACCCCCCAAAGGCTCCAAGGTTATAGTAGATACTTACGCCTTGAAGGGGTCCCTATATAGCTACCTTAACCCCTAATTTTCGGAAACTCCCTTTTGGCTACACTCAAGGGCTCCTTGAGGTGATTCCTGGGCGTACTCTCGCCAAGCCTACCTTCTTAACCACAGGCCCCAAAGTAGTTCCTTTTTGGGTCCATATATAGAATCCTGTAAGGTAGTCCAAAAAAGGAACTACTTTGGGGCCTCTGGGTAACCGCAACTCTAAAAACCCGAAACCCGAAACCATAAGAACAAGGACCCCAAAACCGTGAGCCCTGAAACCCTACACCTTAAACCCAAGACCCTACCCTAAACCCTAAACCCTGGAACCCTGAAAACCAAAACCCCGAACCTCGTTTAAAACCTAAACCCGAAACCCTAAACCCAATGTACCACTCCAGCTACCAAAGTCCCAAGATCCACCGAGTAGGCATTCGGAAGGGGGTCATGTGCGTGGGTCTTCCCGGCTTGGGTTTTGCAGGTTTCTTACTGGTGGTACGGTTGATGATCTAAATCCTGCATTACCCATAATAAGGAATATGCCATAATTCCCATAGTTTAGAGTCCTTAAGGTAAGGCAGGATTTTGCCCATCAGCAGTATGAGCGTGATGGGCATTTGAGGGTTTGTCAGGTCGGGTTCTAAGGCTCCTGGGGCTCATTGGATGTCTAGGGTTTGGCTCCTTGGGGTGGTCTTAGAGCTTGGGGTGGTTTTAGAGAAGACCCTCAATCCCAAATTCTCAAGACTGAGTCCCAAACCAAAAGCACAAAAACCAACCTCTGAATCCCAAAGAGTCCTAAACCCTAAACCTTAAACCAAACTCTGAATCCCCAACAGGCACTGTGGGGCTTTCCGAAAATGGGGGGGGGGGGGGGGTACCTTAGTTTGGTGTCCTTATAATAAGGATCCTACTATTTAGGGTGCTATATTAAGGTCCCCTATTTTCGGACACTCCCCTGTAGAGGCATTCCCCAGGACCCTGGCACGATGCAGGCCTCTGCTGGCAGGAGAAGACCCACTTCCAAGGATTTTCCTGAGCTCAAAGTCGAGGCCCTGAAGGTGCTCTATGGGGTTTAGGCACAAGGCTATAGGGTTTAGGTTGGTTATGAGGATAAAGGTGTTTTTGAGGGGTTTAGGCATACGGTATAGGGCTTAGGGATTGGGAATCTGACGGTGAGGGCCTGGACCAGAGAATCGAGTCTGTAGCAAGGGGCAGGCATCTCGGCTGAGTGGTTTCGAGTCTCCGGTGGAGTTTAGAGGGTTCCTGCAAGGGATTCCTGAAAGGGTTCGCGCTTTAAGGGTTACTGCTTCAGAACCTGCAGTCTAGGGCTCACGGAGTGACTTGGGTGAGGCGCTTTTGGGGGAGGCCAAGAGAATCACATCCGAAATCCAGCAGTACGGTCTGGTTTATGGGAGTGGGGGCCTCATTCTGCGTCGGAAAGCCGGCTAGGGAATAGAAGGTTTCGCACACGGCATCAGGCTGCACAAAGAACATCCGAATCTGGAGCTGCTTTTGAATGCGCTTGAGGCTTATGCTTCAATCTGAAGGAAATGCAGGCGTCTGAACCAGTAGATTGCGGCTGCGAGATCTCGCCGCCCGATACATGTCTCGATCCTCGGCAGATTAATCTTAAGATCGAGGGCCAAAGTGGGTACCATAGCTTTTCATATATATATATATATATATACACACACATACTCACACACACATACATACATACATACATACATACATACATACATACTTACATACATACATACATACATACATATATACATACATACATACATACATACATGCATACCTTTACATACATGCCATACGCATATGCCTACATATAAATAACTACATATATAATATCATATAACACATTGAAAGTTCGAATCTCATGTGATCCGAGGGCCTTCGGCTTCACGATCCGGATTGACAGCACAAGGATGTCGAGTCTTTCAGAAACAGGGTCGTATGTCAAGGTTCTTCTAGAAGCTAAGACCATACAAGTATGCATGAACCCTAAACCCCAACCCCAAACCCTCAACCCCGAACCCTAAGCCCCAAACCTTAAACACCAAACCCTAAACCCCGAAACCCCAAACCCTAAACCCCAAACCCTGATCCCCGGCTTTCTCCTCATCCCAGGCCCTAGACCCTAAGCCCTAAAGCAATTCTATCCCAGGAGCATCATCCGGAAGGTCTTCTCATTCGGATCCAATCCTGCGCCTGTCCGCAGAAAAAAACGCAGAACGGGGGCCTTCTTTGAGGCTTCATGAAGGGGCCTTCATGTACGGTTAGTCAAGAGGCCTTGATGTAGAGTTTTGGGTTTGGGGTTTTGGGGTATAGGGCTTCGGGTCTAGGATTTTGGGTTCGGGGTTTAGGAATGCAAGGGGTCTGGGGTTTGGAGGGACTTCGGGCTGTAAGCTCTAAACGCAGCTATGACCCTTTACCGTAAACCTCGCAGGAAATCCGACCTACGACACAAGGCAAACTAAGGCCAAAAAAGACATAGCTAGCAATAGTCTCAGTCCCGATGCAAGTATGGTATAATATGCCCTAGCACATTTGCTAACCCATGTTTCCAATATTTTGGGCCCCTAAAACAGTTCGCAATCCTGCTCCCCCCATGCAAAAAGAACGGTGGCTGCTTCGGACGGAGGACCACCCGATCCCCAAGGAATTGAGTTTGAAAACCCTAAACCCGAAGCTCACAAGGGCTTGGAGATCCGGAGAAGTCAACCATTCCGAAGCCCTGAATCGGGTTTTAAGGTTTAGGGCTGATTTTTGAGCTCCTTTTTGATGCCTGCAATTAAGGTTTAGGGTTAAGGGCTCAGGGTCTTGCGGTTTAAGCTTCAGGCCAAGCAGCCTCTAATATACCCCCGATACCCACTATTACGGGCCATAAGGGCTCTACTCATTTGCGCTTGGGTGTTCAGAGTTCAGGGCTTGCCCCTTAATGCGCTCTTAGATTCCTCCTCATTATATAAGAGGTAAATATGGGCTACAATAAAAGCTAGTTGGGGGTGGTCTAGGCCGGTTTAGCACGGGGCTCCTTTAACAAATTATAGGGCTTTGTTGGGGTCTAGTTTAAGGTTCACCTGGACCCCCTACCTCTAACATACCCTAAATACCCACTATTAAGGACCATAAGGGCTTTATTAAAGGGTACCTGACCTGGGGTGTCCTGGCAGGGTTTAGGGTTTAGGATTTAGGGTTTAGGGATTAGGGTTTAGGGTTTAGGGTTCAGGGTTCAGGGTTTAGGATTGGGCCTTTGCCCTGGCTGTACCACGATTCAGCGCTCGCTAGGTCGCCCTTCCTGGCGCACTGAAAGGGGTGGGGCTGTTGTCGGAATTTCTGGGGTCTGACATGGGGTTCTTTTTTTTTGAGCCCCTTTTTCCCGAAGTCCCTAGCTGCAGCGATTTGACATGGGGTTCGGGGTTTAGGGTTTTGGAGATTTCTGGGTCGGGTATGGGGTTGAGGGTTTCGGGGTTTTGGGCTTTCTAGGCTTTGGGGGCTGAGCAACTCGGATTATAGGTAAGGTACCTATAGTTCTAAGTTCTAACTACACTTGTTTACAACCCCAGGGGATGCAGGGTTTAGGGGTCTGGGATTAACCCTAAACCCCTAAACCCCTAAACCCTAAACCCTAAAACCCTAAACCCTAAACCCCTAAACCCTAAACCCCTAAACCCTAAACCCTAAACCCTAAACCCCTAAACCCCTAAAACCCTAAACCCCTAAATCCCTAAACCCCTAAACCCCTAAACCCCTAAACCCTAAACCCCTAAACCCCTAAAACCCTAAACCCTAAACCCCTAAAACCCTAAACCCGAAACCCTAACTTCGACGGCCGAAGGCTCCCGGGGCTTATGGGCTGTTGCTCTGAAGCTCCCAGCTGCAGGGCTTGGGGATTGCAGGTTCAACACAGGGCCCCGGGCTTCCCGGAGTCAAGAGTTAAGGCAATTCAGGATTTAGGGTTTAGGCGTTTAAGTTTAGGGTTCAGGATTCAGGGTTTAGGCTTTTAAGTTTTAGGGTTCAGGATTTAGGGCTATAGGGGTTTAGGGTATTAGGGTACAGGAGCTTAACATTCCACGATTCAGGTTGCGGGGATCTGACCTCGGGCAAAGGGTTGAGGATGAGACCTTTGCATCAACATGCCTGCGTAACCTTGGAATGATCTACTGTATACCCCTAATTAGCCGCTGTGTTGGCTGTTCAACCCTGAACTAAGCCCAACCCCCCAAACCCAATCAAAACCTACAGGGGAGTTCTCTAAATTAGGGCTCTTGTTTAGGAGCCCCTTACAAAAGGACCCTATGAAATGGGCGCAAGTTTTAGAGAACTACCCACATTCTAGAAGCCCAGCCCTTGTAATCATACGCCAACGAAGGCCCAGATTCCGAGCTGCAGCCGTGATCAGCGTGTTGAATGCCTGGTTGCAGAGTTCCAGTAATGTAGGGGCCTTCACAACTAGAATAGGGTTTTGGGCTATATCATACTATAACTATATAAACGACCCCCCCCCCCCCCAAACTAGTATTGGTTGCGGAGTTCGAGCAATATGGGGTGGGGTTTAGGGGTATGCTGTACTACATTTCCGAAAGGGGCCCCCAGGAACTATATCTGTAAATACTAAAAACCTTCTAAAACCCTAAACCCTAAACCCTAAAACCCTAAACCCGAAACCCTAAAAGCCTAAATCCTCAAGTTGCCGGTCTGGGGTCTTTGGACAAGGCCCTTCATGACCTGTCCACCCTCGGAACGGCTCCTGGCACTACACCTTTATGGGAGTTTCGGAAAATTAGGGTACCGTATTTTGGGGGATCCTCATAGGATCCTACTATTTAGGGTGCTATATTAGGGTCCCCTGTATTTTCGGAAACTCCCTTTCTTCGGTCCGGCTAGAAGCCTTCTAGAGCCCTTCTGGGAACTTTGAAAATCCTTACGATCCCTAACAGTGCAACTTCTACATCCGGGCACTCTGAAGGGCTGAGGTACGCCATGAAGCCTTCAACGCATCGCCGGATGCTCCCATCTTTTTTCTTGCTGCAGTCTTGCCCCCGCGCCCATTCCAACAGCAGAGAAATAGTACCAGTGAGTTGCGCCAGTTGCGGGTTTTGTGCTGGTGGTACTTGTCAATCTCCAGCTCCGCAGAACCATACCAGTCATGGTACTTATCGTGCCACTGACTCTGGCTGCGCTCCGTGTCCAGCTCGAATGCCAGAACATGTGTGCTAGCCATAATGCACACCTTTGTGAATTTTTGAGCTCTCGGAACCGGAACCCTACCAAATCTCGTAAAACCCCATGAAGCCCTATAAACCCAGACCCTGAGCCTGAAATTCCCTAAAAGCCTAAACCCTAAAACCGTGAACACCTAAACCCGCCCCTCGCCGATGTTTTCGAAAGCTGCAATAGACCCTGAAACCCGAAACCTTAAGCCCCAAACCCTCAACTAACCTTTGGTTAGTAGGGAATGGAAGAATGGTAGTAATAGTAGCTATAATTGTACCCCATTCCTCCATTCCCTACTACCCAAAGGTAAGTAAATACTGAAAGGATCATGGGACTTAGTAACTACGGTCTTAATTAAGGTATCTGTACATATAACCACTTATAACCCCAATTAAGGCACAGTCCCTAGCCCGAAACCTTAAGCCCCAAACCCTAAACCCAAAGCCCCTCGCGGAACTCCCAAGGGCCCTTTAATAGAGCCCTTATTGCCCTTAATAGTCGGTATTTGGGGCATATTAAAGGGTAGTTGGGGGGGCATTTCTAGTTTTGGGCTTGGGGTTTAGGGTTTGGGTTTAGGGTTTAGCTTTTAGGGAATAGGGTTTTGGGTGTAGGGTTAGGGTTTAGGGTTTGCAAACCCGAAACCGTAAGCCCCAAAAACCTTAAACCCTAAACCCTAAGCCCCTCCGGGAACTCTCGCCTGCACATCGGCCTTAAGCCCTAAAGCCATCGCTCGCTGATACCAGCGCTTCGCCAGCGCCAGGTCCACCTGAAAAGGGGTCATTGTAAAGGGATCGATAAGGGTTCCTTTAAAGGGGTCTATAAGGTTTAGGGGTTTATGGGTTTAGGCTTTCAGGGCTTCGGGGTACATATGTATATATATATATATATGTACTTATATTTATGTATTCATAGACAGATAAATAGACAGACAGACAGATGAATACGTAGATTCTGACGTAGATAGATGGGTAGGTAGGTCGGTCGGTGGGTGGGTAGATAGGTCGGTAGGTCTGCAGGTCGGTAGGTCGGTGGGTCACTAGGTAGGTACGGTTGATGATAGAAATCCTGCATTACCCATAATAAGGAATAATACCATACTTCACATAATTTAGGGTCCTTAAGATAATGCAGGATTTGTATCATCAACAGTAGTAAGCCCTACTAAACCCTGAAAGGTAGATAAGTGGTCACTAGGTAGCTGGCTGGCTAGTTCGCTAGGTAGGTAGGTAGACGGATGGATGGATACATGTAACGATACAGAGATAGGAAGGCAGATAAACGGACAGACCGACAAATTGTTGTGGTGCATACCTTATGACTTTACACCATGGTTTCGGGTATGATGTCTCTTTCTTCTTACAGTGTTGCGCTGTCATGCATCGGTTCGGCCGACTGAACCCTCCGTACAGGCCGAAAGAGTTTGACTAAACAATCCAACCCCAGACCCCGAAGAGGATCCTGTTTTGCAAAGTCCCACCTGAGCAGCCGCATCCTGCCGAGCTTCCAAAAGGCTGGCTTCGGAAGCACCAATCTAAGGCTTTTTCTTGCTGCGGGATGTTGACGTCCATCCATACTATTACTATTACTATTACTATTACTATTACTATTACTATTACTATTACTATTACTATTACTAGTACTAGTGCTAGTGCTAGTGCTAGTGCTAGTGCCTGCTAGTGCTAGTGCTAGTGCTAGTGCTAGTGCTAGTGCTAGTGCTAGTGCTATTGCTATTGCTATTGCTATTGCTATTGCTATTACTATTACTATTACTATTACTATTACTATTACTATTACTATTATATACTATTACTACAGTAGAGTTTAATGTGAGGGCGAGGTTGATGGATTTTTCTCACGCCCTGTACTCGAATAGCGCTCAGCCTCCCACACTGCGGGGTCAGTGTTCCAGCATGAGGTCGCCGTTACTTCGGCTGCTCGCATCACGCTTAGGGAATCGGAATCTAGTTGAAGGATTCCCGCTGGGATTTAAAAATCCTCTGCGAAACGTTGAAGAAGCTGGCCATCTGGGGATGCTGAGCTTGTCAGATTCGGGTTTAAGCACACGAGAGTTGGGATTAGGGGGCTTGGGCTCCGGGCGTTGAGGATCTACATCACATGAGTTCTGAGCATCTTGAGACCCTTGGACTTAAGAGAGAGTGTAACCCTCAAACTGGGGGCCAGGCTACAAAATCAGTACCCGTGTATCCAGTATTATGGAACGTAAACCTTGCAGCCAGGGATCGTGATCTACGAGTTTGTGAGGTTTGATGGATATGCCCTCTAAGCCCGATAGGTTCAGGTCATAATGTAGGAACCTGATTAAGAAACCCTGGGCCTATATCCCCCAGTATATTCGGATTCATATCAGGAACCCTAAGCAAAGGCCCAAGGTTTCTTCATCAGGTTCCTACATTACCCTAAACCCTAAACCCTAAACCGTAAACCCTAAACCCCTGTTCTTTGGTCGGGCTTGGTGCTGCGGGTACAAGTCGGAAGTCCAGCAGCAAGTTCAGCACCGGCTGTGAAGAGCTGCGAAGTAGCTCCTCGCAACGAGCGGTTCTCTAAGCGTTCTACCTTAGGGGATCTATAAGAGTGCTATAACACAAGGGCGTTTCACTACAGAGTAAGGGGTTTCTAGGGTTCGATACGGTAAGCAAGGTTCTAGGTACATCAGTTAGGGTTACAAACAACTTTAGCTATGGTTGGCTTGTTTTTATCCAGATAACTATAAGTCCTATGATCCTTTTAGACTAATGCTTTCGGGTTCAGGTGCTCGGATGATTACGGGTGTGATGCTTTACGCAGCACTAGAGTCTTGAGTGTTTTAGGGATTAAGGTTGCGAAAGCACTAAGCCCTGGACCCTAAACTTACCTTTGGTTAGTAGGGAATGGAGGAATAGGGTACAATTATAATAATAACTACTACTACTACTACTACTACTACTACTACTACTACTACTACTACTACTACTACTACTGCTACTACAACTACAACTACAACTACTTCTACTTCTACTTCTACTTCTACTACTTCTTCTTCTTCCATTCCCTACTAACCAAAGGTAAGTAAAGTGGCTACCCGAAACCTCCCGGCTTTGGACCTTGGGGCAAACGAGTGGAGGAGTTCTCGAGACATTGCCTTCAGGCGTCCGTGCTGTAAGCGTCAGACTTCAATTTTTCTGGGATAAGCGCCGTCGTGTCTACCGGATCCCCGGTAACGGGTTCAGGGTTTAGGGTAAGGCTTGAGTAGTTGGGGTATCTAGGATTCTTGAATTAAGGCCCCTACTCCTATGTGCCGGGCTCCATGTTAGTGCATTGGACGTTCGAACTAATGCTGCATGCGAGGTTGCACCTGCGCAAGTCTCAGAGTCAGCGTTGTGTTGCAATCAGTTGTCTACACCTTCAAAAACCCTACCCCAAACCCTAAACCCTAAAGACTACGTATACACTATACCCTACACACTGAATTATAAACCACGTGAGCCTTTAACTCCACACTCCCAGACCCTAAACCCTAAACTCCCCAAACGCTAAAACCCTGAACTGCTGTCTCCCTAAGCCCTAAACTCAAAGCTCATAGACCCCAAAAATTGAAATCTGAGACTTGAGAAAGAAAACAAAGCCCTAAACCATGAATCTCGCATTCGGAAAGTTCGTAAACACGAACTCTAGCCCTGCAAGAACCCTGGAAGGAAGGGCTTAGGGTTTGAGGGTTTAAAGTGTACCTTGATAACTAGAAGAAGGTTTTGGGGAATATTCTACTTTAAAAATTAACCAGGAACCCCACAAACTAGTATCAGTAATCATTAAGTTAAGGCCCCTATATTATTAGGTATGGAACACTGTAATCCAAAGGATTCCTCGTACCACTCCGCCGCATCCTCGAGGTCTCCTGAGGTCGCTGCTGCCTGGAGTTTCGCTCATGGGCTGGATGCCAACGGATTCTCTAGGATTTTGGGGGCTTAGTGAGGGCACACTTTCTCCTAATGTTTGGCGGGTATAAGGGAACCCAACATAGAAAGGGCAAAAGGGAAGTACTGGGAACTTCGCATTGGAAGACGCAGGATGTTGGCCCTAAACCCTGAAAGTTGGGTTTTGGTGTCTGGGCTCGTCAAAGCCTGAGCAGGTCGAACCGCAACATTTGGGAGTGCGGGTCCTGTCGGTTATGGGTTCAGGGTTGGGGCTTTAAAACCCTAAACCAGACACCCCAAACCCTAAAATGTAACATCTACATCAACCCCGCGATCGATGGTGGTACGAGGTGTCAGTCATGGCCTCGACCAGCGCCGCAATGGTGAAGCTTGTCGGATAGAGTCCCGCCCTGGTGGCCTCCAACTCATTGTACAGAAAACAGCTGAGGGTTTGGAATTTAGAGTTTTGGGATTTGAGTCTTGGGTTTAGGGTGTACAAACACGCTATGCTCGAAAAGGAGAGAGATAGAGAGCGAGCTTGCTCTCTCTAGATGGGCGTTTCTTGTTGGATGTTGCTGCGTCATTCGTTTCGCTAATCAGATTGAAGGTCCCTTATCTAGGGGTCCTGGTGAGAAACAAAATGAACTGTTTGGGATTTGTATTAACACCCCCAAACCTGAACCCTAAAAGCCTAAAGCCCGCCCCAACCCTGACACCCTCAATCCCTAAATCCAAACCCAAAAACACAGGTCACTGAAGCACCGGATAGCGGCTAGTGTAAACTTCAGGATGGAAGCCTTAAACCGTGGGCTTTTGTTTACACCACGGTTTTAGGGCTTCCATCCTGAAGTTTACACAGGCTTAAACAAACCCACGGTTTAGGGCTTCCATAGGGCCTGGGCTTCCATAGGGCTTAGGGTTCAGGGAAAGATTGGTACTGGAAGGGAAGACGAGTCGGGCACATTTTGATTTTGTGGGTTGCAAAATCAACCCAACGCCCAAAATCCCCGATTTTGGGTGTCGTCCTGCTCCTAAACCCTACACCTTGAAGATTGTGCCGAGAAACTTCGCGAGAGGAACAGCTTGTAAGTTACACTGCCAGCTAGAGCAATCAATCATGGGCAGCTGAATTTGGGCCTGTTGACTACCGATTGTTTTTTGTGTGTGCGTGTATGTGTGTGCATGTGTTTCTGGGTGAGCGGGGGGATGTGTGGTTCTCAAAAAGGGACGGCCCAAACCGTAAACCCTAAAGTAGTTACTTAGTTGTGGTTTAGCCCCCAAGTCGCCTGGTCGAACCATCGTCGTGCGGCCGCTAGCCTCAGAGGCGGCTCGAAGAATTCCCTTCCAAAGCAGAAAATCCCAAAAGCTCCGGCCCCAGGGACTTTTTGGGGTTGGGGACTCAGGGTTTAGTGTTTAGGGGTGTGAGGGCTTGGGAAGTGTAGGTACTTAGGGAGTTTTGGGCTTGACGGCTTAAGGAGTTTAGGGAGTTCAGCTACGGCTTAGGAAGTTTAGGGTTTAGGGTGTAGGGAATTTAAGGGCTTAGCGCTGTCATCTCCATGCCCTTCAGTGTTTGCAGGGTAACATCATCTTCTGCCATACGCCGCCGGAGCCTGCGCGTTTAAGTAGGATGTTCTAGTCTTCTCTCCCGATATCAGTCCAGCGACTTAGCCTCATGTCTGCCGGCTGGCTGACCTGCATCTTTCCCTTCAAGGCCGTGGAAATGGAGGGAACCCCACCAAAGCATCAAAATCGTCGGTTTTGCAGCACCCGCTCCTTTTACGGAAACCATTCCTAAGGCCCTGTGTATTCCTTGGATGTCCGGCTTCCAAGGCTGAAGACCTTCCAGACCAAAACTTTCCCACCTCCCCACGCCCCCCCAACCCTCAACCCATGCCCTCTGCTCTCTCTTTTACTCCAGCTCAATTAGCCAGACGTAACAGCGTTTCCATGCCCCTTTGGGGTGGAACGTTCTGTTTGAAAAAAATTCTCGAAGCGGGTGATACCGTTCGCTTGAAGTGAGCGTCTTGCAGTCTTTCGACCAGCGTTTCACTTGTGCTCGGTGGTCTCGCTCCTCACCATGGGCCCGGACCGTAAGCGACCAGCCGGTCCCCTTCGTCTTGCTGGGTCTCATGACGAGAATCGGCTCGCGCCACCGATGCGTCTTGAACGCCAAGCAATACTTCAGGTGCTCCTTGACGTCCGGAGGGAGCCCATTCCTGGTCGTGCAGACACACAATGGTAGCACTGAAAGAAATTAGATCACCAAGCATCTTGTCGGTGATATCGGTTGAAGAGCTGGTAGCCTCGTCAATCTTCGGCTTCACTTCATCCCCGATTTCGATTGAAGAGCTGGTAGCCTCGTCAATCTTCGGTTTCACTTCATCCGCTTTGTAACCGCCCTTCGATGCATTCTTAGGAGCCATAGCTTTGAGAGTGGTGACTTCTAGACACAAACTGAGGTCCCCGCTTGAAGTGGAAGGCCTCGACTGTGCCGTTGCAGCAGCCGCGACGTTTCACCTCTTTCTTCTCGTGCTTGCTCAAGACCTGCACGAGACTTACTTTGAGGACATTCGCCTTCCAGCCGATCCCGGCTCTTGGGGCTCATGCCTGATGCAAGAATCGAGAGCTTGGGGTTCGCACGAGGAGGTTTGCGCCAGAAATCTGCAATCACACGGGACCTGTAGGTATGTGGAGCCCAATGCCGAAGAATGCGGTGCCCTCACTTCAATCGAAGCTTCATCGACACTGAAATCAACGTCGGTTGGCTGAAGCGATGTTCCGAAACGCATTGTGTGCACGGGCTCGGCTGCGGACTCTGGATTGTCATGTTGGTATTGCGACTGATCTTGGCGGTAAACCCAAGCGCGGTCAGACAACCAGACAACCCAGGGTTTCGGGTTTTCTGGTCGTTCGGGTTCGGGGTTGAAGAGTCTGCAGGATTTACAGCTTGGGATCTCTAGGGTTTGGGTCGAGTGTTGAGGGTCGTACGGGTGTAGGGTTGAGGTATCTGGGGTTTTAGGGTTTCACTTTGGTTTAGAGTTTTTTGCGTCTCCAAGACGCTGGTGCTACCCGCTGCTACCCTCTTCTAGCATGCCTGCCTCGCTACGACTTCTTTGGGTTTAGCGGTTTAGGGAGTTTAGGGGTTTAGGGATTTGCTTAAGGGAATCACACTACGGAGCCTGAAATAAAAGCAGGTCCCATAGGGTTCAAGTAAACCCGACATCTCGTCAGCGAATTTCCAGCCGGCTTCGCCACCATTTCTTTGCAGCTCCCTTGGTGCTAAAAGGAGCGGCCGGTGGCACGCGCAAGGTTGCCGGCGGATGAAGGGCATCGCAGCATCAGCTTCTTGCACCTACAGCCCTAAACCCCTAAACCCTATGAATCATAAAGGACCTCACGCCTTACACCCTAAAGGGGAGTCGAACCACAAACCCTACAAACCCTGCAAACCCAAAACCAAGAAGACCTATAACCCTACAAACCCTAATACCAAAACCCTAAAATGGAACCCTGTATACCCTATAAACCTATAAATCCTAATCCCTAAACCCTAAAATACAGCCCTGTATACCCGATAAACCTATAATCCCAAGTTCATCCCTAAACCCTACAATAGAACCCTGTATACCCTATAACCCTATAATCCCTAATGCATATATCCTAAGATAGAAATCCCTAATCCCAAAATCCTGAGATACCCTAAGCCCTAAACCGTAAACCCTAAATCCTAAACCCTCATCCCTCATCCCTAAGATACCCTAAACCCTAAACCCTAAACCCTAAAGCCCTAAACCTACAAGTACCTGGCGTTGGAGAAGCATTGCCAATCAGAAGACGAGCTGCACTCTCGGTGCAGCAAGGCGGCCAGTATCTCGTTGAACGGCCGCTGCGGGTCACTGACCGCGTCAGCTAACTCATGCTTCAAACCATAGCGTTGCAGGCCGTTCATCACAGCTTCCAAGATGTCGATGCACAGCTTGACCTTACTCTTCGAGTGTTGGAAGCTCGCGCGCCCCAAATCTCGACTGAAAGCCACCTGAGCAGCAACTCCCGTCAAAGCCCGGACTTCTCTTTCACCGAACTGAGACTTGCTCCAAGCTTTCACGGTGGACAAATAAGAATTCGCCATGAGCTCTTCGAAGAAATTGGAGTCTAGGCCTTTGAAGATCCGCACATCTGTTCCTGGCCAGAGACGCTTCATTGTTTTGAGCACCTGAAGAGCCGGGGCGTAGGCTTCCGACTTGCATCTAGCTTCCAGCAATTCGAGAATTTTTCGTTCTCTCATGGCGCTCGGGTGCTCGGCCAGAGCGAAGGGACGTCTGCCCGGAGAAAAAGTTCGTTCGGGCGCTCGAACACATCTTGTCTGCTGGAAGGGCAGTTCACAATCACTTGAGCCAAATACGCAAACAGAGCAGGCAAGACAAAGTGCGCGGTTGTCAAAAATTCAAGCAGTGCACAAGCAGACTCATGCGAAGGCATAGTCCAGGCGCAGAATTCTTTGAGAGATTCAAACTCTCCAGATTCATTAACGTCTCTGACAATTCCCCACACTAGTCGTATGTTCAAGTCAAACAAAGCCAGGCGGGTGGACATGGGATCAGGGATGCTCTGTTTGACCGGGATGCCTAGCGCTCCACCAAGCTCTGTAGGGATGACCCGCAAACTGGCCATGATCAAGTGCTCTTCCATGGACCCACTCAGTCGGAGATGGAGAGGTGCTTCTCCCGTGAGTTCCAGAGCGGCCACCATGAAACTCAAGAAGATCAAGCAGATCCATGCTGGGCATCCAGCAGAGTTGATGTCCAGAGCCAAAGACGTCACTTTGTCTTCGGCATCAATGTACGACTCAAGGAACCCTCTTGGCGACAAAATGGCCTTAGCTGCTAGTTCCCAGAACGATGGGCAGGTAGATGCTCGCACCACAAACTCATTTAGGAAGATGTATTTCTTCAGGCCCTTCAGCGACTTCGAGATAGCAGTTTTGATCAAGAACCGCTCCTGAAATATGCGTGAAGAGGCTTTGAGAGTGTCTGACACTCGTTGGACGAATCCACGCAGGCTGTTGTCCTCCTTTCTCGTCAGTTCTGCTGCGTTGATGATGTCGTCCATGAAGGTCAACGTGTGGGTGTCCCGGGAAATCAAGCCTTGATCATAGAGGACCCCGTTTACGCCTCTCTGCATCGACCGGTGGGCTGCGGTATCAGGGAATATTGTAAATCCTTGAAAGGTTACAGACTGGCGCACATCCACCCAGTGATGGCTTTTGTCTGCCGCCTTGCGTCTTGTCCCAAAAGTGAGGAGATGTGAGTCAGAGGCTCCCACTTCGAGCTTTGAGAACAAAGTGCTCCAAGTGCCTACTCGGAGGCCGACGCTGCCTTCCACCATCCTGTGCACGATGCCTATGGCCTGATGTATTTGGGATTCCGACCACGCAACACGGTCGCTGCTCTCCACGAAACGGAGACGCCCACCGTCTAAACCCTAAATCCTAAACCCTAAACCTAAGATAGAACCCCTCGCTCGAGACCGAGGTGCTCCCCCCGCCGCGACGTCTGCCGAACGAGCGCCTCGAAGGCGCGCCGCGCCGCGCTCTCCCGGAGCATCCTCGGCGTGGAGTTCTTAAGGGTTCTATACTTAGAGGGGTCCCTGTTAAGGGATCTATAGGGCCACTATAGGTGTAGGGTTTAAGGTTTAGGGGTTAAGGTTGTTTTTTTTAGGGTTTAGGGTTTAGGGTTTAGGGTATATACTTAAGGGGTCTATACTGGGAGGATCATGGGACTTAGTAAGTAGGGTTATAAGTCCCTTATTTGGGCTTATAAGTAATTATAAGTACAGTTACCTTAATTACCCTAAATCCAAAACCCTAAACCCTGCCAGGACCCCCCAAGTACCGTTTAATAAAGCCCTTATGGTCCCTAATAATGGGTATTTAGGGTATGTTAGAGGGTAGTTGGGGGGTCCAGGTAAGGTTTAGGGGTTAAGGTTGCTTCTTTTCTTTTAGGGCCTCTTTCGATCTGCTGAATGCGTCTCAAAAGCCCTTTTGGGCAGGCAACAGGCATTCACTAAGGGGTTAAGGTTTAGGGTTTAGGGTATTAGTTGTTCTAGGCTTCAGGAGGTAGGAGTTTAGCAGTAGTTAGCATTTGGGATTTAAGGGCTCAGATACTCAACGCTGAATCGCAACAGCTGAAAGCAAAGGCAGCGCGGTTTGGAGCGTCAAACCCTAAGGACCACATGCTCCACGTGTTGTCTTGTACAAGCCCTCAACACTAAACTGAAAACCATGAAAAGGACATGCACCTCAAACCTGTCTTAAGGTTCATTGGAAGCCACAACTTGGGCCACAACATGAGCCCTACCGAGGGATCCCCTACTTGCAATATCACGGGGATTAGAATGCAAGGTTACACAGGGTTGAGGTACAATGGAAATACAACCCAAACCGAACCCTAAAACATTGTCAAAACCCTGCTAAACTCATAATGCTAAACCCTGAATGCACCAGCCGAAGTGATACTAAAGCATATACTATAGACCCCTGTTACCATAATAAGGAAACCTATATGTTATACTATAGATCTATTATGGCAACTTAAGTTAAGGTCCTTCACCAGAACTCCTTGCAATATAAGGGCCTGAATAATTCGAACAGGGTTTTGGGGCCCGCTATACTTTAATCAATCAACTGGTAATAAGGAACCCCCCAAAATTGTTAAAGCCTTGCTAAAGCTTGTGCCCCTTACTTTCCGTGCAAAAGCCTTAAATCCTTAACAACCCTAAGCCGTAGGCCCTGTTTGAATTACAGCCTGTGCCCCTTCGCTCTGCTTGCAAAAACCCTAAATCCTTAACCTTAAACCCTAACAGCCTAAACCCTATTCTAGTCAACGCCCGTACCCCTTCACTTTGCTTGCAAAAAACCCTAAGCCCTAACAACCTAAACACTAAACCGTAGGCCCCCGTATTAATTGAAGCCTGTGCCCCTTCACTTTGTGTACAAGGCCAGGCTTCTGCAGTAGGATGCCCGTGGGCTCTGCACCAGCCTGAACGGCACGCTCGATCCATCCTCGCAACTGCAAAAGAGGACTGAGAGGGCTTAGGGTTTATGAAGAATTAGAGGGTAATACAAGGGCCTCAATCATTAGGATAGGGTTTTGGGGTATATTATACTGTAATTATTATGAGGAACCTCAATATCGTATAGGTAATTTATTGAGGCCCCTATATTACAGCGTTTAGGGTATAGGGTCCAGAAATATGGGGCATAAGGTTGCGGTCAGAACTTTGGCTCAAGCGATCGCGGGTATAAGGGTCGCCACATGCTAATGTGGGAACCTGATTAAGAAACCTTGGGCCTTTATTAATTTAAGGTTCCATATATTAATCCAACTATCCTCGGGTTATCGGCGCAGGGTTTCTCAATCAGGTTCCTACATTATGCTGGATTGTTCAGGCATTGGAAACACTAATATGAGGACCTTAATGACTTGATTCGAGTTCATTTAAAAGGGCCGATGATATAGGGGATAGGGTTTTGGGGACCATTATACTTCAATTATAGTATGGAACCCTCAAGCTAGTATTGGTAATCCATGAAGGCCCTACATTAACAGCTTGAGCCGCAAGTGTGTTATGGGGTTTAGAGCGAGTGCTGCATCTCGAATTGAACGCACATTCACCTGGTTTTAACTGTAGGCGATCGGTAGGATTTCCGGTTCTCCATAAGTCTGAAAAGTCCCCTTTCTCCAGTTTGAAGATCTACTCCTGTTTGATCCATTTTCAATTTTAGGGTAGGGGATCCGTGTATACTGTCTTTGCGGAACTGGATCCCACGATCAGAGTATTGAAGGACCCGAGTCCTTCACGGTACTGCTGACGAGCAAAACCCTGCAGTGCTGATACGGTTTAGGGACGTTTAGGGTTTAAGGATTCAGGATGTAGGATCCCTAAACCCCAACCCCCAAACCCCTTAAACCCTAAACACAAGCAATACGCAGTAGCTCACATAGCTCTCCATCAGCCCCGTCGTGTTTATGAAACCTCTCTCACTCTGGGTCACGAGATGCCGAATCCTTCGTGGAAAGCACAATATGTTGAACAACCGCGGGGAGCAGGTGTAAACCCCAACACTCCGGGCCCGGTGCCTACATCCTAAACCCTCTCAACCCTGAAACCTGACCCAGAAGCCTGAACCAAAAAGCGTATAGCTTAAAGCCCGAACCCTGAAAACCCTGAACCCAGACTCCTCGAGCCCTGAACCCTAAGCCCTCGACTAACCTTGCCCAAGATCCCTAGGTTGTACATAGCGTCATTGATGCAAGGAGTTAGGTCCCACGAGCAATGACATATGAAAAATATATACATATATGTGTGTGTATGTATGACTGTACATAAAATCATACGTCATACACATTCAGACCTTACATACATACAGACATACATGCATACATACATGCATGTAGCATACAAAAACAAATACATACTGCAAACATGCTGGCATGCATACATACATATCTACAGACATGCATCTTTAAACCTCTATGTATGTGTATATATATATATATGCATAGAGATGTACACACACACAGATATATATATATGTATATATATATATATATGTATACATATATATATATATATATATATATATATGTATGTATGCGTACATGTATGCCTGCACACAGATATGCATACATGCTGTTATATAAGTACACATGCATACATGTGTATATATCTGTATACATACAAACAAACACTTACTTACAAAAATATATGCACATATACATGCGCATAGGCGGACACACCTACATGCACATATGTGAATATGCATATAAGCACCTAAACATAAACATACATATATACATATATATATATATATACATATATATATATATATATATATATATGTATGCACATATGTACATACATGCATACGTACATACATACATACATATATACATACGTACATACATACATACATACACATATACATACATATATGCATGTGTGCACATATGCATGTACACAGGTATACGTACATAATCACATATATACACAAAGGTATTGACACCTGCATGTAATACAGATATACAGATACAGATATGTACACGTATACATATCAGATGTATATATGTATATATGCATGTATTGTTATATAAGGACTCTCCACCTACACCTCAAACCCCAAAAAACACCCTCCGAGGGTACGATTGCTTGAAACTGTCAAATCGTGAGATCGAGCTTCGCTCGGACAGAGGCGACTCTGCTTGCTGGAGGGAGACGCTCAGCCTGGTTGAGGTTATATAATAAAATAATAGGGGCCTTAATAATTCGAATAGGAATTTGGGGCATAAAAAAGACAAAGAAGTGTCGGCAATTATTTAGGCCCCGAAAGTTCGGGTTGCGACCGGTTCCAAAGGTTTGGCGCTTAGAGTCTGGAGTTTAAGGTCATGGTTTCTGTATTCCAGTGTTTGGCGTCCACGACTCTTGAGGTGCTGGGGTTTAAGCTCTCGGATTTAGAGTTTAGGGTCTCAAGTTTGTTGGTTGGTGTGCTTCATGGGTTTACTGCGACCTCACCGTTTTTTAGGCTTGGATGGATTTCGGAAACCTTCTTCACGATGTGAAATTCTCTCGAGATGGGCTATTCCAGATTAGTTGGGGTTCCTTGTTCCTATTGCTTTCGGGATATTTTTCAACTTTAGGAGTACCGTAGATCATGGCCAGCGCATGGCAAAGCAACTTCGGCAGCTTACAGCTAACCTCTTACGGCTTGCATTTGGGAGGTGGAGCTTCGCCGAGATGTGGGTCTTGGCCTCGCGGTGTGTAATTATTTAGATTCCCTGAGAAAAGATGCGAACAGAACAAACATGATAAACCATGTGTCTTTCAAGTGTTGGTTGAGACATCAAGTATCGGTATAGGCTTTCATGCTGCGGGCTTTTCATTCAGGGTCTATAGGCAGCACCCCCTGAGTACACTATGTCGTGAAGAACCATACATGCGAAGACACGTTAAGATGTCCCAGGCCCTGACGCACAAGAGCTCGAAAGCCTCAACTCCAACCTTACAGCCTATAGCTCGACTCTAATCCCAAAACTCGCAGCCGTACATCCCAAACCCGGAGCCCTCAACTCCCAATCCTGTATGGGAGTTTCAGAACTATATAGCAGCCCAACAAAGACAAACAAAATCACGAGATGCTTGTTGCAAGTGTAGGAAAGGGACTCCGATGCCTATGTCGCTCTCAAACAAGGTAGGCTCCGCATTAACGTGATGATGAACTCCGCTACGGAAGGGACTTGAGTAGAGAGCCACCCAAAAACCCAAATTCCCTGATCTCGCCAAGCATGGCACCAAAGCCGAACGCCGCAAAGCTTTAAACCATTAACCCCCAAAGCATGGCCCTGAAACCTACATAAAAGAAACTCAAAAGCCTAATCCCTGCAGCCTCGCAAGCCCTAAACCCTAAACCCCTAAATCCTAAACCCCTGAACCCTACACGTATCAAGCCACGCTAAAGCCCATGACCGCGAGAGCCAAAAGCCTTCGCACACCGTGAACCCTAAAACTCCTAAATAAAGAATCAAAATTCGAAAGATGTTCCCCAAAATCCTAAACCAAAACAAGCATGAAGCCCTCACAAAACCTTGAAGATAAAACCCTTTTATGAAACCTCATTATGAAGCAATTATAAACACCTAAACCCTAAGTCCCAATAAAGCCCTATACAGAGATCTCAACGCCCCTCTCCGACCGGGTCACAGTTTGAGGATTTAGGGTTGTTAGGCCTAAACCCTTGAACCCTTAAACCCTATAAACCCTAAACCCTTAAACCCTAAACCCTTAAACCCTAAACTCTAAACCCTTAAACCCAAAACCCTAAACCTTTAAACCCAAAACCCTAAACCTTTATCGCTTCCGGGTCGCAGTTTGAGGAAGGTTCCCTGGTCCGGCTTCGCCTGGAGCAGCTCGCCCACTTGAAACCTGAGGTCGCGCGTTTGATGATCTAAATCCCTAGGGTTCCTTTAAAGGTTTAGGGTTTAGGGTTTAGGGTTTAGGGTTTAGGGTTTAGGGATCCATAGGGGTACCTTTAAGAGGCTCCTTTGAGGGATCTATAGGGCTTAGGGGTTTAGGGTTTAGGGTTTGATGATCTAAATCCTGCACTACCTTAAGGGCCCTATACCATGGGAATTGTACTATATTACGTATTATGGGTCATGCAGGATTTATATCATCAGCCGAAGTACTCCAGGGTGTCTGTTGCAAAGTTGCCAGCGCTTCGAGGTTTCAGAGTTTAGGGTCTAGGGAGTTTCAGGATTGGGGAGGAGTTTTCGGCTTTGAGCGGCTGTACGTGGAGGATTCTGATTCTGATTCTGAAAGGCGAGTCGTGTCCAGAGGGACGCAGCCCAAAACTTGCAACTTACAAAACAGGTGAAACGGCGGTTGGGCGTTGCAACCAAAACTCCTGCGCTGACTCCCGAGCACCTTCAACGGAGGCTTGAGCTATGTGGTCCATGACCCAGCTCACAGTGGTGGGAGAGGGACGAAAGAGTCTGGCAAGTCTAGCCAGGTCTAAGTCCTCAGAACCTTCCCCACCGGTGATTTCAGTGTAAATGGGTGGTCTAGGCCCGAAGGCCTGCTGCACAGGCAAGGCTGCAACATAGGCACCCCAACATCCGCCTCTGAGCTGACGCATTGCTTTGACCTCAACACTTTCAACCTCCGTAATCTGTTCAACAGAAAGAGGCGGGAAGACGTGTAGCAAGCGCGCGAGGCAGGATGAGGAATGCTTCAGGTGGGCCTGAACACGGCGCACCGAATGATAGTGCTTCATGCAGGCATGGCAGTGCGACCCTAGTGCATAGTGCCGCGAAGGGCTGAGGCGGCCATGTTTGCGCGCCAAATGCACGCCTAAGTGTTTTCTCAGGACGAAACGGTCGCCACATAGGTCGCATGCGAACGGCCTCTCCTCGGATAGTGGGCGTGGGAGCCTAGCTCCGGTATGTGAGGGTGTCCATGCCATGAGGTCCTCACAGTATCCTCGGATGGCCTGTTTGACGCGTGACTTCCACCACATGGGTGAGTCCTGCATCGATTCTACTAGCGCGGTTATTGGGCACGGCATGCGGAGCAAAGCAGCCGCAGCTGGAACATACACTGCTACTGCTTTCAAGTCCAGGAGGAACATGCCCAACCAGGACTTCTGAGGGGCCTGCAGCCAGTGGGTGTGAAGGAGATGCAGGAGCGCTCCTGGTCCTTTTTGTAAGAGTCGCCCAAAAAAGGATGCCCTGGCCTGGGCTAACGCTAGTAGTGGGGACGGGGCGCGGGCGGCCTGGAGGACAGCGTAGCTGTGTGGGCTGTCCTCCCTGTCCTTCCATCTCAACAGTCCTCGCCAGAGAAGCACGTAGTGTCGACACCAAGTCCTGCGGTGTTGCGACGCATGTAAGTCAATCGTCGCACTGGAGAACGTGAAACGGGAAAGGACGAGGCTATGGAGAAGCGTCCGGCGGAGGCTGAGCGGAACCTGACTGTTAGAGAACAGCTTACGACTGAGGGGACGCAGCATGCCGTGAGCAGCGGCGACTCGGAATCGTATCTCAGGGTCAGGTGTGGAATTGGCCACAGTAATGCTCCCCAGATGCCGATAGGCGTCAATGACAGGCAGTCGATGTGTGGTACACGCGACTGCGTCGCTGACAAGTATGTAGGGTTTATCCTCTTCGTCGACCTGGATATGTGGGCCCTCAGTACGTGAGCAATTGCTCGAGAGGAGCGCCGCTGTTTTGTCGCGCGCAAAAGTAAGGGTCATGCCCAGACAGGTCGCTTGCTCCACAACCAGGCTGGTGGCTCTTACAACCCTATCTATAAGATCGGCCGATCTTGGCGCGGTTTGGAGGTGGGTGTAATCATCTGCCCAAGCCGGCAGGCCAAGTGTGGACACCGCTTCCCAGGTGTGCCAAGGTGGGGGAGACGAGGCCTCTGGGACAGGCGTTGAAAGTCCTTTCAGGGCCAAGGCCTCCTTCACAGCCCGGACGTAAGACCCAAAGGTAAAGGCGAAGAGGACATCCGCCAGGGGGTCCCCTGGTCGGGACCCCCTGGCCGTGAGCATTGCTACCCCGTCTTTATCCAACCTAAACCACGATCCTCTGAAAAGGTCGGAGATCTGTGCCTGAAGGAAGCCTCCAACTTGGGCCTCCTGCAAAATGCAGAGGCCATTCAGGTGTCTGGCTAACTCCGGCAGTGCAGCTGCCGGTACATTGAGGTCGTGCAGAAGACGTAACAACCGGGAGTCGTCGGCATCCGTACCTGTGGGGACGAGGGCATGTCGAATAACCCTGTAGAATGCAGATTTGACGTCAAAATACGTCAATGCACAGACCTGACCGGTACTCAAGGCCCAATGTTGGTAGGTGCGGACCGCCAGACCTATCGTGTCTACACCTATGCCTTGCAGCTGCCCGGCTTGAAGCTCATCACAATATGTCTCCAGTGACGGCAGGAGGAGGTCTCGAATGTTGCGGTGGTGGAGCTTGGCAGCGACACTTTCTACAAGAATGGAGCGGTAGCCACTGCACTCAAGGGCAGTGGAAGCCCTTTTGGCTAAGCTGAGCAGGGTGCCACCGCGCCATTCGCATGGTTCGCGGACTCCGAGAGTGGTCTTCAAGCAGACAGGGAAAAGCGAGCGAGCCGTGGCTGCAGGTGCAATCTGGAGGAGCTCGCTGGTGATTCCGTCGGCGCCACAAGCCTTGCAAGGCTTGGCCCGGAGCACATGCCGCTCCAGGGCACTTAGGGTCGGGACCTCACGGATGTGGAACACGGGACCCTCCGGCAGAACAGGAATGTCTGGGTGTGCAAACCTGTCTGCATAAGACTCAGGAGTGACTATCTCAGCCGCTTCTTGGCTGCCGAAGAATTCACGCCATCTTGCCAGGCAGTCAGCCCTGCTGGTGGCCAAAGTGCCATCAGCTAATCGGACCGCTGGAAGTGGTTGGTAAGCCGACCGCCGTGAGGATCTGGCAGGGGGGAAGGCTTTCCTGACTGCCGCATAAAGGGCCTTGGGATTACGGCTATCTTGGAGGGCTACGTTATCACGGAGCGAATCCAAGTATGCTATGCGATCCCGCACTACAGCTGCTTTAATTGCTCTAGTGGTTTCACGGAGTAGGTTGACTGCCTGTGCAATGCTGAAATCAATTTGAAAGAGCCAGGCTGCAGCTGTGTGCCTGTGTCGCAACTCGAAGGTTGATCCGCGGAGATTGTGTAGCAGGCCGGCAAAACCTATCAAGAGCAATCGGCGCCGCCGCTCGATTTCCTCGGCTTCGAGATACTTCCGTAGAGCCCGTCGTCGGTTGACCAAGTCGAGTGTGGGTGCTTGCAGGTAGTCTTGTGTAGGTTGAACTGCCGGTGCTGCGCAGAAAGGTTCAGCAGCATTCTTGATGCGGTGAACCCACAAGTCGTAGTGTGAATCAAGGTCCGTCGACCAAGGCACAATTGGCAGGTTGTGGAAAGCCGTTGCGGCTGCTCGGCTGCCGCGGTGTACCTGATCCGGCCTACACGCTGTCCTCTTTGCCCGGATGTGGCTGTCAGCGGGGACAGCCTTCACAAAGCCGACCTCCAGGCATGCCGGAACGTGATCCTGGCGGGCTTGCAGAGCCTCAAAGGATGACCAGAGCCAGGAAGAAAGCACCTTGTCTTTCCAATGTCGAGGCACCGCAATGTAGTCAATTCGATGACTGACACTAGGATCCGGGCCGTACCAGGTATGGTGCGTACCCGAGTGGCTTGCTGTGGTGGCTGGCAGGAAACAGGCGGTTTGAAGCAAGAAGTTGTGAAATGCGGTTCCCTCGGTGTCCTCTGGCTCTGCACCTGTGTCACCAACTGCTTCAGTGACTACTTCTCCAAGGCGGCCATTCGCATCTGCAAGCACTATGGTGTCGGCGTGACTGGAATGATGGGACAGTGTCTCGAGATGACTCTTCCAAAAGTCTCTGGGTGCTTCGGATCCACAGGTGCTGGCCCTGGGGCAGTGAGCCACAAGGATTTGGAGGCACAATCGGGGGGCCTCAAGCAGCAGATGAAGATGGCGATGTGAGCTGCCCAGCACCGTGACATGGTCCGGTGCGACACACAATGCACGCCTTCCATCCGTGGCATAGGCACAGGTCTTGCTAATCCAGATGGAACATCCACCGTGCCCCCGCTCATTGGCCGCTGCACTATACATGTAAAAGTCGGCGTCCGGTGGTGGGCAGCCGGGTCTCCTGAAACCCGGCGATCCATACCTGATGTGCAAGGAGCTGTTGCTTGACGAGCTGTCGTTTGCCCATGACTCTCAAGCCATGGCTTTCTGAGCGGAGCTTTCTGCCTTGTGGCGCTCCTGGATCGAACATGGTAAGAATGTTGTAGGTCATGAGGCGGAAATGGTAGCGGACATCACTGGCTCGATGCTTGGCCTGGCTCAAGCCTTGTGCCGGGTAGTTACCGGCTGGGCAGTTACTTTGAAGTCGCTTAGATTCGGCTTCAAATGCAGCCAAGCATGGAAGATCGGGCGCACCAGGGTGTGCCAGCCAACCCCATTGTGCCATGTGGTGTTGGCGCCACTGGGCAGGCCACGCAGGCAGGCATCGGTCGTAGTAGCTCTCGTGTTCTCGACGTGCCTTCTTGGCAAGCTGGTCGCATAGTTCGTTACCTGTGTCGCCACTGTGTCCCGGGACATGCTCATGGCAGACAGGTACTCTGGTTTCCAGGACCTGTCGGGCAGCACCTACAAAGGCCGGCAGGCTGAGCCCGTCAACGGGTGTGGGGTAGGAGACCTGTTGTGCCGCAGCAAAGGAGCCATAACCTACTCCTGTGGCATCAAAGCGGAAAACAAAAGGCACCCCAAACGCCGGGCCGAATTCAAGCGCCCAACTGAGCGCCCACGCCAGCACAAGCAGCTCTCCTGTGACCGCATCGTCTCTAGCCTCGCCTAGGAAGAAGGGTGTGTCTGCGGGGACTGCTGAATGCGCTGCCGCTCCGATGAAGAAGTTGGCAGCTGGTGTCACCGCCCATACTGCAAATGCCCAGGCTGCTGGGTAGAGGTCTGCGCCTGGCTGTCCAGGTGCCGAGCCGTCTGTGTAGACCGCGATTTGCGTGAGTCCAGGCAACGGGGTGTCCCTCGTCCAGATCGGAAGACTTGCGAACTCACGTCGGAAACGTTCCGGTACCCTCAAATCGCATAAAAGGGGGCTCAAATCACAGTCAATCCAGTCCGGAGCGCTGTCGGCGCCTGGAGTTGTCCATCGAGGGCCGGGGATAATGGCCCTGAGTTCTAGGGCACTTTGCTGAAAGGCTGTGGGAGGAATGGTTTCCTCAAGCAGGAGCGTGGTCACTGTGGCACCTGATCCAGTGCCCCGCCTATGGATTGCACTCGACATGTCATGCTCACTGGTGGCTCGCTCAGGGTGTGGGTGCCGCCTGTTGTGGGCAACGTTGAGCTCCGGAGCGACAGGGTCTGTGAGCGGCTGCATTGCGGCAGGCTGAGTGACTGTCGCAGCCCCTCGATAGAGATCCGCCGGCGTCGAATGGAAGTGCTCTTCCAGGGTTGCTAACAAAGTGCTTGCAAGCAGGTAGGCGGGACATCCCGGTCTGGCAAAAGCTTCCTGCAGAAGTGTGGGGCCAGGAATGTCATCAAGTCCTGAAAGGCTTTCTGTGGACTCACAACTGAAAACAGTGGCGAAGTCGTACTCATGGTCAATTGCTGAGGATGGGGAGGGTGGACTATAATCCCCTATCCTACTAACCAGGGGCATGTTCCTACATGGTGTGGGCAGCGGCCTGGGAATGACTTTGGCATCGGCCGTTGTGTGCGAGGGCATTAGAGCGTTACCTCTTACCGTAGGAGTTGGTCTCTGCATCGCCACAGCAAGTGTTGGCAACAACCAAAGACACCAGAAGCAGAGGCACACAGCTCCCCTGTAGCCTGTGTAGGCAGGTTGTGGCGAGGTAGGCCTTGCACGGTGGAGTGCCACAATTGTGAGTAATGGGCAGAAGCTCCACTCAGAACACAGGAGGACAGTGGTGAGCACAAGCATGCCTAAGCAGAAGGCGTGGTGAAGTAGTGCCTGCACCCACATGGCTACTCGACTGTGTTCATTCGGGAGTTCAGAGCATCGGGCAGTGGCCTTAAAGGAGTGCTTGCCATACTCCTTCAGAGCGCTGCTCTCGGTGGCTACGTCTGGAGCCGGCCGAGCCATACCACGCAAGCCATCAGTGGCTGGTTGGTTGGTCCCTTCCGAACCTCCAGTACCTGCATCTAGGGAAGTCGGCTCCCTAGTGGTCTCCTCATCTGCAGAGTCATCGTCAGGGTTCGGTCCTGGCGGAGGAGTGGGAGGATGTGGCGGGGTTGGGGAGTCCCCACCGACAAAACGCACTCTAGGTACGAAAGAAATGGTGATCATTTCGCCATCAGCAACCCTCAAATCATGGGAAAGGGCTCTGGGGGCTGTCTGATGCCTATGGTAGGCAACGACATGGGCGAGCGGAGCACGCGGCAGAAGCTGTTCAAGCAGTGGTCGATGTGCAAGAATGCCTTCTGGTGCATACCTCCAAGTAAACCTCAGGAGAAGAGGCCGCATATCCAGGAAACAGATGGGAGGCCTCGTTGTGCGGCTGTGTGGTCCTGGTGGCACGGCAGTGGCTGCAATGATACCTTTGGTGTACGTGCCTCTATGCATGTGATCAGTGACACCTGGCACAGCGGCGCGAAGCAGGAGAGAGGCTGGATCAATGGCGAGCCTGACCGCCAAATCTGCACGTACCGTATGCCTCCTGCCTCGACCAATCAAGAAAAAGAAATGCTCCTCATCTGCCAGGATCCATGAATGATCCCTGAAGTCACCGTGTGGTGCAGACGTAGGGCGCCAGCTGTTGGGGTCATTGAGCCAGTCGGCAAATGGTACGACCACAAAGTGATTGTGATCTGGGGGGAAAACTGGATCAAGTCACCGTGTCGCAGAATGATAGCCTGCCCTGCTTGTAGTGGCCACGGCATGTTGCCTGCGTACACGACTGCATCCGTGCCTTCGGGCAGAAGTGCTAGGCGAACCAGGCTTTGACGGTCTACGATGGCTGGTACATCCAGGCAAAAGATCCTTCCATCGAGGTTCCGGCAGTCAAAGCAAACAAAGATTCCAGCCGCTGACCAAGTAGGTGAGGCAAGCACAAGTGCGTACTCAGGGACCGGTTGGAAGTCGACTGCATGGAGCGTGCCGAACCGGTGAGAGTTGGCAGGTTGCCTGGCTGCTGCTATCGCATGAATAGCTGAGACAACTGTCTGTGGCATGGTAAGTCGCAGCACAATCCTTTCAGGCAGGCATTCAGGGGCAAGGACGTAGAAGGCTGCTTCAAAGGATGTTTGCTCTTGGAGAGTGGCTGTCGCCTGGGGGCTTGAGACACTCGTGTCAAGACCGGCTGGGGTGTCTACAGCTGGTGGACCTGTAGCCTCAGTGCTGCTTTCCTCTTGTGCCAGGCCTGTGTTTGCATCGGCCTCGGCAGAAGAGTTGCGCGGGCGCTGCTGAGGCGTGCGAAATGCTGTGAGCACCTGGCCTGGTACAACTCTAAAAACATTGTTTCCTGAGGGAATCTCCAAGAAAGTGATCTCAGAGGCAACGTCGTCACTAGGGAAATAACTCGCAAGCTTATCAATGAGCCTGAAAACATCGAGTAGCCCCTCGTAGGCAGTATGTGCGAGAAACCCTTGAAGAAGGGGCCTGCAATCTACGATGACGTTGACTGCACGGTCCTCACGCCTGTGTGGTCCGCTGACAGCCAGCACAGACAGGCAATAATGGCCCTCGAGCTCAACATTGGGCAACCGTGGTTGTGCTGGGGAAACATCAAGTGAAGGGGGCGTTAGCCCTAGGGCCGCACCAATGTGTTGTCGTAGGTTGCCGACTCCTTCCCTTGCATTGTGGAGCAAAATGTGCTCCCCACCATGCACAACACAATATGACTCTGAGGGTGTCCTCTCAGGTAGAACAGCATCAGCAGACCATATGCGATAGTCTTGGAGCATCTCCCGGAGGCTTAAATTATGCATGGGCTGCCCTCCTGACCTGACGAAGGTGATGGCTGTGCCATTTTGTATGTGCACAGGGTGCTCGTCGAGGAGTGGAAACGATTCCTCGCCAACAAAGACGTCGACCTGTGCCTGTGGAGGCAGACCTGCTAGGACCAAGAGACCAGGCAGCAGGATCTCGGGAGGGGCCATTGCAGCAAAAAGTCGACCATCAACCTCCAGCAGGTCGACACAAACACATACGGATTGGGGCTGCCAGGCAGGCATGGCAACACAAAGTGCCAAGTCGACAAAGAGCTGTGGCGTGATCGGTACCAAGTGTGGGAAACACATGGTGTGTTCGGGTGCCCGTGCATCCTGGAGCGCTGGGATGATATCTTCGAACTCCGCTGGAAGTGTGAGAGCGACTGTCAACATCTCCGGGCTGTAGGAAGGGGCAAGCACGGCAAAGGTAGCCCAAGCTGTATGCTGTGAAGTAGAGCTCATAGCAGAGGAAGATCCCGAGGGGAATTCTTCCTCGACCGATGACGGGTGCCGAGAGTACGGCCAGGGCTCATTAAGTCTGGCTGCAGTGCGTCTTAATGCCCTGATTACTGCATGAGCAGCCTGCGTAGGACACTCTGGCTCAGTAAGCAGTTTGTCGGTGCATACTCCCTTTGCGTCGCAGTCTCCAAGGCTACAGAAGTTCAAGGTTGTGCAGTCTACCCTGGTCGACTTATGTGCCGGAAACTGCATGACAGCATCACGTGGGGGTGATCTTGGAGGAGTGCGGCTTCTGTCCCTATGCGTCTGCTCACCGGTGGAGAAGCTGTCAGTTGTGGCGGTCGAGCCTCCTGGAGAGAACTGGATTGGGTTATCATCAGGAGGGTCATCGTCACTGTCTCCTGAGTCGGAGGAGGACTCCTCACTGGTGGTCAGGGGCACATAGGTGGCTGTTAGCACATGTCCTGGATCGATGAGCAACATCTCATTGGCCTCATCGAGGGGGGCTCCATCGACCTGAACTTGATAGCCCTCGGGAACGAAATCGGACAGGTGCTGGACGAGATCCGAATGGCTGATCTGTCCATCTGTTGCATGCTCAAGCAGGAAGCCAAGGAACAGAGGCCTGGCATCAACAACGAAAGCTGTGATTCTAGGTCCTGGTCTTGCAGGTGGAACAGGCAGTCTGCTGATGGCCTCAGTAACAGCTACTACAGCGATGCAGGGGTGGCCGTCGAGTGTGGCATTCTCTAGCGGTGGCCGTGTAGGCTGTACAGTAAGTTGGTCTTCTCGCAGATCGAAGGCTGCAGCTAGGACACTCTCATGGGATCGTCCTAGTTGCCTGGTCCAAAGCAGCCTGCGATAGCCTGTTTCCAGAACACAGCAGAAGGATCTTGCGGGATGGGGCTCAGGGAACCGCGGTCGACGTTCCCATCCATGTGCTGACCGGAGCATGACCGGTAACAGGCTGCCTATGCGTGCCGCCTCTCCTGGGTTGGTGAAGAAGATACATCCTGCCGGCTCAACATCCACAACCTCATGCAAATCGAGCGGGTGCGGGCTGCCAAAGGCGTAAACGGTCACCTGCGTGGGATCCGGGAGGCCTGCAATTCTGCACAACTGTGTCTTACTGACTTGCCACGGCACAGATTTGATGAAGATCCTCCCATCAATGCTTGAGGTATCCAAACAAACTAGAGATTCCTCTCCACACCAGTTAGGCAGGGCGATCAGCGTGCCAAAGTGGCTGCAAGGCTGAGGCCGAACTTCATGGAGCTCCGAAAACTGCAAGCTATGCTCGTGGTCCCTGGCCGTGTCAACGGCCTGCAGGGCTTCACCGACCGTGGCTGGCACTCTCAGTGCTACTTGCACGATTTCAGGTGCATAGTCTAGCACTAGAACTGCAAAGGTGGCAAGGAGGAGATCCGGGGGGTGCATGGCTTCATGGGCGTCATGTTCCTGTTGTTGTACCTGCAGCGCTGTGGGCGTGGCTCGCGGTGGACTGAAGGCAGGAAAAGACTCCGGCAGAAGGGCCTCTCCTCTTTGCACAGTACCTGCAGGGAAGCGGAGCCGCTCAGCAAGTGAAGGCGCCTCCGGCTGAAACCTGGTCGGTATGCAGGTGTGTAGATCTTCTCGGGGATCTAGGGTCCAACAGCTGCGACCCAGTACGGCTTGGGTGGTTCCTTCCTGTGTGGCAGCAACAACCCCAGAGCCAAACAGCAAGAGACAAAGTCTAAACCAACGCTCAAGCATAGAAGTGGAGCCCCTTGTAGGCTGGCCAGCAGTCCTGAAGTGAGGGCAGGGCTTCCACTGCAGTGGAGGCTTGTCAGGTGTGCTCACACTGCCCAGTGAAAGCACCATAGCATATCGACCTGGCTGCCAAAGAGCTCGCAAAATTGTGCACTTGGAAGTGCGGAAGAACGCGATGGGACGAGCCATAACCCTCAGTAGGCTCAAAAGAAGAAGCAAAGCGAAGGGCAAATGCAGCCCGGCAGCCCACGTGGCTATGGTCTGCACGATTAGAAAGCAAAAATCCGAAGACAACCTACTGCCGATCCAGGCCTGTACCCCAGAGCTACCGATGTACATGTTGAGCGCTCCGGAAAGGGCAGAAGAGGTCTTGGTCTGGTCCACCATGGCGCTGGTGGAACCCGGAAGGCCGAAGGGCCGATCAAGGAGATTAGGGCAGTGAGCCCATTGAAGGTATGGCTGAGGTGAGCTGGGCAGAGAGAGAGGCAAAGCGTGGAACATCCCAAGCCCAGGGAAAATCCACAATTCCAAAATCCACAAGTCCAAGGCTGGCAAGGTGCTTGCATGTGGGAGGTACGGCCTACAGTGAGACCAGAAAAGAATCAAGGTACCGAGTCGCCTTTGAAGAAGTACAAGGCATTGACCGAAGGGCACTCCCGCTCGCCACTGCGAGGCAGTGGCAAAGCTCGGGCCCTCAAGCCTGCATTTGCACTTTCCAAAAGTGACTGCACCTGATCTCGTCTGATGAACTGTACACTGTACAGTAACACGAAGGTCACTCTTCACTCCAGCCTTGCCAGTCCGGGGGAAGCCGGATGGTCCTTGTCTGGTGCAGGGTCGTCGTCGTCCTCCACAAAGTGTGCCTTCTCTCCAGGACCATTTCCTGTACCCGTGGGGCCGCTGGGCTGAGCATCTTGTCCAGGAGGCCGTGCCTCCGCCTGGGTGGCGGCTGCTGCTTCCTGAAGCGCTGCAGCACGGGCAGCATCCAGCTTGGTTTCGAGAGTGGGCCCTGACGATTTGATCGGATATGGAGACGTCCTCGACTTGACTGGGGCCCGCGTCGCCAGTCCTGAGTGGCCTGCATGGTGCATAACTCGGGTATGCGGGGACATAGCTGCAGTTGGCATGGGCCCTGGAACTGCATTTGGAACCGGCCCGTAAGCCATCGTCACATCTGCATTTGACTGCTGAAGGCCTGGTGGTGCTTCTGCATTGGCTGTTCCCATACCAGGTGGTGGCTCTGAGTCTCGCGCCTCGGATGGGGAAGGGGCTGCTTGTGGCGGCGCTGGCATCGTAGGGAGGCTCCCTGCAAACGAGCTCATGCGCCGTCGTTGCCACCAGAAAGGCCGCTACCTCTGCTTGTGGCGGTCCTGTCTGATGGGTCGCTGCCAGAGCACGCTGTAGGACTGAGGCCGGCCCATGTGCTTCGTGCTCGGCCTCCCATTCCATCATCATGGCATCCCATCCATCCTCGGCCGGTTCCTCCGTCGGTGGGGCGTGACCATGAGCGACTTGTGTCAAGGTGTGTCTGGCCGCGTCTTGGTTCTGAACCGCTTTCTGCAGCTCGCCTTGCAGGCGAAGAACCTCCTTCTCGTAGCGGTTCTTTTCGCGAACCCAGCCCTTGTGCATCTTGTCCAAGTACTCTGTCCACTGCTTCTTGCGTTCCTCCAACTGACTTTGCAAGGTATAGACCTTCTGCTCCGCTTTTCTCGTCCCATTGAGAGTCGTCTGCAGCACTTGGGAAAAAGGTCTGTTCCGGTGCCTCTGCCGGAGCCGCCCTGTCGCTGTAGTCCCAGTGGTCTTTGTGGCGATCTTTGGCATCGTATGCAGGAAAAGGGGCTTGACTGCCCTTGTGCTTTCCAGGTGATGCCCAGGCACCATGCCAATAATCCCACTTTTTGCCATGCTGCCCATATTCTTGACCTCGGCCGCGTCCTTTGTTCCATGACTTTCCTCCCATACTAGGTCGGCTGTGGTGCGAAAATATTCTCCTCAAGTCGGCAGCTGAGGGCTGCTGACCTGTCCTCTTGGCCTGTCGCAGCCTTGTTCTGGCCTTTTGGCGTTTGCGCCTCTCTTGCCTGTGCCACCCTGGAGACCAGGGATGTTTGCCTATGGCGGGCAAGGACGTGTCCTGATGGACACTGGGGCCTCAGCGATCTCCAGCTACGCTCCAGCTGTCGGAGTATTCTGAGCCCTTACGTGGAGGATTGAGGTTTATCTTCGAGGTTGGCCGGGAGGGGAAGGGGGGAGGGGGAGGTTTGTCTGCTTAAGGAGCTATACGGTGTGAGTTACGGTGTGAGACAATCAAGAGGGTTGCGGTAGGAACCTGCGGAATTGTACAGGAATCGCCAAACCTTAAAACCCTGTTGAGCCCTACAACCCAGTCAGAATCCAACGCAGAGCCCCTAAGCGGCTCTAACTTCAATCAAACCTTACAAGGGGCCCTCTACCCAGAAAGAAACCTTGAACTGACCCCCAAACCCTAAACCCCAAACCCTAAACCCCTAAACCCTACATAGTACCCTTTCCGCATCCCTTATAGATTCCTGGCAGACCCCTTACCCTAAGGCTCAAATTAGCCCCAAAAGCCTCATATAGTATGGTCTTCGGTCCCAAGAAGCCTTAAAACATGAGTCCTTAGAGCCTAAGGGGAACAGGAACCCCGGGCATCCTTATAGCAGGTACTTAAGCCTGAAAGTACCCATACAGGGACCCCCTAAGTACCCGAGCCTTGGGGTTTCGTCCTTGGCCTAGCCACCAGGTCTCCGCAGCGAGCAAGTCTCCAGCACGGGCTGCGGCCTTCAACAGCGCCGAGGCCGTCGCTGCGGAGGGCGCCACGCCGGCCTCTTCTAAGGCAAGCCTTTAAGCCCCCCTTAAGCCCCCCTTTAAGTCTCCCTTTAAGCCCCTTAAGCCTCCCTTGATCTAAACCCTGTGTTGGGTGTTAGAAGGGTTTTTTCCTTTTTGAGTTCCTTTTCTGCTATCGCTTAAGGTCTAGAACGGGGTAGGGTTTAGGGTAAGGGTCTTTCTCGGAAGAGTTTACCCAGGCTTCATGAGGTTCTTCAGCAGACTCTGTTGGGGTTTGTGCAATGCATTTTTTTCAGGGTTCCTTGAGGGTTTGGCGGGTTTAGGTTTAGGATTAAAGATGTGCTTCGCGGCGTAGGATTCTTTTTGAGGGAGTTTGCAGAAATCGTGGGCTGGGCCTTTGTAGAACCCTTGCCAGACTCCTAGAACCCTTATAGAGCCCTTAACCCTCGCCCGTTTTAAACAACCCTGATATCAACACCTTCCTCCTATACTAAACCCTAACCGCTAAACCCTAAACCCTTAAACCCCTAAACTCGCCTGTCTGGTGAGCCGGAGCCATCGCTCTGCCTCTTTCAGAGGCGCCTGCCGTTCAGCAGCCTCGCGGCTAGAGGATTGATTTGGGCTCAGGGCCGGGGGTATAGAAGGGCTTAGTTTAGGGTCCCTGTAGGGTCTAGGGCTCCAGGCTTACTCTGGGGCTGTAGGGTAGAGTTTAAGGCTTATTCCGGGGCTGCATCATCTATCATATTTCAGGCGTATTCTGGCCTGTATCATAAGGTTATTTCTGGGGCGGCTTGTCTTGAGGCTGTAGGATACAAGTATGTAAGGTTTAAGACTTGTCCTGAGGCTATATCAAACATCATACTGTAGGGTTTAGGGTTTCTTCTGGGTGTAACACAGGGTTTTGGGGGTAGCCTGGCGCTGTATCATAGGGTTGAAGGCTGATTCCTAGGGCTGGCATTGGCCTTTGGTGATTCAGGTGCAAGGTTTAAACTCTACGGTTCAGGATGTAGGTTTTGGGTTTAGGACCTGAGCGTTGGGGTTCAATAAACGAAGATGGAGTCCTAATGTTAGGGGAATCTTGTGTGGATGGGATTATTTCTGATTCGAAAATATATAGCGAGCTCGACTAGAAACTGTTCGATCCGGAGCTGCTGAACCCTAAACCCTAAACCCCTAACCCCTAAACCCCTAAACCCTAAACCCTAAACCCTAAACTCTAAACCCCTAAACCCTAAACCCCCTAAACCCTAAACCCCTAAACCTAAACCCTAAACCCTGGCTTCGATTTTGCTGGGGCCCGAGGCCTGCCACAGCCTGTCGATGGCATCTTGGTCGGGGGCCTCTTCCTGGCCGAAAGCGGTGAGTATCCACCTCGGAACGTTTTGTGGTTTAGGGTTTAGGGTGTTTAGGGTTTTTAGGGTGCTTAGGGTGTTTAGGGTGTTTCGGGTTCAGGTTTATATAGACTTTTAATATCATAGAGCTGAGCGTTTAGGGATCGCTTGGTTCAAGAATGAGCCCCAACTCTTTCCCAGAGGGTTGTGTGTTTCGGGAACAGCGGCTGATATCCTAACCCCGAGCCGAAAGCCACAAATCCTGATTTCGTGGTCGGAGGGTGGGGCGGAGGCACGTACAAAAGAGCTCCTTCAAAGGCGTCTCTTGGATGACTGTCGGTGACTGTGGGTTCAACTAAATGTCGAAATCGCCTAATAAGCGCCCTGAGCTCTTTTAAGGTCGACCTTAACTCCCCAACCCTAAACCGCAGACCATGATCCTGAGCCCTGAAACCCTCAACCCTACACTTACCTTTGGTTAGTAGGGAACGGAAGAATGGTAGTAATAGTAGTTATAATTGTACCCCATTCCTCCATTCCCTACTAACCAAAGGTAAGTACACCCCCCACTCAAGGCAAAATGCTGCTCTACCGAAGCAAAGTCCCGACGCTCCACGGCGTCGCAGGCTAGAACGAGGCACCTGAAGACGCCCAAGGCGGATGACTTAAGGGTTTGGAGTTTGGGCTTTTTGGCTTACTTTGAGGCTCCATAGTAATTGGTTGTATTTTGGGCTTACCATATAGGGTTCTACATATTAATATGAGCCCCAAAAAGACCTACTATGCAGCTCATCGGATAGAGTTTGGGATTTTGGATTAAGGTGTTAGGGTAAACCGTGTAGGGTTTGGGGCTTAGGGTTCTGCACAAGTCTTGGTCTATGCGGGTTATTGGTATCGATCGCTTCTTGCGATGTGTATAGCGTTTTTGGCGTAAGGGGTTTGGGCCCCAAACCCTGAATGCCGAAACCTTAACCCCTAAACTCCCTAAACAAACCCCTATAAACCCTGAACCCTGAGACCGCATTGGGCAGGCTGCCTGGTCAAGCATCCCAAACAAAGGCTGGGGCACCCTGCACGAGTTCAGGCGTCAGGCTTTTGGGGTTTAGCGGTTCGGGGCTTCATGGAGTTGAGCCGAATTCTGATACCAAGGTTCTTCAACTCAAATGCCGCGAAAGGCACTCTCGGTTTCCAAGGCTAACACTCTGATCAAAAGGCACGGTTGATGATATAAATCCTGCATTACCCATAATAAGGAATATACCATAATTCCCAGAGTTTAGGGTCCTTAAGGTAATGCAGGATTTCTATCATCAACCGCAGCAACACCCAAGCTTCGAGACCCTACAACAGAACTTCCGATATCGGCAACGATAAACCCCACTCACAGAAACACTTCGGTTTCAGAATCCGTGGGCACTGCTATACACCCTGAAAATTGAAAACCCTTGTGTTAATGAATCCTGAAACGGGAAACTCCCAACATACCTTTCCGAAACCCCTATATGCAGCCCTTACAGTACTTGTAAACCCCTTGTGAAAACGCCCTAGAGGACCCTGGCAAAAACCCTGTACAACTCAAACATACCCGAGTGACCTTTAACCCTAAACCCTAACTCCAAACCCTAAAACCGGATGAACAGCACATGACCTAGACCCAACCCTTGACCCTAAACCCTAAACCCTAACCCCCTTACCGTTAAACCCGAAACACCTAAACCCCTCAACCCCTGAACCCGCACCCCTAAACCCCTAAACCCTAAACCCCAAAACCCTATAAACCCTATATAAGCCCTATAAACCCTATAAGCCCTATAAACTCTATGAAAACCCTATAAGCCCTATAAACCCTACAAACCGAATAAACCCTATAAGCCCTATAAGCTCTATAAACACTATAAACCCTATAAGCCCTATAAGCCCTATAAACCTTATAAAAACACCATAAGTCCTATAAGCCCTATAAACCCTATAACCCATGCTATAACCTATTCTAAACCCCTAAACCCCTAAACCCTATACCCTAAACCCTAAACCCTAAGCACTAAATCCTTAACCCTAAACCCTATGCACTAAACCCTAAACCTTAAGCACTAAATCCTAAACCCTAAACCCTAAGCACTAGACCCTAAACCCTAAACCCTAAGCACTAAACCCTAAACTCAGTGTGAGAGGGCACATGTTCGCGTCCGGCTTCTCTTCGACAAGGCCTTCGGACTGCAGCTCGATCAGCCACCTCCAAAAGGGCTTTTGGATTCTAGGGCTTGAGGGGTTTGGGGTTTGGGGTTTGGGGTTTAGGGTTTAGGGTTTAGAGTTTAGAGTTTAGAGTTTAGGGTTTAGGGTTTAGGATTCTAGGGCTTGGGGGTCAGAGTTTGGGACTTTAGGATACCATCTGAAAGGGCTTGGGGCTCACGATTTGGGGGTTTAGGATTTAGGGCTCAAGATGGTCTAAGGACTGAGGGTTTAGGATTTGGATTCGGAGGTTTGGGTTTTTTTGGCATGATGTACGGATTGAGGGTATCTGAAAGGGCCCTTGGATTCTAGGGCTTGGGGCTCAGGATTTGGGGGTTCATAACTGGCTGTTGGATTTCGAGGTCTGGGGTTCAGGCTTTAGGTTTAGGTTTTAGGGTTTAGGATTCAGGGTTTAGGGTTTAAGGCTTAGGTTCAGGGTTTAAGGTTTAAGGCTTACGTTCAGGGTTTAGGGTTTAAGGCTTAGGTTCAGGGTTTCGGGTTTAAGGCTTAGGTTTAGGGTTTGCGGGTTTCACCCAAGTCTTGTTCCCAGGCATCTGGAACTCCGACTTCTGGCAGTGTGGAGGATCAAACAAAGGCGCGTCCCTTGCGCAGGCCGGTAGTCGTAGAGCCTTCGTGCCTCTCGTGTTACGGCCATAAGCACGGACGATAACCTTGTGATCACTCGTGCTAGAGCTTATCGCGGCTACCAATCCAGCTACCCGCTCGCACGGTAGCGGAGCCTTCTCTTTCGAGAGGAGGTTCATGAGACGATCCAGGGAACAGCTTTGTGGCTCAGTCCGAGGGTGAGGACTGAGAAAGATGAGCGGGGAAAGTGAAAAGGATGCTGCGTTGAGCCGCACGACGGATGGCGTCCCGGTGTGGAACGGAGAAGCGGGGAGCTTCTCAGCATATGAGGAAGCAGCAATGCTCTGGGAATCTGGCATTGAGTACCGGAAGCGCTACACCGCAGCCCCTCGGCTGATGGCGGAATTGACTGGAGCAGCCAAGCGACTCGTCGCGGGAAAACCCGCAGAGGAAGTGGCGTGTGCAGGAGGTGTCCGCCAGGTTCTTGACTACTTGCGGAAGTCGCTGGGGAAGCCGAAGGTCAATGAAGTCACCGACCTCCTCGGGAAGTACTTCAAAGGGACCCGTCGCAGGACGGGTGAATCGATGAATGATTACGTGACGCGGAAAAGTGAAGCCTTTCTTCGGGTTAGCCAGGCCCTCCGACGAGTGCAGCCGCACTACAGGAAGGCCAAGATGGAAACCTACGGCGGGAACAACTACATGACTCCTTACCGATGGAGCCGCCGATCGAGTGACGCCAGTGGCTTTTGGGGATCTGGAGGCTGGGGCCGCCAGACTACCACCCCGGAGGAGGGTGACGATCACACCGGAGAAGGCCGCGCTGATGATGAAGTACCTGAGGAAGAAGATTCCGGGACTACGACATCGTGGGGTTGGGGTTCTACCTACGGAAGTTCCTGGGGTTCTCAGTGGCAGGGCCCTGACTGGTATGGTTCCTCATGGTACCAAGGAACATGGCCCTCGTACGGATGGTCCTCGACGAGCGCCTCCGAGGGCACCTCCACATGGGAATCCCTCGACCAGTTGGAGGACAACTCCTTGCTTCCGGGGTTCATCCAGGGATGGTACCTCTTGATGGACGCGGCGCTCGACAGCAACGAGCGCAACCTGGTGATGACTGCGCTGAGGGGCGATTTCTCCCCGGCGCGTGTGGCACAGGAGCTACGAAACCAGTTTCCTGAAGGTGAGCTTCGAAAGCGGGACACCAGTCGCCGCTCACATGCTTTCGTCAGCATTGCCGAGGAGGAGCCGAACTATGATGAAGACTATGAGTGGGGTGACGAAGCCTACGGAGGTTGGGATGACTGCCCAGAAGAGGCGGCCTTGATCGTGGAGGCGGAGTCGGAGGCCCAGGAGGCCTTTGCTGCGTACCAACAGGCACGCCGCACCCTCAAGGACGCGAGGATGAGGCAGCATTGCAACAAGATGAATCGGCAATACTACAGAGGATCCTCTTCGGCCTCCTCCGGAACCTCCCGACCCTCTTCGACGTTTGGGCAACGAGCTTCGGGAGATGAACACATGGAGTGCCTACGCTGTGGGCGCAAGGGCCACCGCGCGGCTAACTGCCCCGAGAAGCCCCTGGCAGCTCAGGCCACGGCGGAACCTACTTCGACCACAGCTACGGAACAGGTCTCCTTTGTGTTCTTCGCGGAGTCCGAGCAGCCCAGCGAGAGCGCCTTGGCAGCGCTTCCCACGACGGCCCAAGCCGTCGATGCCGGAATGGCTGTGGTGGACGGAGGCGCCACGAAGACGATCGGCAGTGTGGCGGCGATCGAAGCATTGCTAAAGAAGAATGTGCAGAAGTACGGCGAGACCCGCCTGCGAGCATTGGATACCGAGGACCAGCCGGTGTTTGGATTTGGCAATTCGACAGAAAATCGTTGCCTGAGCACCTGTCAAGTGGGTGTCACGGCGAGTGGACTCCCCGGCAGCATGCAAATCCATTCATTGGAATCCGGAAATGGTCCGATCCTCCTGAGTGTGGATGCGCTCAGGTCCCTGGGAGCTGTGGTGGACTTTGAGCACGACCTGATGGTGCTGACTAAATTGGACCGGACCAAGATCATCCCCCTCCACCGCTCCGCGACGGGACATCAGCTCCTTTCCCTCACGGAGGACTTGTTCAGCAATGCTCTCGTTTCGGCGATCCCCGTACCTGACCTGAAGCACTATGTTTCACATTAGGGACAACTCCTCCCCCAATCTTTGCCTGAGGAAAAAGGGGAGGTACAGCAGAGTAGATCAGGCCAGGGTAGAAGTGAGACTTCAAGACAATTGTGTGAGTATCAGTGTCATAGTTCTTTTTCCACACTTGAAGCTGCGTGCGAGCCTACAGTCGATGTGGAGTCTGACTCGCAAGGGTTGCTGCCGGAGCACACCTCTCGCGTACCTGCACATGCCGGACCTGATTGCAGCATTCCCGGCTCAGGTGCTCTTGTTTGTACGGCCCAGCGTGTACCTCCCGAGGCACATCATGGACCGTTTGACTCGCGACGAGCTGACCTTGCATCTTCGCTCTTTGGGCGAGACGGCTCCAGAGGGGTGGACTCGAATGGAGATCCGCCAGCGCATCACGGAGATTGCGGAGGCGAACCCTTCGCTGGCAGCAACACCGTCTTCCAAGACGGACCTCGAGGCTATGATGGTGAAGCTCAACCGTGTGAGCCGAAAGAAAAGCGAGCTCCAAAAGTTCTGTCTGGACGAGCTTCGCATCAAGTACAACGACAACGACACCATCGCCCAACTCCAGAAGAAGGCGACGGCGGTGATCCTCGACATCACGGAGCCGCAAGCGGGCGACTTTCTAGGGTTTGGGAAGTACTCCGACAAGACGTACTCGGAAGTGTACCATCTCGACAGCCAGTATTGCCAATGGGTCAGCACGACAGCGCGCGAGGGCGACTGTTGCGCCCGCCTGGCCCGCTTCGACAAGTGGCTGTTGAAGACCCGGCAAGCGGATGCTCCAGCGGTCCCGTTGGTAAACCGCCCCAAAGCCAAGAGCGGAAAGAATGTTCCGAAGATCTCCACCCCCGAGGACATCGGCGGGTACACTTCTGTGGCGACTACGTCGGCGCAGGGAAGTACGCCTCTTGCTGCCGATCCACGGGATGCTCTCATGTTGCAGATGGCCGACACCCTCAAGAATCTCCAAGAGGAAGTGTCGCAGATGCGTGCCGAGCGACCTCGCAAAGTGACCTCGGCCCCGAAGGAGTGAAGAACATGGGAGCTCCAGGCGAAGACGAACCAGATGCTGGCGATGGAGGTCAGTGTCAGATGTCTTCGGTGGCGGCCGCAGCCCTAGAATATAGAGCAAACCGCGTGTTGCCTCAAGCATTTCATGAGTTGGTTGGCCAGGACCGGCCTCTCTTGATGGAAGTAGCATGTTCGTCTGATAGTGTTTTGTGTCGGACAGTGAGAGAAAAGACCGGAGAAGAACAGTCTGCGATGAGGTGTTCCATTTGGAATGGGGCTGATTTGACACAGGCCGCAGGGCTGCAGCTCGCGCTGGAGCAGATCCGTGGTCTGAATCCGAAAAATGTGTGGATTTCACCGCCAGGAGAGCCCTACTCCCCCATGCAGCATGCCAACCAACGCACGCCCCAGCAACAGAGAGAGCTGAGAGAGAAGCGAGAGGAGGCGATCAAGATTTATCATGCGGCCAGAGAGATCATGAGGGCTTGCGTGCACATGGGTATTCACTGTACCATTGAACTGAACGAACGGTGTGAAGCTTGGCGATTACCTGTCTTCCAGGAGCTGCAATATGAGATGAACTTGCATGTTTCAGTGGTGAAGGGCTGTAGCGTTGGTTTGAAGGACTCGCGAGGCCAATTGATTCAGAAGGGATGGCGTTTGGTAACTACACATGCCCGTCTTGCGACCATGATGAAGAAGCCTTGTCGTTGCCCGACCTCGTACCAACATGGAAGGTGTGAAGGCGCGATTGCGAGGAATTTGGATCGTTACACGCCGGAGTTTGCCCGTCTTGTGTGCCAGGCTTTGCAGGAAGAGTTTAGCTTCTACGGTGTTGTGCAAGAGTGTCGAGAAATAACAGTGTTTCGGAGGATTTCGGACGAGGTGAGGTGTGTGCTTGTGGGGATGCGTTCTTGGGTAAGCATGAGATGCAGTGCGGTAACTGTTTGTTGAATAGAGATGCGGTTCCTTTCTTCAACAGTGCCCCCGTGAGTAATCTAGGAACGTCGGACGTTGCCCTCGAAGCCCATCTTACCCAAGCTCAAGAAAAGCCTAGTGAACTGGCGGCCCGTCAACTCCGAAAACACGACAACATTTCCTACAAGCAGATGGAAGCATACTTGCAGGAGCATGCTAGTTCTGGTAGAGTTTCACGAAGAGACATGATACAACGTGAACAGGGAACCTACTACACCTATGGTACGTATGCTTATGGAAGTCACTACGGTCTGACCTTGCGAACCCAACAACGTCCTGAGTTTGTTCGTATGATCAATCGTTTTATTCGACAACACTTTCCCAAAGACTTTAAGTGGTCCGCCTTCGCGCTGAACATCAATTCAGCGGCCCCGATGCACAAGGACATCAACAACCACCCGAATTACCCAAACTGCAGTGTTGGATTGGGAGACTATACGGGTGGAGAATTGTGGGTTGAGGGCGAGGATTTCGGGAAAGGTCAGGTTGAGGTGAGGTGTCGTGATACTGGTGAACAGTTGCAAGGTGTGCGGATGAATTTCAGACATTGTCCGTTCCTTTTTCCTCCGCATAGGTGGCACCAGACTTGTGATTGGCAGGGTCAGAGATGGGTTCTTACGGCGTATGTCAGTAGAGGGATGCAGGAGCTTTCGGAAGAGGATTGGGGTCGATTGAAGGATTTGGGCTTTCCTGTTTCGACCTTCAAGAAGGAAGTGTGTGCTAGTGTTTTTCCAGGTTCGACCCAACAGGAAGCGATGGCAGCTCAACCCGAATCCAGTAGCTCTTCTCGTGAGACTCTTACCCCGAAGCAACGAGATGAACGGATTAGGAAGCAGTTGTATTTGTTACACTGTGCGTCGGGTCATTGTAGCATGCACCATCTCGTCGACGCCCTGAAACGAAGGAGGGCACCCGAAAGAACCATCGAGCTTGCCAAAGAGTTCTCATGCCCTGTTTGTCAGGAACGAAGTAAGCCCCCTCCGAGAGCCCAAGCCACGTTAGAACCTTTGCCCCCGAAGTTCTGTACGATCAGTGCGGATGTCGGTCACTGGGAACACCCTCACAATAAAGAGCCAGTGCAGTTCATGTTGATCATTGATGAGGGCTCAAGATACCGAGTGGCGCGAGTTTTGTCCCGAGGCTCGAAACAGCAACCCACGGCCAATGCTTGCATTCAGTACCTACAGGAAGGATGGCACCAGTACTTTGGCCACCCTCGAGCCGTCCGAGTTGACGCAGCTGGTGCGTTCAGGAGCTTTGCTTTGATTGATCAGTACTGTGATAAGCATGGCGTGTATCTAGACATCATTCCGGGAGAAGCCCATTGGAAGAATGGGGTCTGTGAGCAGGCAATCCAGGGAGTGAAAGAAGTGATGACACGACTCTGCCAATACGACGCAGACCTGACGACGGAAGCGGCCCTTGCAGAAGCCGTGAGGGTGTTCAATCATCGAGACATGATTCGTGGATTCTCGCCGGCCCAACATGTTATTGGGCGCGGGACCGACGATACCGATCGCTTTGTGGAGGCTGGCGAAGGCCTCCCACCGGGGCTTCTGGTGGAGCATCCAACGGGCGAGTTTGCGCGAGCCGCTCAGCGCCGAGCGGAGGCCGAGAAACTACACGCTGACTGGAACGCCAATCAGCAGATCAAACGGGCTCAGAATTCCAGGCATAGACCATGCTACAACTATCTTCCGGGGGAGCTGGTGTTCTTCTGGAGAAGTCAAGAGTCGGGGCGTGGCCGCCGACAACCTGGAACTCGCCAAGGAAGGTTTTTGGGACCCGCTCGCATACTGGCTACTGAAACGAGGAAATCTACGAATGGCGAGCTCGCTCCTGGAGGTGCGGTGTGGCTTGTGCGAGGTAGGGCTTTGATTAAGTGTGCTCCTGAACAACTCCGTCGAGCGACAGAGCGTGAGGAGATTCTGGAAGGTTTGTCAGCCCAGAATGGCCAAGCGACACCATGGACCTTCACCCAAGTGGCCTCGTCCATTGGCGGGAATCAGTTCCAGGATGCAACGAGTGACGTTCCAAACCTGGAAGAGTGGCGAGCGGCCCAAGATCCTACAGAGGCCGCGCAGCCGTCGCGCTTGAGAGTGCGAGGCAAACGTTCCGCCCAGCAACTGGCCGACACCGACCAGGTGGGAGACCTACAGATGGACGCCGATGAGAACAAGGAGGCGCCGATCCGACGTCCCCGACAAGATGGCTCGAGCCTACAAGCAGAGGCTCGAGGTGAGTGCTGGTGGACCACTGTTCCAGAGGATGCCTGGCCGACCCAGGAGAACGATCTCTGGAAAGATCCCTTGACCGCGGTGCAAGTGGAGGTCCCCCTTCCCGATACGAATCGGGGTGTCCAGAAGCTGGTTCGGAACTTCGAAGGTTATTTTGTGGGCCACATGAAGCGAAAGGCAGTTGAGGTGTCCGAGCGGCGCTTGACTCCAGCAGAGCTACAGGAATTCCGAGCGGCAAAGCAAGTGGAAGTAAAGAATTTTCTGTCTGCAGATGCATTTCAAGCCCTGCCAGCACACCTGCAACCTTCCAAAGAACAAGCAGTCGGAATGAGATGGGTGCTTACGTGGAAGCTGAAGGATGATGGTACGAGAAAAGCAAAAGCTCGAGCTGTATTGCTCGGGTACCAAGACCCGTGCTATGAGCATCGAAGTACCACGGCACCTGTTATGACTCGACAGTCAAGACAGATGTTGCTACAAGTAGCAGCGTGGAAGCGCTGGCGAATCCGAAAAGGAGATGTCAGCGGCGCCTTCCTTCAGGGGCGTGAATACCCCGACACCTTGTATTGTGTGCCGACTCCTGATCTGTGAGGCCATGGGAATTTCGGAAAACAGCGTGACACGCATCAAGCGAGCCTGCTACGGTCTAGTGGATGCGCCCTTGGAGTGGTACCGTACTGTCGATACCTTTCTCCGTAGCATCGGACTTGAACGATCCAGTTCTGACTCTTGTGTGTGGTGTTACCGCCGTGACGGAATCCTCAAGGGACTGATTTCAGGGCATGTCGATGATTTCATTTTTGGTGGTGATGAAGATGATGCAGGGTGGCGAGATGTCCTTGATCAAATCCAGAAACAATTCAAGTGGGGAGACTGGGAGGTGGATAAATTCACTCAGTGTGGCGTCCTCATTGAAACTACTGAACGAGGGTTCGAACTCTCCCAGCCCTCTTACCTGGAAGGACTAAGTGAGATCTCCGTGAATGCTACACGTCGAAAGGACAGATCAGCTGGAACGACAGACAGAGAGCGCACCCTTCTGAGAGCACTCTTGGGAGGATTGAGCTGGCATGCGCAACAAGTGGCGCCACACTTGAGCGCCGACGTAAGTCTGCTTCTTTCCGAGGTGGGACGCAGCACCGTCGACACTATCATCCGAGCAAACATGCTCTTGTCGCATACTAAGGCGAGGAAGGAGCACAAGCTGATCATCCACAAGCATGCTCCCGATGCAGAGCTGGTTCTTGTGGCCTGGGTCGACGCCGCAGCTCAAAGTCGAGTGGATGGTGGCAGCACTCAGGGAATCGTCATAGGCATCGCACCACAACAACTCTTACAGGGTGAAGTTTGTGACATCTCGCTTATGTCGTGGCACTCCTCAAAGATTGACCGATGTTGCCGTAGCCCAGGTGCTTCAGAAGCTTTGGCGGCGATCAACGGTGAGGACAACTTGTACTACGCCCGCTACCAATGGTCTGAGCTCCTCTATGGCAACCAAGATATTCGTAAACCTGACATTACGGTTACCAGAACTCCGGGATGTTTAGTGACGGATAGTAGGAATGTGTACGATAAGATGTCTCAGGAAGTGATTGTGGTGAAAGGCGCAGAAAAGCGTACGAGTATCGAGCTTCTCGGCCTGAAGGAAGCCCAGCGCCGGACGAATGTCATCATACGGTGGGTGCACTCGGAAGCTCAACTAGCCAATAGCCTAACCAAGGCGAACGGGCTCAAGGAGTTGGAGATGTTCTACCGGATGTCTCAAAAGTGGCGAATCGTCGAAGACGAGAATATGATGTCTGCTCGTCGTCGTCGTGAGTTGGGACTACGGCCGCTTTCGCAGTCTGAGGGTGTGGAAAATTCTTTAATGGATGAGAAGCCTTCTTGAAGTCTCAATTCGTGTTTTCGTCAATGTCTGGGCGGGGAGGCCCGGGCATGCGGGTTTCACCCAAGTCTTGTTCCCAGGCATCTGGAACTCCGACTTCTGGCAGTGTGGAGGATCAAACAAAGGCGCGTCCCTTGCGCAGGCCGGTAGTCGTAGAGCCTTCGTGCCTCTCGTGTTACGGCCATAAGCACGGACGATAACCTTGTGATCACTCGTGCTAGAGCTTATCGCGGCTACCAATCCAGCTACCCGCTCGCAGGGTTTAGGGTTTAGGCTCAGGGTTTGGGGTTTAAGGTTTAGGTTCAGGGTTTACAATAAAGATCCCCCAAAATAGAGTAGGCAATTCTTATAAGGCCCCTATATTAAAAAGCCTTGGCGCCTCGACTCAGGCCAAATCGCTCTTCTTCCAAACAGTAGGTCAGGGCAGGGCAGGGCCGGGAAGGGCTTAAGCACCGCCCTTAAAGTGTGTGTTTATCACAAGTCGCTTGCAAATATGGGTCTGGGCTTTGGGTTTTGAATCGTTTCGCAGATCGGTGGGTCTACTCAGGGTCCAAAGCCCCAAAGGGATCCTCATGAGGAGATCAAGGTTGAGGGTGTAAGGGGGATTTAGCGGTTTAGGGTTCAGGGTTTAAGGTTTAGGGTTTAGGGGGATTTAGCGGTTTAGGGTTTAGGGCTTACGGCCCAAACTCCAACACACCCAAGCCCTGACCCAGAAACACCCGCCCTCAGGCCCGCACTCCCAGGCCAGCAACTCCTAATCTCCAAAACACTAAACTCCTGGACCCCCTTATGCATTAGGGTGGTTGTCAAAATTGTGGTCCCTTTTTGGGTCCCTAATATAGTACGGCACCTATTTTTTTAGGTGCCCAAAAAGGAACCATAATTTTGACAACCACCCATTAAAACGAGATTCGCCAAACTGCTGGAACTCCCACACCCTACAGGGCCCTACAGCCCACTGATCCCCTGAACCCGCGACTTCCCCTAAACAAGCCCAAGAAGACCTCATCAAAACCGTATACACTAGCCCTCATACCTTGGGCACGGCCCCCACTCAGTAATAGTTGAATAATATTCATAATACAGATATATTAGGACCTTAATGGTAGCCCTCTTATTATAGACTCTTATTACTGTATGGGGGCAGTACCTAACCTAACTCTTACACCCCTTAACCACCCCAAAACACCAGATCCATGGCCGCCTGGGCATCTTAGGACTCTCCGTTTCCTCCTCGGCCGAGGACGCGGATCCGACGCCTCTTCCGGATCTAGCGTTCTGGAATTTATTGCAGGAGGGGCTGCACACCCGGCGGGTCGTTCTGCTAAGACTGAAAGGTTTCGACTGATCTACCTGGACAAATAGTTTAAGGGTTGGGGCTGATGGGTATAATGGTGCAGGGCTTCCTTCTGAAAGACTCCATGAGGGCTCTGAGATCTAAACGCCGAAGAGGGTGGCTTCGACCTAGCGAAGTCAAATTTGGTGGGGGCTTCTTAAGTTGCATGAGAGGCTTCTCTTTCACTGGCTTGCCGGGATGTCTGACATCTACAAAATGCTGCAGCTTCCGTGCTCTGTCTCAGATGTGGGGTAACAGACTTGGGATTTTAGGTACGCCTCGAGCTCACGGTTATGATGCCGGGAGTAGAAGTTAGAAGTGCCCAAATCACCTAACCCCCTCATCTCAGACTCCGAACCGAGGGCTTTGGATTCACCACGAGCTTCAGAGAGCTGCGGGCACGGTATCGGAGAAGCCGGGCGACTTCCTGCAGCTGGGACCCACTTCAACAACCCGGCCTCTTCGACGGACTTCGAGTCGTGGGCGGATCGACGGGAAGTGGGTGAAGGCATCCCTTAAGCACGAGGCTTTGGGGATGAAAAGGTACTTGGGTTTGGTGTTCTGGGGTTTAAGGGGTACTGAGGCATCGGGGGAGTAGGGTTCAGGGTTTTGCGGCTTTGACGTTTTAAGCTTGAGGGCCTCTAGGGTTGACGGGTTTAAGTCTAAAAGGATGGTCATCAAAGGTGTGACTCCTTTAACATCAAAACCTGGAAACGTCAAAAGAATGCCTCTACAAAGCACTGACATTATTCCCCTTCATCTACCATCTATCATAGCCGAAGCAACTACTGGACTATCCAGCCTCCGTGAAAGGGGTGTTGCAGGTCGTGGCGGATTCGGGCTCCGCTCGTGGAAAGTAGTAGAGGGTACAAGCTAAATTTTTGGAAGGGCTTACTGGGTTTATCGGGTGTACAGAGATAGCGGGAGTCGAGTTTGGAATGTAGTATGTATTTCAGGTTTTGTATTTATGTTGTGTGGGGTTCGGGATTTACTGTACAACACACCGCCAAAACCCTACTCTAGGTCCCGGCATAACTCCTAAGAGCCCTACACCCGAAGCTGAAACCTCAACCACTAAATCCTGAACCAGAACCTTGAAACCACGAAACGTAAAGTGCCAAAGCAACCCCTAAACCCTAAACCTGAAACCCTAAACCCTAAAGCCTAAACCCTAAACCGGTGCAACCCGGCCGCACAGTCAAGGCAGCAGGATCACCGCAGAAGGGCGCAGCCGCCAGCAGCAGCGGCCATGTTCGCATGGCTTCTTCTACAGGCTGCCCCTAGTGGAGATTTCGGGAATCGTCCTTGATATGGGTGTTTCCGAAAATAGGGGACCCTACTATAGTACCCCAAATAGTAGGATCCTTATTATAAGGGCCCCAAAATAATGTACCCCCCCCATTTTCGGAAACTCCCATATGGTCCAATAAGTAGCAGAGGGTTTGAAGGAATTTGCCATTTTTTGGAATGTTGCGAGAAGGCCGGGAATTTAGGCTTGCCGGCCGGCCGGTTCAATGTTACGTTGGGATAAGTGGTATTAGTATGTAGGGTTCACGGTTTAGGGTTCAAGCTCATATCCTAGGATATATTAAAACGTATGAAATTATAGCTTAGTAAAGTATGTTGCGCTACATTGCCTAAGTTCTAAGTTTCTACTATAGAAGTAATACCTATCGGCCTTGTGCTCAAGCTGCGATGCTCCCACCTCTGCTGCAGTCGGTTTAGCATTTGGTTTAGGGTTTAGGGCGCTGACTCTTTGTAAAGGAGCGTACTCGATTTGACGAAAATCTCCTTTGGAGACAAGCAGTCGGGCACGGCCAGAACAGCGCACACCTCTGGAAGCTGACCCTCAACACCGCAACAAAACTGAGCCAGCGCACTAGACACAATTATAGTACCCCAAATAGTAGGATCCTTATTATAAGGGCCCCAAAATAATGTACCCCCCCCCCCATTTTCGGAAACTCCCATATAATACTAGCCCCGAGACCCGCTCTTCATGCGACGGCCCTCGACCGTCGAAGCCGCAATCAAACATGGCATCCGCAAACTCATGTCGGGGCCTTCAGAATTGGAATACGGCTTTGGGGTACATTCTACTATAACCATATTAAGGATTTTTTTATAATAGTATGGGTAAGTATTTATTTATATGCGCCCATAGTAACCGCAAGAATCCTGCGACAGTCGCTGCGGCTAAAATCTGCTCGATGCCTCACGGATCTGCTGGTGAACCTCCTTAAGCTTCTGCATCGCCTTTCGGAAGAAGGGCTCCGGGGTGTACGACTTTCGAAAGAAGGGCTTCGGGTTCGCGAGTTTTGGGGCTTAGAGGCTTCGGGGGGGAAGAAGGGCATCGGGTTCACGACTTTAGGACTGAGGGGCTTAGGGTGTTAAGGCTAAGGGCTCAGGAGTTTAAGACTTAGGGGTTTTGGGTTTAGGGTTCAGGGCTCAGGGTTCAGGAGTTTAGGACTTAGTATAGGGGCCTTACCATTTAGAATAGGATACTGGCGCCCACTATACTGTAATTATAACAAGGAGCCCCCCCAAAATGGTAATGGTAAGTTTTTTAGGCCCCTATCATATACTTGTCTCAAGGAACCTGAAAAAGTTATATGATTACTATTCTTATTAGGTTTCGGGCCTACGGGGTTGGATCTTTGAGCTTTTGCAATCCAAAGCCTTGCAGCCCCTCTGCGCTTCCCACTTAAAGGATCATGGGACTTAGTAACTAGGGTCACAATTAAGGTAACTGTACTTATAATTGCTTATAACCCCAATTAAGGTACTTACAACCCTACTTATACTAAGTCCCATGATCCTCCAAGCACACTCAGAAAAGGACTTATATAAGGACATCATCATAAGGAGCCCTCAAAAGGTAGGTTCTTCACGGTTAAGGAAGGGTTTAGGGGTTTAGGGCTTAGAGGGTTTATGAATAATTAAAGGGTTTCTGGTTGAGGGTTTACCGGGGTTTAGGGTTTAGGGGTTCAGGGCTTATAGGGTATGTAGGGGTTTAGCGTTTAAGGTTTAGGGGTTTCGTCAACTGCTGCGCGCCTGTTTCGCTTTGGACATTGTAACCTTGATCTCAATGATGTTCTTGACTTCGCCTTAGCTGGAAAAACAAACAGCACCACCACCACCACCACCACCACCACCACAACCACAACCACAACCACAACCACAACCACCACCAACAACACCACCACCAACAACAACACCAACACCAACACCAACACCACCAACACCACCACAGCCCACCACCACCAACAACAACAACAACAACACCAACACCACCAGCAACAACAACAGCAACACCACCAGCAACAGCAACACCAGCTGCTGCTGCTACTACTACTACTACTACTACTACTACTACTACTACTACTACCACTACTACTACTACCACTACTTCTACTACTACTTCTACTACTACTACTATTACTACTACTACTACTACTACTACTACTACTACTACTACTACTACTACTACCACCACCATTACCACGTCTCCTACGACGACGACTACAACGACTCCTGCGACGGAACGACGACAGGCAGTACTACGAATGCTACGGCTGCTGCTGCTGCTACTGCCACTGCGGCCAATCACTTCTCTTTGCGGGGTTTGGAGGGATTTGTTATGACCTTGCTTAATGCATCTTAAAGCTCTGAAAATCTGAGAAGAGAACTCTAGGGTCCAACAACAACAACAGCAAACTCTAAAACCGGAGCCCTGAAGTGGCTCATTCAGCATTACATTACATGGATGTCGTGTTCGAGATAATCAGCCACGATTCGCTCAACTAGGCCCATAATGGGGCTCAATCAATCGAAACTCATGCATTGCCCGCTTATTCCGCAACAGCAGGTACGCTTGGCGTCTGCAATCTGGTAAGGCCAAGGTCGGTGACTAGACTTGTGTCCCGCGGTCGCGGAGAGTTAAGGGATGTGTGCTAGTCTTCGGGGAGCGAGGGGAGCTAGCACCGCGCAGTCTGAAGGTATTGTATCTTCTCGCGCCTTGGCAAGTAAAAAGTAGTAGTCTTGGGGACGCACCGAAGGAGGGAAGACAGCGCTGTGCAGTCTGAGTGTACGAAAAGTCTGAGCGTACGAAACGTAACTTGCTTTGTGGCCGGGAGAGAGCAGACAGTGCGCCGCCACTACTGTATCTTTTCGTGCGTCGGCAATTCAAAAGTAGTCTTGGGGACGGGGACGCACCGACGAGTGAGGGAAGATAGCGCCGTGCAGTCTGAGCGCACGAAACATACCTTGCTTTGTGGCACAGAACTATGTATAAATACCATCATAAGTAGCCCTCAAAAGGTAGGGTGTTGCGATTCCAAGGGTGTTCAACAGACCCGAACAGCGTGGGAAATCATCAGCTGGCATGTAGTCGTTTGTGCACACGAAATCGACAAGGAGATTCCGCAGGAATTGAAGCAATGTTGAGGAGTTGGGCAGGCATAGGCATATCGTGCACTATACATCCACCCTAGACCGGGCGAGAATTGAACTTACGGGGTGCGGGCTCACAGTAGGCAAGGGTCTGGTAGAGAGTTTAGACTTGTGTGACATCTTTTACTTCCATTTGCCACATACTTTGTCCCTGGAGTAGGGTGTTGGCAAGGGTTCTGGTGAGCGTATAGTATAGGGGTCGGAATAAAACTTGTCCAACCTTCTTGTTAGGTTACTTAACCATACTTGTCAATAGTAGAATATGACCCGAAATTTTGTCGAGTTTCTATATTACTGCAAATGTTTGCCGTCCGCCGTGAACATCCTGGCTGCCCGGGCTGGCTAAGACTTTTTCCTTCCTGTAAAGCAGCATTTGGGGACTATGAGGGGTTCATTTGTGCACTATTTCGGGCATTATTTGGGCACGATTCGGGCAATAGCCGGAGGCTTGAGTGGCGATATCTGCAAAGCCGAGGCAGGGGAGGCCCTGCAGGGCAGAATTACGCACGAATGGGAGTGGGAACTTGTTGCTGCAGATGCAAAAGCCTGCAGGGAAGAGTTAAGAGATTGTTTGCAATAGGAAGCATCATTAGGGCCATTGGCATTGGGGAATGATCTGCGAGGCAGGGTTTAGGGAGGAGGTTTAAGGAGGGATCTGCCTGGATCTGCAAGGCTGGATTTGGGTGAGGATTGCAAACGTTTAGAAGAGCCTACGCTGGCAATGCGAGGGTTTAGGCAAAGATCTGTCACGCAGGGTTTAGGGGAGCATTTACAGCGGAGACGTATAGGGAGGAGTGCCCGGAAAAAGCGCCGAAATGATTTTATGAGCGGCTGAGGGTGTCTATCGCGTTTATAGCTGCTGTTAGTTACTACCCCCACCCCCTCAACTTCAATGATTGCCGCAGTGCCACCACACCTCACTAACCGTTTCTATATGTGAACATTGAAGTTTGGGGAGGTCTGGACGGACGGTACGAACAATGCCAAAACTTGTACCATTTCGCGAGGCCAGCAAAAGCCTGCCAAGAAGAGTCAGGGGATTGTTCCCAACAGCGGGTACGCTTGTGGCTTGCAGTCTCCGCACCGTGTAAATGTTACCGGCTGTAATGAACTTCACGAGCAGTAATATGTGGATCGGACTCTATGATCATCGTCCTCGCGTGCAGGTCTGCATCGTCGTCGTCCTGGAGGAGGTCTTCCCTTTTTCCCTCCTCTTAGGATCCACCTCGAACGCGGTAGGAGGGCTTTTAGTACTCCTTCCCCCTCAGTCGAGGGGGAAGCCAAGATTCACCCGATGTTTCGATTTCTTTCATAGATCTAGATGGCTGTCACAGGTGCGCCGACAGATATGTTCTGGCATTTTCCAACCGATTCAGCCTATGCTGGCCTCCCTTTCTTGATAGCCACTCCGAGCTGCAGTTCATGCAAAACAGCGGCGCTTCTAAATTGCTGCGCTTGTAAAGATGTGCATATGCCTGCCAAGCACGTCAACATTGCTTCATGCCTGCGGCGTGTTCGCTTCGATTTCGTTTGCACAGACGACTATACGCCAGCTGACGATTTCCCACGCTGTTGGGGTCTGTTGCTGCTGAGATGATGTTGACAGTTCTTCAGCAATGGCTTGTGTGAACCGAGCTTTACATCATGGTTGCATGGTGAGTGCAAAAAACTCCATAGGAAGGTTGGTGAGTGCATATTTGAAGCGTCACTGCGGAGATACTATGAGAACACTTTAGAAATACTGCATGCGCAGTACGCCTTACAAGGTTAGAAACCGGAAACTGAGACAGTATGAATCGTGCTGGTACTGTAACCTGAAGCCTAAACCCCAAACCCTAAACATTGGGCGTGAGGTCAATGAGCTTCAAACTTGGTGGCAGTGAGGCTTTGGCATACGCTCGGAGACGAATGAATACCTTGATGTGATATTGGTCGAAAGCACGGAACACATACCAGTCGGCAGAGGGAATCCATATCCAAACAAGAACACAGGAGACATCGGAGACCAACTCCTTCGACCAAACTGAATTGCAAAGGCGATGGCATGCTTACACTGCAAGGGCTCGTGAAGGCACTGCTCCCCGAAAACCCGATCCACGAGATCCTGGACCCAAAAATCCCAAGCAAGAAAAACCGTCAATCTCAGCTCGGGAACGTTCTTGAGTCTCCAGCACAGCCCTCGGCTGCGGTCAACTTAAGACTTCTGTCAACTTATAAGACTTCTTCTATTACTATTAATACTATTATTACTAGTATTTTTATTCGTATTAATACTTTGACTATTATTGTTATTACTATTATTACATATGGTCCTGGTACTATGCCCCACCAACCCAGTCATGAACTGCGCCCCAATAGGCTGAGCCATAGGCCTAAAACGGAAGACCCCCCAACCCACATCATAAAGACTCTGTCCGCGGCTGCCCTCCTCCAGCTCTAAACCCGAAACCCTACACCGTTTAGGGGCTTAGGCTTTAGGGTTCGGGTAAGTCACCGCCAATCGACACAAGCACGACAAGACCCTTGTCTGCGGCATGTGATACTCCTTGTCATCCCACCTACTGCATCCCCTGCGAACTTTATGCTCGAGTGTTGATTGAAACGCCTTAAAGTGCAGTACAACTAGACTTCGCCGTTACATCTACCGTATGCTCTTCTGTTCAGCAAGCTTTCTGAAGGTTTTCGGGTGCAAGACAAGAGCTTCTGAAGAACCACGGAAACCCTAAAGCCCAGTACCGTAAACCCATGATACAGGGGCCAAAAAGAATTAGAATAGGAATCTGGGGGCCATTATACCATAATTGTAATAAGGACCCCCCCAAAAAAATAGTATTGGTAAATATTGAGGCTCCTATATCAACCAAATCAAATGAAGCCCGGCACCGCCTCTACACGCCCTAGATGCAGATCCGTACCAAAAGAACCAACGGAGGCAAAAATAGTCAAAAGTAGGCACCGAAACTCCTGAACAAGAAGCCCTCTAGTCCCCAAGACCCAAGACCCCTGAATCATAGACTCTGAACTGTGGCTCTGCAGCCGAAAAAAAAAGAACTGAAGCCCCGAACCCTGAATCGTGCAGATGCTTTATACTGTAAACAATTCATTAAGGAAATGCATTGAAGCCCTCTGCGCCCTATTAAACCCTCGAAGCCCCAAAGCCTATAGCCGTCAAGTTGGTCTCTTACTGGTCATACTGGTGCTGAAGGAAGAGTGGAGGAAGGAATGTCAGGTCCACTCTCCCTCTCCCGCTTAGGCACTAGTAATATGTCCAGGCGTCGGAGTCTTTCGCCCTTTCGTTGACTTGTAGGCGCTCTTGATTCTTGATCCTGAGCTGGGGGTACAATCTTCAGGGGAAAGGGGAAGGGCTGGTGGACATTCTTCCGTCAACGACTCGCGATTTATCCACCATCCCTTGACCCTAAACCCAAACTTGTACGAGACACTATGTCCATTCCTAAAAGAGTCAGCAACCGCAGGGTGCCCTAAAGCTTCAGGGCGCACGCCCCTCCCGCACACGCACAAAACCAACCTGAACCGCATAAAACTACGGCCTATAAATACAAAAACCTACGAGACCCAGGCCGTAAATACAAAGGGTTCAAAGTTTAGGATAGAGGGTCTGCTCTTCCAATCCTAATCCCTGAACCCTGAATCTGTTGCGTATGCCAGGCATCGGCACTGTAGCACTTTGCGTTCCATCCGCTCAATTTCGGTCTGGTAGGCCTGTGCTAAGGGTAAATGTAGGGATCATCACAAGTTTCGCATGGTATTGGGGTAGATTATAGCATTACTACGAGAAGATATGACTGCTGGTTGCTCACCCTTTGGCAGTAGCAGTCCCGTGGCAGAGTGTCACCCTTCGGTCCCTCTATGATTGTACTTTGACAGGGTGCAAAACATAGCCTATGTTGCTATCCCCCATCCGATAACACAATCCATAACAAAGCTCACGAGCCTGGCTCTACAGACCAAGGTCGTGGCACACAAGGGTTCCTTTCCAACCCTAGACCCTGATGAAAGCCTCAAAACCTTTAGTCTACCTACTGCTCATGGCTTCAGGGCTTCTGTCTTGAAAGCTTCTGCCCCTTCTGACTTTCGCTACCTCAGTGTTTCGGGTTAGGGTCTGAAAAGCAAATGCTCCATCTGGGCAGCTGCCAGGGCGTTTAAAACCATCCCCAAACATCATGCATAGGGTTTAGGGCTTAGGGCTTTCGTTTATCGAAACGTCTATATCAAAAGCGCATACACCGCATAAAAACAAGCAAGGCAACATTCAGGATGCCATTAACTCGAGTCCCAACTGCCTCAGCCCCTACAACACCCTAACCCTGCACTTCAAGCCGCCAGTTTTTAAGCCCTAAACCCAAACCCCACACTGGAAGTTCCCGTCCTTAAACTACGCAAACACCGTGAAGACTATGCATCTTCGGTCTCTGGACTGATCCGAAGGCTCGCGATTTAGGTCGACATTCTGGTGTTTAAGCTTAACCCTAAACCCTAAACCCTAAACCCTAAACCCTAAACCCTAAATTTCAATTCAATGAGTGCTCGGAGTTTGGAGCTTCGAAGTCTCGAAGGCTCGAGGCTTTCGCCGGGAATTGGGGTTGAGCATTGCCCTTATAGTAACCCTTATAGAGCCCTTTTAGGTTGGGTCTTGGGGATCTAAGAAAGGAGCCCCTTATTACAAATATACTACTGTTCAGGCTTCCTTCTGTGACTTTGAAACCTTATCCCTAAAAGCCTGAAGCCCTAAACCCTGAAACTCCAAGGCCAGGATGCTGCGGCCATGTTTTCCACATCTTTTACGGGGAACTGGAGCTCTAAGAGCTTCTTGTTGCCGTAGAGAGCTCCTCGCAAGGGCAATGCTGCATTCACTGCTTGACACTGCTGTTCGTGATAAACTCAAGGTAGCCGAAATTATGTACATGCATTGAATATGGTGTGCCAACTATTGCAGCCGCTTGCAGACCCTTAAATCAGACTGCGCTCCCTCACGCTTAGAGTATTGAACCCTACCTTATATAACCCCGAACCACCCACCTTTTTAAGGACTTATATAAGGCAATCATACTAGGGAACTCTACAAAGGCAGGTTCTTTAGGGTCCAGGCAAATGCTAAACCCTCAAAGAAATATTCTGGGGGGTATCCTGGGAGCCGCTTCGAGTTCGAGGAGACTGGGCAGGATAAGACTTGTTTTGAAGCCATCTCCATCATCCGGCACGGTTTACGGTCTAAGGTTTAGGGTTCAGGGTAGAGTTTGAAGACTTTTTGGGGGGGTCTAGACGGCAACTTCTGGAATCTAGTCTAGAACCCCAAACCTTGAACTGCGAAAGCCGCTGCAGCACTGAGCTGCTCTTGCCGGTTGGCTGACCAGACAGGTATGAACGGAGCGAGTCTCGATCTTCGTCGATTTATGATATGCTCTATATATATATATATCATATATTCTATATTATAGACTATATTCGATGTTATTTTACTGTATGTAATAGCACTTTGTGATCTTCTTACGAAGTATGGTAGTAAAGCATAAGTTCATACAATACACTACAACACAGCGCAATGTCATACAATACAATACAATGCAATACAGTTACAACCCAATGCAATCCAATGCAATGCAATACATTATGACATCATGTCATGCAATGTAACGTGATGTAACATATAAACATAATGCAATGAACTTGTATGAGGTTTGATACTCAAATCTACGCGCATCCAATATAAGCCCTTGCTAGGATACTGCAGATAATCAAAACTGCGCATGCAAACTGAAGGCCCGAACCACCTGAGATCATCCACGCACTGCCTCTTAACCTCCTAAACCTTAAACCCCAAACCCTAAACCCGAGACCCTAAACCCTAAACCCTAAACCCTAAACCCCAAACCCCAAACCCTAAACCCTAACCCCGAACACTGAAGCCTCGACCCCGAGGCCACAGCCATCGACCTTTGGGCCCTCAAGGGGGGGGGGGGGTAGGAGGGGGGGTAGGGGACTTAGGTCTTATTAGGTCCTTATTAAGGGCTTTAGGGTTTAGGATTTAGAGTTCAGCAGCTCCGGATCGACCAGTTTTATAGTAGAGTTGTATTTACGGTTTTGATATAACACCCACCCACCCTAGAATCCCATAACATTAAGCAATATAAAGTTCCCTCATCATCACTCAGAGAGTTCTACCTACAACTTAGCCTGTCACACTTGTATGTCGCCCTCCCACACCATTAGGAAAATACAACGGTTCATATTCCTCACACAGCTGATTTAATTGTTTTAAAATTGTCAAGCTTAAACTTACCCTAGATCCTTCCAACCAACTAGGTTTGTTGTGTATGTTGCAAGCTATTTATTTTATTCAAGTGTCTACACCGTTGCTTGCTAGTCATAAGTGAAGCACTTAAGCGATTTTGGTCCCCCTTAACCTTGAAGCCCAAACCCTCGGCCCTAAACCCTAAGCCCTAAACCCTAAGGTCCAAACCCTAGACCCTAAACCCTAAAGCCCAACCCTAGGCCCTAAACCCTAAAGCCCAAACCCTAGGCCATAAACCCTAAAGCCCAAACCCTAGGCCCTAAACCCTAAAGCCCAAACCCTAGGCCCTAAACCCTAAAGCCCAAACCCTAGGCCCTAAACCCTAAAGCCCAAACCCTAGGCCCTAAACCCTAAAGCCCAAACCCTAGGCCCTAAACCCTAAATCGTTCCGAAAAACCCTTGCTCTGTTTCCGGAATACACCGGTTTTCCGAAATTCCCGGGCCAAGAACAAGGGTTTTTTGGAATGGCTCAGACAAACCCTTGTTCGTGGCCCAAATCCCGTGTCACGAACAAGGGGTTTTCCGAATTTCCCGTGTCACGAACAAGGGTTTTTTGGAATGGTTCCGGTCCCGTGTCACGAACAAGGTTTTTTTTTTTTCTCGAATTTCCCGTGTCACGAATAAGGTTTTTTGGAAAGTTTCAGAAAAACCCTTGTTCGTGGCCCAAATCCCGTGTCACGAACAAGGGTTTTCTGAATTTACCGTGTCACGAACAAAGGTTTTTTGGTAATGGCTCCGAAAAACCCTTGTTCGTGGCCCAAATCCCGTGTCACGAACAAGGGTTTTCCGAATTTCCCGTGTCACGAACAAGGGTTTTTTGGAATGGTTCCGAAAAACCCTTGTTCGTGGCCCAGATCCTGTGTCACGAACAAGGGTTTTAGAGGGATTTCGGCAAAAAAACCTTAATGTCACGAAGAGATTAAGGTTTAAATACATTTGAAAGAGAGGTTTAGGGTTTAGGGCTTAGGGTTTGGGGTAGTTTAGGGTTTAGGGCTAAGGGTCCCTATCCCTATGAGTTTGGGGAGTCCGCAACCAAGCCGCACGGTTCCCCATTCCCGGCGTGCGGCCTCGTATAGCACCCCATCCAAAAGGAGTGAAGTAGTTGCCCCCAACCTGGCTTACTGGGAAGATCAGGAATCTTAGCCAGTAAGGTTATAAGTAGAACCGCAATCCTGAAACTCTAAACACTGAACCCTAGCCTCCTGGTAGTCGGATATAAGTTGCAAGTTCAGCTTGGGCTGAAAACTTTGAACGGATTCTGTTAGAACAGTGTAGAGTGTGACGCAACAGGCCTCATCGTGTGCAGTGTCTGCAGAGTCCAGAGTTGTCCCTACTATGCCAGCAGTTCGGCTAACCTCCTGAGCCGTGGACTTGCACAAGTAACTACATGTAATATCGTCAATAGGCCATGTTAGCCCCAGGATGCCGAGCTATCTCAGGGTGCGGGGCAGAGATCATGGGCCAAATATGAGGGGATTCACCGGTAGAGCAAGGTTCCCAACCCTAAACCCTAAACCCTAAAGCGCACCTGAAGACTCTGCAGCGTCCGATTCGACTGGCGCAGTCACGTTGGCTTTCGGAGCGGGGCGGGGGTGGAATGGACCCCCGAGCTCCGAATCAAGTAGGGTTTAGGGTTTAGGGTTTACGGAAGTAAGGTTTTTAGGGTTTAGATGTGTAGAGGTTTAGGGGTTTCTGATACTCTGAATTAGTCCTTCAAGTTATGGTATGTGCCCTGAAAAAGGAACCTTCATCAAGGGGTTGGGAGGCTCGAGGTTCAGGGGTTAGGGTTCAGTGAAGGATGTCGGCCTCATGTGTCTTCTCTGACTCTCCAAAAGGGTCCTAAATACGCATAGTAGAATGTACGGTACAATAGGAATGACAATTATGATTCTGATTTTGATTTGGGAAAGTATCCCCCCAGAACGGTACCCAGGAACCTTTCGGTCTTTGATTCCAGCTTCTGGGATACCCTAAGGGTCCCAAGGACCTATCAATTAGGTACCCGGTTTGAGGATAGTAGTTATGTAGGTTAGGATTTTTGAGAGTATCTGATAGTTATGTACCTGGACCCTTGGGGATAGACAAGGCTCCGCGGAAGGGCTGTGCAGGTTTGGGTATCTATGGATTTCGATTGAGGTTCCCGCCGTTGGCATGCAGGGCTTTTTGAAGTTGCCTTTAGACTGTCGGGCTACGAGGCTTACCGTTGACAGATGAGGGTTTGGGATTGAGGGTTGAGGGTTGAGGGTTTTGTAGAGGGCAATGTAGGCGCTAATACAGAAACCCCTTCCCCCTTCTCAGGACGTTTATAGGGATCCGCGTATTAGGGCCTTGCAGGAAGGGGATTGATTAGTCATGTGTCTACATTAGAATTGCTAACCAGTGGTTTTGGGGTTCCCTTGACTCTTTAGCTCCGCATTTAATAGGGACTTTCATCATCCCTGGCTCCTTAGCTCGCGCAATATCAAAGATTGAATTCGAAGGAGCGGGGCCATTGGGTACCACATGAACCGGAACCTCTCCACCAATTCCAATCCGGCCTCAAAGCACGTCGAACCGTGTTTGAGTGGGATCCACGCAGGGAAACTCTAAGGTCATCGTGTCGTGGTCCGAGCAACTCATCAAAACATCCCTTTCTACTTAGAGGTTCATGGGTAGTCATAAGTGGAGCTATAAGTAGGATAACTACAGTTTTAACTCCTATTCAGGGACTTATGATCCCACTCACCACTAGAACCTCCAAGTAGTTCCTATATACCTATACTATGCTGAGCCTCAGAAGTTCCAGAACCCTAAAGCCCCTGGTATTACAATCATTCGTTGAGTCTTTAGTGAACCCCATAAACCACAGAACGTGTCCACCTAACAAACGCTAAGGTTTAGGGTTTAGGTGTAGGTTCCATGAACCTCTCACACCTGTTCTGAAACCAAAGCCTATCCGAAACCGTGGTACCAAACGCCCGAAGTCCTAAAGGGGCTTAGGAACACAGCCAGAACCTGAAAACCTTCATGCAGGGGTCTAGTTGGGAGTGGAAGATAAGAATACCATTGTAGCAAGTATTCCGACCGCGACATTAAGCCCCTCTTCAATCTAAAACCCTAAACCCTAAACCCTACACCCTAAACCCTAAACCCTAGACCCTCAACCTCACACCCACCCTGACAGGCCTTGAGCATGCTGCCCAATGCCTTTCTAGAGGTCTCAAAACGCACGGCTTCGGTTCCCGGCTTAGGGTTTGGGATTTGGGAGTTTCCGAAAATGGCGGGCCCTAATTTGGGACCCTAAATAGTAGGATCCTTATTATAAGGACCCCAAAAGAAGGTACCCCTAATTTTCGGAAACTCCCATTTAGAGTTCAGGGCTTTGAGATCTGCCGTCTTTTGTGGCTTCGGGACATCTCTTCGTGCTGAGTGCTGGGAGGATGCTTCACGTTCTCTTACCTTACCTTTGCTTAGTAGGGAATGGGAGGAATGGGGTAGAATTATAACTACTGTTACTACCATTCTTCCATTCCCTACTAACCAAAGGTACGAAAATAGCCCTAAAGCTTACAACCCTAAACCCTATAGCCTATACCCTAAACTCTATAAGTGCATTCCCTACTAACCGAAGGCAAGTTACACACGAACCTCCGGCCTGAACCCAGGAAATCACAGACCTACTCCGTAGACTCCACGACATTCATGCGATTCTTCGACTAAACGGGAGGACAGTCCTAAGGCCCTGAGTACATATGGGTAGTTGTCAAAATTAGGGCCCCTTTTGGGTACCCTAAATAAAAGGTGCGGTATTTTTACAAGGAATCAAAAAGGGACCCTAGTTTTGACAACCACCCATATTCGGACCCCGAAACAAGCCTAGAGCTGATATCGCATTGCTTGCAAGCTCCCTTTGTTAAACGAAACAAGCCTAGAGCTGATATCACATTGCTTGCAAGCTCTTCTAACTTAGCAGGTCCACCTAGTATCTCTGAGAACCCCAATCAGATTCCGCAAAACCCAAGCGTCAAATAGAACCGCTAAACCCCTGACGAACCCGACAAAGCCCTACAGTTGACCGGATAAAATCCTATCCCCAGGAGGAGGGGGTTCACGGGGGCAAGGGTTTAACGTTTAGGATTGCTGGGGTGCGGGGTGAAGGGATCAGCGTTTCGGATCACGCTTGAAATTTTCGGGTCCAGGGCACAGTTCCGAAAAGAAAGATGGGTAGTGCCGTACGCCACCTCTGCAACCCCCGCCCCGAACTCAAGAATCCTAGAATCGGCCTAGGGTTTAGGGCTCAGGGTTTAGGGTTTAGGGCCTACAACCGTGTGACCATCGTTGGGCTCAAGACGGCAAACCTCTACGAAGGCTAACTTGCACTTCTGGTAGGATCTTCAGAATCCGGACAAGCCAAACACAATATACTCCACACCCTAGAACCCTGAACAAACCCTCAACCCTAAACGCCCCCGTCACAAACCCCGAACCCCTGAGCCCCCTGGCATTGAACCCAAAAAAAAGACTCTGCACCCTAAACCTAAACCCTGAACCGACTCTGCACCCCAGTTGCCATAGCAAGCCCTAAACCCTACAAACCCTAAGCCTTAAGCCTCTGAGTTGCCATAGCAAGCCCTAAAGCCTATAAACCCTGCAAACCCTAAGCCCTAAACATCTGAGTTGCCACAGCAAGCGCATCCCCACCCAAGGCGTTGGACACGTCCAGCTGCCACACCTGCTCGCAGGCCGGGCTTCCGGTTGAGGAGTTTAGGGGTTTAGGGGTTTAGGGGTTTGGGGGTTTAGGGGTTCAGGGGTTCAGGGGTTTAGGGGTTTAGGGTTTAGGGTTTAGGGTTTACGGTTTAGGGCGTCAGGGTTTTGAAATCGTGAGGCTTTGGGGTCAAGGGTTGGAGTTGAGATTTATTGTCAAGGGGAGGTTACAGGATCTGGGGTGTGGGATCCAGGGGCAGTTTCGGGGTGTAGGTATGAGGATTTAGGGTCTAAGATTTGGGATCCAGGATTTAGGAATTAAGCTGTTTAGGGATTAGAAACCGAATCGGAAAGTTTCAGGGTTGAGAACTTCAGGATGACAGAGTTTGACGGTACAGAATTCAAAGTTCAGGGCTCGATAGCTCTAAACCCTGATCCCTAAACCCTAAACTCTAGGATGCAGCGAAGCACTTAAGGCACAGCAGTCAGAGTTGGTGCTTGAGATTTTGTCATCACTGCTCACATTGAAGGTTCGGATACGGAGGGATGCTTCCAAGCAGCTTTTGGATTTAGTGTTTTTGGTATAGTATAGGGGTTTGAGGGTTTGGGGCTTCAAGGGTTTTGGGCTTTAGGGTTAAGGAAGGTTCAGGAGACTGGAATCTTTTAGAACCTCATTGGCTCAGGGTCGTCGAGACCCATCCAAAACCCCCCAATTCGAAGACGCAGAGACCTGACGAAGGATTTAGGACTTAGGATTTAGGGTGCCGTTCGATAAATAGCCTAGGATGTGGAGCAGATCATAGTAAGTTCACACAGGACTAAGTACAGTAACAAAAGGGGCCATTATTGCTGAACCCTTTATGGCCTTCAACTCAAAACCCCAGCACCGAACACCAAGCGCTGAACCCAAATCTCGAACTAACCACTCCCAAGCACTGATGGGAGTTTCCGAAAATTAGGGGTACCACTCTTTGGGGTCCTTATAATAAGGATCCTGCGACAAAGGGTACTCTAGAAGGGTCCCCCATTTTCGGAAACTCCCAAATACATCCCCAAACCCTAAACCCAACGCCCCAACACATCTCTATGCCTCTGGAAGCCCGACAGCAGGCCTGCTTGTTCAATGACAGGCCTTCTACGGCCTTGGCCCACTGGGACATGAGTTGAGAACCACCCCGGAACTCCAAACCGCTCTGGGGCTTAAGGTTTCAAGGTGCTACGCGGTTTTGATTTTGGGCAGAGGGCATAGGATTTAAACTTTGTCGTCCGGGGCTCAGCAACCAAGGAAGCTCGGCTTACCCGGTATAGGAGTCGGTTATCGGACGGTTACAAAACCCCAAACCCTAAGCATCCTAAACTCAAAACGCCAAACATGTGATGTGGAGAGGCTCTGATTTGACTGCGTCAGGCGGCTTTATCAATATAGCATCCGTTATTCTGTACACTGGCATCCTATAATTCAGGCGCTCCTCTCGCGCCGACATGGAAAAGCACTCTCCGATTCCCTCCAAGCTCCAAGATCTCAAGGATGGCTTTTTTTGACAGAATGTAGGGGCCTTAATCATTAGAATGGGGGCTTTGGGATTCCTTGCTATAGCTATAGTAGAATATACCCCAAATCCCAAGTCTAATTATTAAGGCTCCTGTACCTACAGGCCAGCCCCCTTCAATAAGCTCGTGCACACTTTTCGCTTCAATCCCAGCAAGTTGCAGAGCACCGTTTGTACGATGTTTAAGCGCCAGGCCTTTCCCACCCTTGACAGTGAAGACCTGTGAGCATATGCGAGTTTCCGAAAATTAACTCGGGACCCTAACATAGTAGGCTACAAAGTAGGACTAATCGGATACTTATAATATATTATATGGACCCCAAAATAAGGGCACCCCTAAGCCCTAACTTCGGATATCTTACATTATATGGACCCCAAAATAAGGGCACCCCTAAGCCCTAAGTTTCGGAAACTCCCATATGTGCCGAGCCTTTAGAAGCTTCAGGGCCTTGTTCCTCGCCTTCTGAAGCTTTGCAGCTTCGATTCCAAGGGGAAAAGGAGGGACCCTTAATAAGGACCCCTAGGTATATACCCTTAATTTTGCTACTGTATACCGCCCATTTATATTAGCCCCATTATGGGGTAGGGGTCCCCATTAAGGGTCCCTCCTTTTCCCCTTTGATTGATGGTGCGCCCAGCACGCCTTCCTCTTCTGACCACGAATTGGACCGCTGTTGCTAACGCAAGTGAATTGGGAGTTTCCGAACATCAGGGGTACCTTTTTTAGGATTCCTTATATTGATTGAGGATCTTACTACTAAGGGTACCATATTTAGGGTCCCCTATCTTCGGAAACTCCCGATTCGCTCTTGTGGCGGAACTCTTTTCCTCTGCCCACTGCGGCAAGGAAGCAGCAGACATGCCCATGGAGCGAGTCAGCGGTCTGGGCTGAGACGTGTCGGATCATGCATGCGGTGCACACTTATCTGTGAAGCCCAGTAACCTAGGAATAAAAAGGGCTCCCTTTTTGGATTTGGGTAGCTTGATAAGGAACCTAGGACTTAAGAAGGTAATAAGGGTACTACTGGGCATCCTAGTTATTCAGTACGGCCATCTCACCAAAACAAACCGAAAGGGCTCAAGGCCCAGTTCCCGTTCCCATGACACTAGCCCAGAGCTGTCCCAGAGCACCCAGGTCCCCAAACTCTTAGCCCAGAATCTGAACCCATAACCGTATAAACCCATAAAAAACCCATAATAAGCCTCAACCCTATAAACCTTATACTAGACTGTTCTCCAATCGTGGTCGAAGCTTTCTCTTTTGGGGAAGACGTTGGATTCAAAAGGGGAGTTCGGGGTTTAGGGTTTAAGGCTTTTAGGAGTAGGATTGTGAGGTTTAGGGTTTGGGAGGTGTAGGGTTGCGTGGGGTTTAGAGCGTTTGGTGGGTTTATGGTTTGGGGTTCAGAGCCTTTGGGCTCAAAGGGCTTAGGCTGCTCCGGCCGCGCCCCGCCCTGCCTTCATTCGGGCTTATGGCTCTCCTTGAAAAAGGCTCAAAATGGCCCAAAAGCCTTGTATAATATGGTCTTTAGGCCCAAAAGCCTTGAAATATCAGTCCTTAGAGCCTTAGGGTTTTAGACGCTGGGTTTCCGAATCCCTGAACTCCTGATCCACTACCGCTTCAGACCATACCACTTGGCTCCTAAACCCTTACCCCCAAAAAATACACCCTACACCTGGACCCGAAATAACTTACCTTTTATATGGAAATCATGATAGGGAACCCTAAAAGGAAGGTTTTCTGGGGTCCAGGTAAGCCCTAAGCCAATTAATCTGAATTTATTTAGGTAGCCATAATGGGGATCTTTAGCAAAACAAAAATATGGTTTCTTCATTCTGGTATGTTAACTTAAACCTGGACCCTAAGGAACCTACCTTTGTTTGGGTTCCCTAATATGCTTTCTTTACAAAAGTCCTTAAAAGGGTAGGTTATTCGGGGTAAAGGAATCCCGTAACAAGAACCCAGTAGAAAACACCTGCTGCCAGGCTGCGAGGGCCGTAGCAGGCCCGAAACCCACCTGCAGGGTTTGAGGTTTAGGGTTTAGGGTTTGAGGAGATGGGGCTTACCTTAACCCGGAATAGCCTACCTTTTTAGGGACTTATGCAAGGAAATCATTATAAAGAACCCTAAAACAGGTAGGTTATTCAGGGTTAAGGTAGGACTTAGGGTGTTAAGGTAGGACTTAGGGTGCATAGGGTCTGCGGATTTGGCTTCAGTTTAAGGTGTTGGGGGTTTAGGGACTCAGGGCTCAGGGTCTATACAGATGAATACGCTGGCTGATGGACAAACCCTGCGCTGGACAATCTTAAGCGCCCTGAATTGGGGGGCGGCGGGGGGGTCAGTTGCGGATGCTGCTCGAAGCCATCTCCACAACCCAAACCCCAACCGCTTGTGTCCGGGTGTGCCGTGTTGAAAACGTTGAAAAAACCCAACCCCCCAAACTAAACCCTCAAATTGAAATCCTAAACCCTGAATCCCCTTCAGACCCTGAACGGCTGCACGGCCTGGTCTATGGAAACTCGGAATTCGTCGCCTATCTGGCCTGTCTTTCCACCTGGGCAGATGCTCCCTGACTCTGCTTGCAAAAACTGAAAATGGGATTAAGGGACTCTAAAACGTACTTATAACGAGGTCCTGATCCTTGGGCGGATAACTAAAGCTTAGTAAGGCTTAGTAAGTATACAGTTCAAGCCTCAATACGACCTTAATACCACGACTTCGGCCTCAATTTCACAGGGTTGTAAAGCGTCGACTCGGACATCTCGGCCTCGGCCAACCATGTTAACGGTAGGACATTTCCACGGGGCAAGGATTGGAGGAAGAAGCATCGAGAATTAGCAGATTCCGACGATCTGCAGGAAAGGCAATCCTACGACGACATGTCTGGTCCGCAATAAAATCCTTAACAGCAAGAGTAGTGCTCCATCAGCAAGGCGTGGATCAGCACAGAGATGGCCCGGCTACAGATGGATGCCTTAACCCACCCAGTGCGGTGCGGCCGCCAGCATCATCAATTGGGAGTCAGTCTGGGCATGAAGGGTTTAGGGCTTCGGCTTAGGGATCACACGCGTTGAGACCGCCTCCATAATCACAAACGCCTGTGCGACCTGCTCCTACAACCCCACACCAATCCATCTCAGCTTTGGTTTGCTTTTAAATGTGATCATGTAATGCGGGCTGCGAAGGGACCACATGCTGACGCAAGCCCGCGAATGGTGGGTGCGGCCCTATTCCTAAAGTAAACGGCGCACCCGCCGCGCGCGCACTGTAAACACACCCTATACACCTTAAAGCCTACACCCGAAACCCTAAACTGCACCCTACATACACCCTACACCCTAAACCCCACACCCTAAACCCTAAACCCCAGCCGAAAATTGGGTCCCGGAGCCGAACATGCATAAACCTGCAGAGCCCCTAAGCTTGAAACCGTGTAAACCCCGATCTCCTAGACCTTACAAAACATTAAGGTTTTTTTTTTGAACTCCTTCTTTCTCCTCGCAGATCCAGTCTACTCGGACAAGGCCACATGGGCCAGGAGAGCGGGTAACCCGCCAAGCAGACAAGGCAACACAGCTTTACGGCATCGCCCCTGTCTGCACACTGCCGCTTAACCCTCACCCCATCACTGAGAAGGTCACCTCCATCGCCCTTTGTGTCTGGAAAGCCTTCAAAGTGTTCTTTCCGTATGCCGAGATCACCTTGTCATCCGTGATCATCCCCGAGGCCCAGATCGGATAAATATTGAGTAGGACATCGGTGGACACCTCGTCTCCCGGGCCATCCCCCATCTCCAACAGCTGCGTGCGAACGTCTTCCTCGGAATCGCTTGCTGATGCTGACGGTTTGTCCTCCTCCACTCTCACCGTCATCCCGATGTGCAACTCCGAGCTGCCACCCTCCATTGGAAAAGTAACCACCTGGGGTGCCTGGCTTGAGCCGCTTGCCATCTCCACCACGCATCATGTGCGCCTCTTCTTCCCCGGGCTGGGTTCCTCCGGCGTGTGGAGCAGTTGGGTCGGTGCAATGCCTCCGTGGGCGACGCCGGCACCAGTGCAGATCCAGCCTCGCCAGCTTGGGACTCCTCAGCTGAGCTGCTGTTGAGGGGGATCACCTTGGGGAAGAGCATGACCGGAGCTCGTTGAGGTAGAAGTCCTCGTGCTTGGCGGGATCCAGAGAGAGCGGGTAGGTAAGGCTGGAGTCGTTCAGCCCATTTCAGCCCCCAACCTATTTCCAGGTCCGCGCACTTGGCCCAGTCATCTGCATTTTGATCCCCAACGTAGGTCACCAGCAGGGCCACGACATCTGACACCGCCCCAGTCATGTGACCCAAGAATTTTCCAGACTGGGAGTCAGTGCAGCGGTGGTTGAGCCAGTCCATGAGCCATTCCGCCGCACGGCTCATGACAAGCTTGTCCCTGCTCTCCATGTCCTCCTGTAGCGACCTGAGAAGTTTACTCCAGTCTCCAACGCTGGGCAGCTGCATGTAGCTGGTATCATCTACTTCGACCTCCACTTCGATCCTCAAATGTGATGCGCTTGATCAAAGAGCGGAAATATCAAGACACTCAAGAGCCCAGCGAATTTCAGCCGGTGGCAGAATCTGTGCCCACGCATAGCAATACCGAGTTCTCACGATATTGCGGTTCCTGGCATTGTGCAAATTTGCAGGGTTGACGGGTGCCAAATAGAACCAATCCCTGACATACACAGTGCCAGAATCCATAGCAGCATCACCGCTACCAGCCGAACCGCCTGGTGGCCGGACTCTTTTGACAAATAGCCGCAAAGTCATGTTAGGCATGTTTTCGTCGTTGAATCCCAAAAGCGCAGCCATCCCGTGAAGCCCTATACTTGGGCTGTCAAGTATAGGAGCATCACTCAGAGCGTCAACAGTGCTCCTGGAGTTGAACTCAATGAGCAAAGCATTTCTGTTAGGGATACTCGCGATCTGGGCCGCTTCTTTCAGGCCTGCAATCGGGTCGGTGCAAAACCCTGGCATGTTAACGGCTTTCACAAACTCATTGGGTATGTCCGCCGCACAAACTGTGTCAACCATAACCCAATAAGGCTGATTGGCCAGAGGAGGATCACCAACCTCATCAGCCTGGAGAGCTCCGAACTGAGCTAAGTAGCATCTCCACTGAAGCGACCTGACAAAAGCACCTGGCAGCTCAAGCCCGAATAGGCTGCGTGCAACCAACTGGCACATCAGCGCAAGATCAGACCCGTTCAACCTGTCAGACGAAGCACCGCTGACAGTTGAGAGTATATCTCGGCAGTCAGTCGGACCTGCGCAAGGTAGCATGCCACCACCAATGTACAAGCTACCGATGGTGATGCCGACAGCTCTCAAAGCTTGGCTAACCATGAGCTGACGCAACTTTGAAGACCAAAGAATAGCACCAGCCCATTCCATCCACGAATTAGGAGTAGGTCGCAGGTAGTCAACCAAAATGGCCATCAGCGCTTTCGCCCGAGCTCTAGGTTCATCTAGGTTCCAAACTTCCTTCAAGCATGTGACAACATGCCCTCCGCTGCCCAGGTATATCTCACCTTGTTGTCCCAGTGCATTAACACCATACAGCCCCTCCATTTCATCAACAGAATTGCCGGTGTCCAAAGCACTCTTCCAACTTTTGCAACCGAATCTTGAAGCAGCGAAAAGGAAACCTGCTGCCATGCCTTCCGCATCTGGCAAAACAGTAGCTAAGTAACCCATCGCCTCAATCAGAGTGTCAACAGACAAACTCGTGCCTGCAGCGGCCAAATTGGCCGCAGCAGGATAAGCGATGGGCGGTGGTGGACCACCGCCACCAGCTGGCGCCACAATGGCGCCAGCCACCACAAAAGGCCCATCACCGACGTTGCTATTTGGTGCGCCAAGTGGAATGTTATCCGAACTAACCAGCTGTAAAGTTCTGGTAGTGGCAGATCTCCATTCTGAAATATCACACCACCTGTCCTTATTCCGAGGGCCATTCCCAGCACCGTTCAACCAGTTTTCACCACGAGGCGTTGTGTCAGGAAACCGCAAATTTCGCTGCACAGGAATTGACAACCGCAGAGGACAGTTAGGGCTAAGAAGTAGCCTGAGCGCAGGTGCCATTCGCACCAACTCCTCACTTGTGTGCTCAAACACAATCTCATGCCCTGACCGAATGCCTTGGCCATGAATTGGCAGCCAGTCCAAAACTTCAGCAACTGTACAGCCATATGAACACTGAGTAGGAGGGCCTCGCCAATAAGCGGTCACACTCCCACCACCAATCTGCGCTAAAGTTGCACACATGAAGTTCTGAAATACGATTGCCCATTCAAAGGCAAAACTGACCATCTGCGGCAATAGCATACCCACATTGTTAACCACACCAGCCCATCTGCTCCTTAAGTCAGTAGAAGACACAGAAACAGGCAAGCCACCAGGGGCAATGATTGCACCGGCCCTTTGCGAGGAATAACGCGGGTGTGCAGCCATCAAAGTCTGAACCGTTGGCGAGGTCTCAAAATGGTGAGTATACGCACATGAGTCGCCATTTGGGTCAACAGGGGTATAAACCATCTTCCGACAAAGCTTCTGGCTCCTGGCAATCATTGTCACGGACCTGAACTGAGCCTGAATTGTCGTGTAGACATCAGCAGGCTTAGCAGTAACCGTAACTTCATTACTCAGTGACACAGTTTCATCGGCCCCACACAAGCCAAGGTTCTCCTGAGTTGACTCCCTGAGAACACTCACTGACTTGGATGCCAACCAAGTCCCACAAGGAATGCCCTCAGGAGCTTCAAGCTCATTAGTTGAGGGAAGTGCGATGGTAGTCATTGCAAACAACCATATAACGGAAAATTCAATCTTGAGCCAATTTCAATGCAAAACCAGAATTCACAAAGCAAGCAGACTTCACCAATCTTGCAATAAAAGACTAAACAACTCAGCTCTTGACCGCAAAATGCGACTACGGACCACGCCCACCCAACTTGAGCCAAAACGTAAAAATATGAATTGACCCTCAAAAGAATGCAACGACACCTCAGAGACTCTGCATTAAGTTAAGCAAAGCTTCTTCAGTATTTTCCGTTGCACAATGCATTTTGTGAGCAGTTAAGTGCGTGATTTCACGCATAGCACGCTGTGCCAAATATACGACAAAAGCGCGCATTACAAGCGAAACCTTTTCACTTAATTACCCACAATCGTGGGTCGCGGGATAAACCGAGAGGTTAAATCCCGGGTTTAGGGTTTAGGGTTTAGGGAGTTAGGGTTCAGGGTTTAGGGGCAAGGTTCAGGGTCATTGTTGGGCTTCTTGTGGTAATAAAAGGTTCGTGGTAACAAAAGGTTCAAGTTAGGGTTAATCTTGACGCTTGAGGTGTAGGGCCTAAGGCTTGTACTACGGATATCAATGAAGGCATCCGGAGCAAGGTCTGGGTCTGGGTTTAGGCTGTTGGACTTGCAATGCTATTGCCTTGGTTCGACCCTTTGCCATACGCTGTATAGCTTCCCCAGCCCTAGACCCTCAACCCCAAACCCTGACCCTTAAAACGCCCTCAAACTCTAAACCCGAAATCCGCTTCGCAAGCTCTGGGTTTTTATGCTAAGACTCGCGCTTTCGGTTTTGTTTTGGGAGCAAGGACCCTGAAGCAAAACACGCTGACGACACAAATCCATTCCCAAACTCCACACCCTCAACGCGAAACCCACAGACTTGAAGCCCTGGCCCCCGGAAGAACCCTTCCTGATAAACTCTTTGCAGCCCGGGCGCTGGCGGTGACGACCCGCAAATCGGCATTCTGTGGCTTTTGCTGGGCCTCGGGCCGATGTAGAGGCTGAAGTCAGTAGTAATTCCAAGGGTACAAGGAGGGACCCTTAATAAGGACCCCTAGGTATATACCAGGAATATACCATTAATTTTGATATTATATACCCATTATATGGCCCATTATAGGGTAGGGGTCCCCATTGAGGGTCCCTCCTTTTCCCCTTTGAGCAATACTATTCAACAGGGTTCTTTACTATGATGATTCAGCCTGAGACTTGTTTTTAAGGGCTCCTTTTCGAACTGCAGAGTGGCTCTTTTGGCTCTTAGGATTTGATCCGTAGTTTGGGGTATGGCCTGCATGAGTCGACCGGACGGCAATGGATCAAGGCCTCAGGGCTTCTAAACGACACATATCCGATTACAGCTGGACATCACTAAACCCAGAAAGCCCCGGACCCACAACCCCTAGACCTTTCAAGTCCCAAGCCTCTGCACCCAAAGCTCTAAACCCCAAACCATCCTCAGCCCTCACCCTAAACACCCTGAACCCGCAGCCCCAAACCTTCAAACCCTAAGCCCTAAACCCTCAGACCCTAAAGATCTTAACCAAAAACTCTAAACCCTCAAACGCTAAACCAAACCCTGAGACAAAATCCTTGACCCGAAACTCTAAACCCTAAGCCCCAGACCCTAAGCCCTAAACCCTAAACTCAAGGCACAGGCCGCCCACCTCCGTGGGTGGGCGGCGCTTAAGCCCCTCGACCTCGATGGCGCAGGCCGACCCAATATGCCTGCCCGCCTTGGCCCTGCCCTGCCCTGCCCTGCCCTGGACTGCCCTGCCCTGCCCTGCCTGCCTTCCTCCGGAAATGTGGAAAACTGGTGCTGGTTTTTGCCTCCTAAAATCCGTTCATAAAATGTGCATTTTAAGGTGGGCCAAAGTCGAGATAGGTTTGGGTGGTTGGCCGCCTTAGACGGCGTGGGGTGGGAGAGTTAACAGAAAGAGCCATCCACAATCAGGCTCCAGCGAAAAATCGTCAGAAGACGACGCGCTCGAAATTACACTGTCGCAAGATACTTCCGCTTCTACGCCATTCTACGGCAAACCCTAAACCCTATACCCTAAACCCTGAACCCTAAACCCTAAATCGTAAAACCCTAAAACCCTAAACCCTAAACCCTAAACCCTAAATCCTAAACCCTAAAACCCTAAACTGGAGCGAGCTGCGGGCGCTGCGATAGCAGCAGCGAGCGTGCCGAAGCGTCAGTGAGGCTGGCTCCGGAGCTGGCGCGACAGGCGCAGCGGAGGAGCCCCAGCACCGGCTCAGGTGCTGGCGCATTGCGACAGGCATGCTAGCCAATCAGAACCATATGACCCTAAACCTCCAACCTCGGAGCGCCCCATCCCTCTACTTGGAGCTGGGCCCTGCCCTGGCCTTGGCCCGGCCCTGACCCCACCCTGCCTGGCCCTGGCCCTGGCTTTGGCCCTGACTCTGGCTCTGGTGCTGGGTCTGGCCCGCGCTGGCCAGCTGTCTGGGCCTGGTTCTGGCCCTCTCCCCCTGCCCTGCCCTGCCCTGCCCTGCCTTGCCCTGCCCTGCCCTCGGTTTTGGGCCCTCACGAGACCGAGCCACAAACCTTGATGTTGGCCAGACCTTGGTTTTGGGCCCGCCAGACCGAGCCACAAACCTTGATTATGGGCCCCCGCCAGACCAAGCCACAAACCTTGATTTTGGGCCCCCGCCAGACCAAGCCACAAACCTTGATTTTGGGCCCCGTACCAGACCAAGCCACAAACACCAAGCCACAAACCTTGGAGAAAAACCCTAAACCCGACAAAGGTCATAGACTGGGTGGGCGGGTAGGGCGAGAGCGTTGAACCTAGGCGCACACCACAACACACGTCTCGCGTGGTGGTGTGCGCGGAGCATCGACACACCCTAAACCCTAAACCCTAAACCCCTAAACCCTAAACCCTAAACCCTAAACCCTAAACCCTAAACCCTAAACCCTAAACCCTAAACCCTAAACCCTAAACCCTAAACTAAGCGAGGGGCCGAAATTGTCGAACGACAGGCCCCGAGCGCTCTGGCCGAGGGCCTAACAGCCCGAGCGCCCCTACGAAAAGAGCGGGACGCGGAGAGGGGAGGGTAAAGCCTCCCCGGTCTGACCTGCACAGGTCAACGGTGTAAAGCCCATGGCAGACCCCAACGGGAAGTCTTCGAAATGAGGGACCGCCGTATCGGGACCTCCTCTAGCGTAGCTATATAATAACCCCAAACCGTGCCCCATTTGCTCTGGTCCCCCTTTTTTGGGGTCATTTAGTCGCGCTTGTCCTTTTCGGAAAAGGACAACCAGCTCTAAATCTTAGATTTTCAACATTTAGTCGCGCTTGTCCTTTTCGGAAAAGGACAACCAGCTTTAAATCCTAGATTTTCAACATTTAGTCGTGCTTGTCCTTTTCGGAAAAGGACAACCAGCTCTAAAACTTAGATTTAGGATTTAGGATTTAAGGTTTAGGATTTAAGATTTAAGATTTAGGATTTAGGGTTTAGGATTTAGGATTTAGGATTTAGGGTTTAGGATTTAGGATTTAGCCTCCGAAATTTGGATTTTTGCTGGTGATTTTCAAGTGACAAATTCTGTTCATAAAATGTGCCTTTTAGACAAGGCCGGTTGCGAATCTCGAGGTCCCCTCCTTTCTTTTCGTGTGGCTGCTCTTAAGCTTCCGGATTTCAATATTTAGTCGCGCTTGTCCTTTTCGGAAAAGGACAACCAGCTCTAAAATCTAGATTTAGGATCTAGGGCTTAAGATTTAGGATTTAGGGTTTAGGATTTAGGATTTAGGATTTGGGGCTTAGGATTTGGGATTTAGGATTTAGGGTTTAGGATTTAGGATTTAGGGTTTAGGATTTAGGGTTTAGGATTTAGGATTTAGGGTTTAGGATTTAGGATTTAGCCTCTGGAATTTGGATTTTTGCTGGTGATTTTCAAGTGACAAATTCTGTTCATAAAATGTGCCTTTTAGACAAGGCCGGTTGCGAATCTCGAGGTCCCCTCCTTTCTTTTCGTGTGGCTGCTCTTAAGCTTCCGGATTTCAATATCTAGTCGCGCTTGTCGTTTTCGGAAGAGGACAACCAGCTCTAAAATCTAGATTTCGGATTTAGGGTTTAGGATTTAGGATTTAGGGTTTAGGATTTAGGATTTGGGGTTTAGGATTTAGGATTTAGGGTTTAGGATTTAGGATTTAGGATTTAAGATTTAGGATTTAGGGTGTAGGATTTAGGATTTAGGAACCAGCTCTAAAATCTAGATTTGCCAAAGCTGTCAAACGATAAGGTTGAAGGGCCGAGCCGGCCCTGCCATGCCGAAGGCCCGAACAGGGCCGAGGCTACTCCCAGCCGTTGCCTAGGCCACAACTTAAACAACTGGAACGTTCATGGGTGCAAAAATATAAAAGCCCCCCTTGATAGGGGGGTTGGGGGGTAGAAACCCTAAACCCATAATAGAGCATAGTTTGGGTGGCCGGGGTGGGTTTACAAGCAACGCGAGCGCGCGGCCCGGGGTGCTTCACACCCGAGCGCGCGACTTCGCCTGCCACACCCTAAACCCTAAACCCTAAAACCCTAAAACCCTAAACCCGAAACCCGAAACGAAACCTCCGATCGACCCGAGGCTCCTGAGCGAGGAAGCGGAGCTCTGTGACTGCAAGACGCTGGAACACCTGGAGTTTATAGGGGGTCCTTTAAATAAAGGGGCTACTATAAGGGCTACTAATTCAGGGTTTAGGGTTTAGGGTCTAGAGCTTTTGTGGAGTTTAAGGGGTCCTTGGTAAGGGATCTATAAGGGTTCCTTCAAAGGGATCTCTCTGGTTTAGGGTTTAGGGGTTTAGGGAGTTTATAGTGAACCGCAGAAAGTTGGAACATGGACTTAGGACGATTGGTGCTGGGATTTCCTCTACGCTACCTTAAGGGAATGAGGGTTTAGGGGTTTAGGGATTTATGTAGGGGGTCCTTTGTAAGGGATCTATAAGGGTTCCTTCAAAGGGATCTACATGATCTAGGGTTTAGGCTTTGGAATTTGGGGTCCTGTTGCCGTGCAGCTGGCAGTAACTTCTTGTTGGATGAAGTGGCACAGGATGCTGGGTTGTAGCTTCACCACAAACAGGATTGAATTGGTGCTTGCTTCTCCTACCAGCCCCCTGAGGGCTTACACGAGCTACTTTCCGAAGCACTAGTACAGGGGCCTAATGATTGGAATAGGGCTTTGCGGGTTTAGGGATTCCTTTTGTCGTTGAAGCCTTTTTCCGCCTGCGACAGACTGAATCCCTCCTAGGGCCGGGAAGGCGGTCCTTGCACCCTCAGGGTTTAGGGTCTAGGGTTTGGGCCTTGGAGGGATTACGGAGGGCATTGCGGCATTCTCCAAGTGCCTCCACATATTGTCAGTCCAAAAACCCTGCAAATCACTGCCGGATGTCCCTAAGTCGAAGCACCCTCTAAAAGGCTAGGTACCGTCTGGGAATGCAGTCGTGGTGCTCATAGACCGCTAAGAAGCAGAAACTGCTCGCGTTTGAGTTGGGGCCTCCGGGTTTTTGGGAGCTGGGGCTTTAGGATTACGCCCCGCATGGATCCCTCACCCATCCCAAACCATGCTGCAGGTGAAAGTCGGTGCCACAAGACCTCACCCAAACAAGCAACATACAGTGCTGTGGAACCCCTAAGAAAGCAAATGACGCCCTCAAACCTCAAGCCCTAACACCCACCCTAGCGCCTTAACACAACCCCTAGCATCCTGACATCCAAGAAATGGAGCCGACCTCCGCGAGCTTCTGACAGGCTGTGATGGCCGGGAGGGCATGCGCCTGCACCAAGTCGGAGGGCCGAGCCAATCGAAGGGTTTAGGGTTTAATATCAGTATTAGTGTTAATATTCGTATTAGTATTAATATTAATTAATGTTAGTATTAGTAATATTCTTAGTATTAATATTAGTAAATTTAAAGTTCAAAGTTCATATGTAGGGTCCTGGGGTTTGGTGTTTTTGATTTTGGGGGTTTGGGGCTATTAAAGTTCTTCATGGCCCTGGATACTAAGCCACTAAGTCCCAACACATGACACACCAAAGACACAGCCAAAACAAAGACCATGTGCTGCGTAAACGTTTTTACCGAAATGTGCAAAACCGCTCACACGCAGCTGACCTCGAAACCTAAGCCACGACTCAATACAAGTAGTTAGTAGTCGTCAGTCGATCCGGTCGTCGTCGACGACATCGTCGTCGTAGTAACGTAGTAGTTGTGGTAGTCGTCGTCGTCCTCCTCGTAGTACTAGCCGTCGTCGTCGTAGCAATTCAGTAGCAGTAGCAGGAGCGGTAGCGGCAACCGAAGCAGTTGCACTGGCAGTGCCAGTGGCAGTCGCAGTAGCAGGAACAGCAGCAGCAGGGAGCAGCAGGAGCAGGAGCAGCAGACGCAGCAGGAGCAGCCGGAGCAGCGGAGCAGGAGCAGCAGCAGGAGCAGCAGCAGGAGCAGCAGCAGGAGCAGGAGTAGGAGCTGGAGCCGGAGCAGGAGCAGTAGAGGAGGAGCAGTGGAGCAATAGCAGTAGCAGTAGCACTACTACAAGTAGTACTTGTAGTACGTGTAGACCTGTAGGACTTGTAGTACTTGTAGTACTTGTCGTACTTGTAGCAGCAGCAGCAGCAGCGGCAGCAGCAGCAGCAGCAGCAGTAGTAGTAGTAGTAGTAGCAGCAGCAGCAGCAGGAGTAGTAGCAGTAGCTTTGTTGTAGGCAGGGGTGGGGTCCGGTCGTGGTAGTGGTAGTGGCGGTGGTAGGAGTCGTCGTGGTCGCCGTCGTGGTCGTTGTCGTGGTAAGTGGCTAGTGGTAGCGGTAGCGGTACTGGTGGTGGTAGTGGTAGAAGAAGAGCCGGCCTTGCCCCGAAATGAGGCAGCCACAGCCTTCCATACGTCAGCATTTGCTGCAGAACCTGTGCAGCAGATCAAGGCTTAGAGTTGAAGCATTTAGGATTAAGTAGTTTGGGCTGTGGGATGTAGGGTTCACGGTACAGTGCTTGGACTGCAATCAATGGCAGTTTCAGGGCAAGGATCAAAGCATAAAAACGCCTCCATCTGACTCGGCGCGATACTCCCTAAACCATGGAAGGTCTATGGACGCCGAACGATTGCACCCTGAAACCCTCTAGAAGAATCCCCCAACCAAGTACCCTGAGGCCTAGACTTGACTGAAATTGACCCGACCAGAAATCTGGTTTAGGGTTTAAGGGTTTAGGCTCTCACGTTAAGGGGCCTTGAATTACCAGCTGATAGATTTGGGTGAGCCTTGCAAACTACTTTCCTCTGCTTTGCGGCATTCAAAGCTTGTTGAGCTCAAGATGACGGCTCAGTGTTAACACCAGAATGTCTCAGTTTTGGGGTTTAGGGCGTCTTCCCGCGCAGCAGCCGATAATCCATGCAAAGATACCGCGATAGTCCATGCTAAGACAGCCCAACCTCACACCAGGATTTGTGGGTAGCGGCACATTCCTGTCAGGGTTTGCTGAAACTTACCTTTGGCTAGTAGGGAATAATGGAAGAATGGTAGTAATGGTAGTTATAATTGTACCCCATTCTCCAGTCCCTACTAACCAAAGGTAAGGAAACTCCCACGCCCTGTCACAGAGTCGGCTCTGGGGCCTCTGGAGGGCTTTCCCCGCCTTTTTGGGGGTGTCTGAGGGTCTCAGCTCCAGGGCGGAGCCGTTTAGGGTTTAGGATTTAGGGCTATTTGTTTCTTAAGGTGCAGTGGCTCTTTCTCCGCAGGATTTAGGGTTTAGGGCTCCGCGGCCCGGATCGATAGCCATCTTCAGTGTCTGGTCACTCAGTTATCGGTGGGAGCGGCCCCAGGAAGGCCGGGTGGGCAAGGCTTGGGGCGCTAGGAAAGGGTTTAAAGTCGTCGAAGGCATTTTTAAGGCCATACTGTAAGACTTGGCGGTGTTAGAGGGGCTTCTTAATGGGTTGGTGACCTCGGTCTTTAACATAATTTAAGATTCAGGGAACAGGACGTGGGTCCGTGCCACACCGGAAATCACGAAAGCTACTTATCTCCCCAGCACCACGATCCCTGTACTGCTGCCCTATGAAAGGGTAGAAGAGCGGGTAGAGTACACGGTGTCCGGGAAATTCCGAACGTTGGGGTCAGAGCTTTAGGTTTCGATGCCCAATCTCTGTCGGGTTCGCCTGTGAGGCCCTTGTCGAAGGCTGCTTTCCACTTGTCTGCAGTGACGGAAAGCATTTGGTGATACCTGAGTCAAAGTCGTCGAGTATTGCAAGGCTGGAACCCCATCCTACACAGAGTTTGGGGTCCAGGGTGCCGAACCGTACACTTACGGCCTGAACCCTGAACACTCAATGTGGCCGAAACCCACGTCGAAAACCCTTTCCCCCTCTCAAAAGCCCAGAACGCTTCAGAACAGCCACGTCCCCCTCAAAAAAGTCTTCCAAGACCCAACCAAAGCCAATGAAAGCACTGCAGGATTCGTCGTAAACCCTCTTGCGATCCATGGCTGCCAAGAGCCCCAACATACGAGATTCTCCGTAGCTTTGGAACCGAAGTCCCTATCAGGCTAAAGAGCATAACGTTTGCTTCGGGTGTACGGCTTTGGGGACTTGTTGCTTCTTTTCGGGCTCAGGGTATAGGATCCAGGGTCACGATTGGGGCTTCTAAGGGTGAGAGCAGGGACCCTTAATAAGGACCCCTATAGGTATATAACCTTAATATAGCTATTATATACCCATTATATAGCCCATTCTAGAATAGGGGTTTAGGGTTTCAGGGTTTAGGGCTTAGAGTTTAGGGTTTAGTTTAGGGTTTCGGGGTCATGTAGGGATTCGGGCTTGGTATCTGGACCGCTGCACCAAAGGGGCATGCCCGCAAGAGAAGGGTCTCGTGTGTGCCTACATACCTACTGGCAGCTACCCAGAGGCTCCTTTTTGGGACTACCTTATAGGATTCTAAATATGAACCCCAAAAAGGAACTACTTTGGGGCCTATGGGTAGGGCTTAAGTTCAGCAGCTGAAGTCCAAGCAAATGAACCGAAGGAAAACTAGCTGCCAGCTACCGCAATCCGGCAGAACCCAGCGGCAAATTGGAGGCATCGGCAGCGCATGTTGTAACACCTGGCCGCTCAGAAGCCCCGAACTACACCCCCCCTTAGAACCAGAATGAAAAAACTATGCTTAACAGTCTGTTGGATATTAAATTTAAATGAACAAAAATTAAAAATCTTTCATAAGGAGGCTATAGCAAACACAACAGCCAGATATTGCAGATAGAAACCATCAACTGTGGTTTCAACTCTAGCGACTCTAGCAAATGAAGTGCTTAGAAAACCCCGCGAAAGGCCCCCCCCCACACACAACCTTAAACCCTAAAACCTGAACCCTAAACCCTAACCCTGCTAAACCCGTAATCCTAAACCCTAAACCTTGAGCCTCCTAACCCTCACTTCGATTTCTCGAGTTTTGGGGACCCCATGTAGGGGCCTTCATAATTAATAAATAGGGTTCCTTTTAGGATTCTACAAATCTACAAAGGGCCTATGACAGGGTTCTATATTACAATAGGATTCTAGAGTATAGGGGCCTTAAGAACTAGAATGGGGTTTAGGGGCCATTATACGACAGGGCCCGAGGGCTTGGGGTAAGATCTTGAGCACCCTAAACCCTAAATGAGACGCTCCTTGAAGCCGGAAAACCTAAACCGAATGCCCGGAGGGGGTAGGCGATTGGGTAGTTCTCTACATTATAGGGTCCCTTTAAAGCGCTCCTTAAAATGATCTCCAGGGCTCCTTAAGGGGAGAGAGGGAGGGGGTTGATTGTTTCTGGGAGACCTCGACTCAGAATTCGGAAGTCGTTTAGGATTGAGGTTTTGGCTTGATGGCTCAGGGTTTAGGACTCTTTTCGGGTTTCAGGTTTCAGGTTCAGGGTGTATGGTTCAAGAAGCATCCTTTCTTGCTCTTGCTGGACATGCAATATCAAGTGCTCCTGTGTTTATAATCCTTTGACCTTCTTGAAACCTTGGCTTTTCGCTACAGGAAGACGTGTTCCTCAAGGCCTATCCGTTCAGCAGCTTCATTTTCACCGTTTACCCAAGGTGGGCCCGCGTTTTGGGGGTCTAGGGTGGTGGGGCTTAGGACCCTGGATCCTGGGCTCCAGAGATTTTCCAACATCTGGAATGCTGCTTCGGCTTCTGTATGACAGGAACATAGGTTCCCATCAGAAATTAGTGCACGCTTTCCAGTAAGGATTGCGGTTGCCACAAGACAATGGCAGGCCGACTACAACGCCACTGAAGTAGGGTTACTTTTAGGGCAGGGCTAGAAGGGTTACTAAATATGTTGTTAAGTCTGACGGACGCATGACCAATCCTTAACCCGTTTTCCTGTACCCAAAGATACCAAACTACCCCAAGCATGTCCAACCCAAAAACCCTTCATGTCCCAGAAACTTGAATCCTGTCCGGGAGTGCTTTAGGAAAAGGGATGGAAATACCAGTTCAATAGCGTCAAGAACGAACCCAACGCCGTCCTCAGCGCTGTCGGGATCATCAGCTGCATTCGACGAATCTGAAGGAGTGCTCTCGGTCAAAACATCCGAAGCAGCTGCCTTCGAAGAATCTTCAGGAGCGACGTCGGTCGGATCATCCCCAGCTGCTGCTGCCTTCGTCGCCGGAGCACGCGCAGGCGATGTCGGCGACAGCGGTACCGGTGCAACAGTGCTGCCCAGTATTCCTCTTCTACCACGTCAAAGCGTGACTTGCGCAGACTACGAGCCCTAAACCCTAAACCCCATAGACACCTAAACCCCTAAATCCGAAATGGTCCAGCCGTCCATCCACTCACTTCCAAAACCTGATGGCTTCCCAAACTAACTCACTCAAAAGCACTCAAGAGCTCTAACCTCAAACCCGAACCCCCGGAAAGCTAGAGTCACCCCAAACCATAAACTCCTACCTTTCAACCCTGGACTCAGACCCTAAACCCTGACCCCTAAACCTAATCCCTAAACCCAACAAAAAACCAGATACTGTCTAGACCCCTTCTGGAGCCCTTTATGGAACCCTTGAAGGAAGCCTTTTTAAGTAAGCCCCTAAACCCTAAACCCCAAACCCAAAACCCCAAAACCCTATAACCCCTATAAGCCCTAAACCCCAAAACCCTATAAACCCTATAAACCCTATAAACTCTATAAACCCTCTAAGCCCTATAAACCCTATAAACCCTCTAACACCGAAACCCCCAAAAAAACATGCCCGGAGGGGCCGATTGCGAGGCCCGCTGCCGTAAAGGGCTTCTCTAAGAGCATGAAAGGCTCGATGAGTTCCTCTTCGCTTATCCAAGGGCTTCAGGTTTTAGGGTTAGGGTTTAGGGTTTAGGGGGTTTAGGGGGTTTAGGGTTTAGGGTTTGGGGGTTAAGGGGTAAAAAGCTGAGGGTGTGGGGTTTGGGGTTAAGGGGTCTCGGCTTAAGGCCTATAGGGAGTAGGGTTTAGGGTTTGGGGCTGAAGGGCTTTTAGGGTTAGGGTTTAGGGTTTAGGGTTTAAGGTTTGGGGCAAGGCTTACTTCATCAATGACTATGGCACTTAGTAACCTAGTAACTTGAACGATCCCTTAGAATCTTCCCTAAAGGGTTCCATAAAGACATTTGCACTGGATCCAAAGCGATCGATGAGGATGAGGGCGGTCCAGCAGGCTCTGAAGGCGGACCCTTAAAGGGGGCCCATAGCCTATAATGGGCTATGTAATGGGTATATAATAGCTATATTAAGGGTATATACCTAGGGGGTCCTTATTAAGGGTCCAGGCTCTGAAGCTGACGGCGCCGACGAAGGTCCATGCGCTGAGTTCGAGGGCCGCGACGAAGGCGAAGGCGGGACATCAGGTGGAGACGGCGGAACCAGCGTAAAATGTTGAATGGTCTTGCCCTGCCGACTCACGTACGGGATCCGTCTCGTCTTCTTGCTGGCTTAGGGCTTTGGGGCTTAGGGGTTTACGTAGTTTTGCGGTTGGAGAGTTCGGCTTTACGGATTCGTTGGGGTTTCGGGCTTACTCAAATCATGGGATTGATTTAGCAACTACTAGTAGGGTTCACGCCCAACTCCTGTACCTACAACAGGATTGAGGGCAACATTGTTCTCGAAAGCCCGAAAGGGCTGAGAATGACTTGGCCAAAAAGGATTAGGGCTTGGAGTGTGCGCTTCTGCAAGGCTATTTAAGGCATTAGGGATCTAGATGGCTCTTGATCTTAAACTCTACTGGATTCTAGGCGGAAAGATTGTTGGCATGAGGTTTGGGGCTTCGGGAGGGCCTTGGAGTTTGGTAGTTTGGGATTCACGGTTTGGGGCTGAGAGTTTTAGGGCAATTCGGGGTTGGGCCTTGTTGGGGTTGGGGGGCGGGGGGGCAGCGAGGCTGGCGTTTGGGAGAGTGGATGGTCTACTGTATGCTTTTGAGGGGCAGGGCTAGATCGTTGCGGGTTTTTGCTCAGTTCTTATCTTCTGAGCTTTGGGCTCAGAATATGCCCCTTGAAGAACTTGCAAAGAGCCCTCAACCAAAACCTTGAGAGAAGCAAGGCCAAAGCGCCTGAAGCCAACCGTTTAGGGTTTAGGGTTGGATGCCTGGCTGCTACGGTTGATGACATAAATCCTGCATGATCCATAATAAGGAATATACCATAATTCCCATAGTTTAGGGTCATTAAGGTAATGCAGGATTCATATCATCAACCGCAGAATTCTGTTTGGAACAACCCTGCGCCGACAAAGCTCCACCTCTGCAGGTCCGGTGTCTTTAACTCTTGGGGCCCTATAGTCAACCCAACCCAACATGGATCTTTTTAACCCACCGTAAAGCAAAACTATCAAGCATCAAGCACCCCTACATGTCTCTAAAGAGGGTCACCTTCAGGGTTCCCAACATACTACGGCACCCTTATAAAGGGACTAGAAAAGGGAGCCTAATTTAGAGAACTGCCCACATCCAGGAAACTGTGCGCCCACCGTCGTTAGCATCTCGAAGTTGTCCAGGTCCAAGGTGTAGACAAGTGCGGGGGAGGGTTTTGCCATCCTCGGGCTTGTTACAGAATCTGAAGCGTGCAGGGTGTACTTCAAAGCTCTACAAAAACAGGCTATTAAAATGATACCACAGTACAGAGTAGAAGGGCCGCACAGTAGTTCGAAGAGGGTTTGGGGTGTATATTATGCTGCAGTTGCATTAAGCAGCCCTGGGCGATTCATAGGTAGCTACTCCGGCCCCCTCGAGAAGATATATGCAGATATCTTGATTTAAACCCCCAGTAACTATATAAACCCACCCCACGATGCTGTGATTGCTTTCGGGAGGGACTCCCACGCTGAACGAAGGAAGATATACATCTTAAATTAAAGGGCGGGGCTTAGGGCTTAGGGGACAGGGTGTAAATTCAAGGATCTAAGCCTAAGCTATACTCTTCCAACATGGAATTGGTGCGTCTTAAACCACGAATCACGAAATCAAGGTCGTCAAGATACGGTACGACCGCCTACGGCCATTCCTGCAAGCTTAGAGAGTAGATTCGATCATGACTTCTTTTCTACCCTTATAGATCCCTTTAAAGGAACCCTTATGGATCCCTTTAAAGGAACCCTTCTTGATCCCTTTAAAGGAACCCTTATAGATCCCTTGAATGGTCCAGCGCAAGCTTTGTCCAGTTCTCGTGGTATGAGGCCTCTGAGTTCTGAAGGCGACGGCTCTGTGTCCTGCTTGCATTGGAAGAACGGGTGCCCGAATAGAACATGGGTGGTTATCAAAATTAGGGTCCCTTTTGGGGGTCCTCAATATAATACGGCACCTATTATTTAGGGTACCCAAAAAGGGACCATAATTTTGACAACTACCCACATGGTAGGGGCTTTGATTCAGACGAGTGACGCCTAGTTACAGACCTACCGTTTAAAGTGGGCCCTAACCCCAAAACCTGTGCAGCCAGGGTATCAATGCGTTGAACATCGCCATCTTCTCTTCGTTCGTCTTGCCGAACCCCTTGATAGATACCTGGCGAAGCTCGGGAGCTCCAAAACGCGAGAATTTGGGCCTGCGGTTGTCTACAATCGGTTTAGGGTTCAGGGTTTAGGGTTTTAGGGTTTAGGGTTGTCTACAAGTAGAGAACCTACTCGCTCTATGATCCACACACACACACACACACTTTTAATTAGTTTTATAGTGGGTATATAAGACTACCCCAAAACGTGTAAAGTGTATCCACTCTACTAAGTATAAGCCCAACACCCGAAGATTGAGTCACCCAGCCAAGTATATGCTTTGCCCAGTCTGCGAGGACCCTGAATGGTGGATTCAACGTCTGACATGAAGCCCGCGAAAGCCCTGCAGCACCGACGAGAACAAAAGACGCCACTCAACAAAGCCCAGGACAACCTGAACAGACCCGACAAAACCCAACTCCATCAAGAACTCGGTATCTCAGTTATTCTGCGAATGTCCCTTCATCGCATAGAAGAGCCCAAAATAGGGGCCTTAGTAATTAGAATAGTGTTTTGGGGGAGTTCCTCATTATAACTATATCAGATGAAAGCCCAAACCCTATTCTAATCATTAGGCCCCCTTAGATTATTGGGTTGCCCCATGGCCTTCTCGAAGGATGCACCGAGGTGGCTGAAGAACTTGGTGACCACAGCCTATGGCTTAGAGCCGAGGGCTCACAAGGTTCAGGGCTCCTGGTTACGAGCTTTGGCATCAAAACCTGCAGACTAACTAAGGGATTGCAATTCAAAACAGTTGCTTTGAGTGCCGGAATTGTTGGTTCAGCGCCATTGTGGTGATAGTGGGTTTTGGTACCATGAAGGATTCAGACCACCCCATTGGGTGGACACCATAGTTTCCCATGCTGCTTACCTTTCATTAGTAGGGAATGGAGGAATGGGGTAAAATTATAACTACTATTACTACCATTCTTCCACTCCCTAAATAGAACATGGTTTTGGGGCCCAGCATACTGTAGTCATAATAAGGAACCACCAAAGTAGTCCCTACATTACACCGGACACGGCAACCCCAAACTCTAACACCCTAAATCCGTAAACAAAGCCTTGGACCTTGTGTCAGCTCACCCCGAAAGCACACCGAACTCTAGTGCCTGCTCGGCCGGGAAAGCGCAGCCGGCGAGGTTCAGCTCGCGCAACTTCGTCAACTGACGCGCGGTTCACTTGTTTAAGGGCTTACAGCCTTACAGCAAAGGATTTACAAGGGTTCTGTAGAAGTTCGTAACATGCGATCTTACAGATTGTTGGGTCTAGGATCCTCTAAGCCCTAAACCCTACAGTGTTGAGGAACAGGATTTCGGAATTTAGGGTTCACCTATAGTCTCCTTTGTAATGCCTTTTTTTGGTTTAACCAATTTTTTTTAAGGTTCCTAAAAGGTAACCCCAAAAAGGAACTACAATGGAGACAAAAGGCAGAGCTTGGGGTTTGGGGCTTAGGGATATCCAAAGTCTGGAGCCTTCCGCGGGGCTATGAGCCCTGGCAGTTTTGGCCACGAATCTTTTCGGGTAGTCGGGCTCCTTCAGAGTTCAGGGGTTTAGGGTTGAAGGTTTAGGGTTGAAGGTTTGGGGTTTAAGGTTTAGGGTTGAGGGTTTCGGGTTTAGGGTTGAGGGTTTGGGGCTTAGGAGGGGGTTTAACCCTGTGGGTTTAAAGTTGACAGGTTGAGCATTGAAGCCTTCATGGGGCCTCGGAGGCTGATCTTGAACGACTACATGGGCCTTAATAACTAGAGTAGGGCTCCTTTAAAGGGCTCCTTTACGGGGGCTACTATAAGGGTACGATGATAGGTTTCATTGTAATTAAAACTAAGGAACCCCCAAAAGAGTGTTGGCAATTATTTAGGCCCCTATATTACTGAAACCAGCGACTGTGGGTGTCTAGTTCAGGGTTTACGGGGTATGAGCGTTTAGCATGTAAGGATTTACTCCAAGAGGTGGCTCTTTTGGCAATGCTATAATCTCGGAGTGACAGTCAGACTCCTCGCGGTGGCATCTCCTTCAATCTGTAAGGATTCGGGCTGGTAGGGTGTCGGGCGTCAAATTCGGCGAGGGCAAGAGGTACTTCCGCAGATTTGCTGAATGGGCTCCTTGCAGCATGGCAATCGAAATGGACGACAGTCCCAGCACACCAGACAAGTAATTGGCCCCCACCGCGCCCCTTGGAATTTCCCTTTGTGGGCTTTCGTCATAGATGAATTCCTCCAGACGCAGAACATTGGTCGATCGGCGGAGAGGCATCGAATCCTGCTGCGACTACATGCGCAGCTTCCATGGCACCCATTTTAGTTCGCCCTTCTGCACCAATTTGGCCGTGTATGGCAGGAGACGAGAAGAAGGGAAGTTCTCTGGGTCCAGCACCTCGCCGGAAAACCCGAGTGGAAGGACGTCTGCAGGCTCATGCAGGCTCATGACCGTCTCCCCCGAGCGTTTCAGCGAGAATTGCTCCGACAAACTGGAAGAAAGATGACTTGATGTTGCCTTTGATGAATACGCTCGCCTGCTCATCCTAAAAGGTAGCCCCCAAAAGGAACTACAATGGAGACTATGACTATAGGTAGGGTTCATGATCTAGGGAGGTGGGTGTACCTGCTGATTTGGGAGATTCAGAAAATGGGGGACCCTAATAAGGTACCCTAAACAGTAGGATCCATATTATAAGGACCCCAAAATGATGTACCCCTAATTTTCTGAAACTCCCATTTGCTGAAGATCTTCTCCGACACGACTCGCAAAGGAGCCTCTAAGCTGACAACAAGAGAAACCGTTGAAGAGTCGATGGTGGCTCTTCTGTGCCCTCCAACCCTAATATAAGGCCCAAAATAATAGGACCCTTATCTTAAGGACCCCCAAATAGGGTACCCCTGATTCTCGGAATAAATTCCCAAATGAGGAAGGCATAGCCAGGTCTTAGATTCAGGAAACTCGGGCATGGCTCATGCAAAGTCCATGCCCATGCACAGCATTGCCGTCCTCTTCACTTTGCAATGCAGCTACACGAAGGTTTCCGAAAATAGGGGATCCTAATATAGTTATAGAACCCTATATGGTGGGATCCTTCTGGATCCTTACTATAAGGACCTCAAAATAAGGTAGCCCTCATTTTCGGGAACTCCCTATACCGAAAACCAACGGCTGAAACCGAAAGCTGTCGGCCCAAACTCGCTGGACCGGAAACCTTGAAACGCCTGAGCCGGAGATGCGCGAAATGCCCTAAACCCTAAACCCGAAACCCTAAACCCTATAGACCCTAAACCCGAAACCCTAAACCCAAAACCCTAAACCCAAAACCCGCGCAAAATGCCGTGAGATTTTCAGATTCAAGGTTGAGGGTTTTCAGGGCTTTAGGGTTTAGGGCTTATAGGGTTTAGGGTTTGGGGTTTGGGGTTTAAGGTTTAGGGCTTGGGGTTTAGGGTTGAGGGTTTCGGGTTTAGGCTTTAGGGTTTGGGGTTTAAGGTTTGGGGTTTATAGGGGTTGGGGCCTTAGGGTTTAGGGGTTTAGGATTTGGGGGTTTGCGGCTTTCACTTCCTGTGGTGACTTTCCAACTCGCCTGGCTCGGAGCGGCCTTTTCCAGGACCTTCTCGATATTCGTCCGCGTGTTCATGAGATTCCTGAATCTTTCATCTGGGTTTACGGCTTGAACTCTCGCCAAAGAAATAAATCCCTGATCGCCTAAACTTCCCTAAAGAGGAAAAACACGACACCCTGAATTGCTTAAGCCCCATGCGCTGGAACCTTATGCTTGGTCTGTGTGTGGGAATTAGCGGCTGGTTGACCACTTTATCGTTGGGTTTCTTGGTTCCTGCAATCTGCAACTTGAGACCAGAAAATCCCAAACCCTTAGCTTTCCACATGGAGAATGAGGATAATGAGCGGAAGGCTGGGCCCCAGTAGTTATGATATGTCTTGTATGACTACATTGGGACGAGTACACATCCTCCTGGTCAAAAAACGAGCCAGCCGGAACATCATTTTTGAGCTGCTAACTCTCCGCTGCCTCTGAAGCCTTCAGCAAGAAGAACCTTAGGTGGCCCCTACCACCTTCAGATTTGGGTTTAGGCTTGGGGTTTAGAGGCTTTAAGTTTAGGGCCTAGGGTTCAGGAATAGGGCCCACAGGTTACTTTTGGACAACCTGAAACCCGGTCCTAGTCTACTTGATGGGGTGGGTGGTGGTTATGCTTATTATACCTCCCACTAAGATACTTACAGCCGTCTGTCCCGCTACAGGTCAAGTGGATGCAGTTCGAAATGACCCCTACAATATACCTTGCAGCCTAAACCCTACAGCCGAAACCTTTCAACCCTCAATCGGAACAATAAACCTTTTGGAACGCTCATACCCCAATCTTTGGTTCAAGGGGCAGCACCTCCATCTTCCTCGACTTCCAGATGTTCCCCAGGGGATGAGGATCCTTTGATTGCAGAAGCTGGGCTTGGGCCGGATAAACAAGCCTTGACAATTAGAATAGGGTCTCGGCTTTAGAGATTAGGATTTAGGCTTTAGGCCCAAACCCTAAACCCCTAAACCCTAAACCCCTGAAACCCTAAACCGATACACTTTGAGATTCCCTTACACAGGCATCGACCGGCTCGGGCCTGGGGTTTGTGTTCAGGGCGTTGAGTCTTGAGACGATGGAGCCTCCAGGGCTTATGGTTTAGGGTGTATTGAGGGTTTCGGGTTTATTTAGGGTTTAGGGTTTAGTTGCGACTTAGGGTTTAGGGTTAAGGGCGTAGGGCTTCATGGATTCAGGCATAAATCCGAAACACGACACCCTAGGCCCAAAACCCCCCTAAACCCTGAACCCTAAGCCTTGAAGCCAAACTCCTAAATCGAAAACTTGAAACTTGGCACCCTGAGGCTTCTAAAATGAAGGTTTAGGGCTTTGCGGCTTTGGTGACGGGTTGCTACTTGCAGGCAGGACTTCAAGTGTCTATCTACTTCTTCATTGCAGTTGCAGGTACCAACAAGTATAAGATCGTGCCTACATATGAGTAACCATGACCCTTCAAGTGGCTGTTTGTATTCAGGATACGAGGGTCTATGGCGCAGGACATAAGGTTACACAAAGGGATCACGCGTTGGACTATATGTTAACACCGAACCTTTGGGTCTACACCCTACACCTTAATCATAAACCACTAATACTGAACCCTAAACCCTATATCCCTGAACCCAAAACCCTAAACCCCTGAATCCTAAACCGCTAAACCCCCTAACTAAACCCTAAGCCCTAAACCCCTAGGAACCCTGAGCCCCTCCTAAACTGCTGCCACTAACCTCTAGGTTACCCAGTAACCTAAGAATGAAAAGGCCTCTCTTTTTGGTATTGGGTAGCTTTATAAGGAACCTAGGACTACAAAAAGGGAATAAGGGTACTACTGGGCATCCTAGCCTGAGTATGAAGCTTTGGCTGCTCAGGGTCCAGCTGATTGATCTGGCTGTTCGCCAGATTCCTGGGACGAGGACTTTGGGTTCAGGGTTTTAAAGGGGCCTTAATAGGTAGAACAGGGTTCCTTTAAAGGGGTCGCTAAGGGCTGCTAAAAAGGCATCTATAATAGGGTTCCATAATACAGGAAGCCTTAATAATCAGAATAGGGTTCTGGTGCCCCTTATACTATACTTCTAAGCAGTCACCCTTGGGTAATTATTTAGGCCCCCTTTAGTACCCTAAGGGTCCAAGTAGTCCTTACTTATCGTTTTTGGTACCTAAAAAATGCCCTAAAGTCCTACAATAGCGAGTACTTGGACTCTCTGGGGTAGGGTTTAGGGTTTAGGGGTCTAAATGCAACATGGCTTCATCTTGAGAACTCGGAAAACTTGAGGGCCTTTAGACGACTAGCCCACCTAAGTGCGCTAGGAAGAAAAAGGGTACCCTTTTTGGTTTCAAGGGGCTTATCCGGGAACCTGAACCCTAAGAAAAGGGGAATAAGGGCCTACTCTAGGTCCTAGACGATCTTCGGCGTATAGTGCGGGCTTGACGGGTCCTGTGCTGTATCATGCCGTGTGTTCAACTTGAGGTTTAGTCAGTTTAGGGTTTAGGGTTTAGGTTTGTTTTTTTTTTGTGGGCTCTTTTCCAACTGCTGTACAGCTAGAATTCCTTACCAGGATGAGCCAGGGTTTAGGGTTTCGGGTTCAGGGTTCAGGGTTTAGGGTTTGCAAGTCTTTGGCTTGAGCAGATGCCAAGGTCGCTGGATTGGCGTGGCACGTACGGCTTGGAGTCTAGGGTTTAGGATTCAGGGGTTTGGAGTCTAGGGCTTAGGATTGAGAGGTTTGGAGTCGAGGGTTCAGGATTCAGGGGTCTAGTCTGGTTGCTTCTTAATCGATGGGGCTTGGGGCTTGCAAGCCTCGAGAACTGCCTAAACCCTAAGCTTAGTGGCTGAGCACCCTAGCCCCGAAAAGGCTAACCTTTTCAGTTATGGTAGAATTATATAAACCCCACAAGGTTAAAGGTTACCTACTCAGCTCCCTAAACCCTAAACCCCACTATATAAGCAAAAAAAGGAGCCATGGGTCAAGTGCTCGAGCTTCGCGCATGTCGCAATCGCATCGAAGACTTGCGGCGCGCTATCTGCGAGGTGTAAGAAGGTTTGAAGTACAAGGCTTGGGATTAGGACTTGGGGTTCTGTTTGGGGTTTGCGGATTGAGGGCTCAGGGTTTAGAGTTTCCTTGATGCGTTGTTGAGTCCGGAAGAAAAGTAATCCGGAGCAGTCGGGGACTAATGCAGAGTCTTCACATTCTTCGGTTGAGAGATTCGACATCCCGGAAACTGGTCTCTAAACCCTAAACTACTATTACTACTATTACCACTATTACTACTATTGCTACTATTACTACTATTACTACTATTACTACTATTACTACTATTACTACTATTACTACTACTACTACTACTACTACTACTACTACTACTACTACTACTACTACTACTACTACTACTACTACTACTACTACTACTACTACTACTACTCACAGCATTAAATTCCCAAACCAAATCACTCGAATCACTCCTAGACCCTGCTTACAGCCCACCCTTTTGTGGCTTCTGGCCGTTATGGTTGTGGGCCCTATGTAAAGATGGTAGGTAGGTTTAGTAGAACCCTAAACCCCATAGATCCCTTCAAAAGGACCCTTATAGATCCCTTTAAAAGGAACCCCCATAGATCATAGATCCCTTTAAAGGGAACCCTAACGTTGCAAACCTTCATCCTCTGCTCAAAATGTGTAGCCACCCTTCCCTAAAAACCCTTCGACTCTGGGCCCTTAAGACAACATTCACGGAACGTTTAGGGTTTAGGGTTTAGGGTTTAAGTTTAGGGTTTAGGGTCTAGGGTTTAGGGTTTAAGTTTAGGGTTTAGGGCTTAGGGTTTAGGGTTTAAGTTTAGGGTTTAGGGTTTAGGGTTTAGGGTTTAAGTTCAGGGTTTAGGGTTTAGGGTTTAGGGTTTAAGTTTAGGGTTTAGGGTTTAGGGTTGCTTCCTGTCTCCACTGCAACGACCCGACAGGCAGTGCAAGCTGGAACCCTACCCCCTAAATCCATGTCATTGAGCCCAGGAGCCTAAACCCTCAACCGTCGCTCCTAATCCCAGGTCATTTTGCTCCAGAGCTTCGAGACTGGTCACCCAGGTTTAGGGTTTTGTGGTTTCAGGCTTAGGATATCTCAAAGATGGAAGCCTTTTTCAGCTACATGCTTCCATAGCAGTCCATGACGACAAGAACCCGCAAGCGGAAGATTCAGACTCTGTCTCAAAGCCCCAAACCCTTCCGCTGCTAAACCTGGGCCATTGAGCTTAGGGTTTAGGGTCAGGAGTACGTATAATTATTATGGCTGTCTGACTTGACAGTTGTACCTTCAGCTACCCTTCTTAGCGTGCATACTCAGCTAAGTAGATGCTGCGTGCAGATCCACAGCGCGCATTTGTTTCTTAGAGGCAAACGTCAGTCTCGAAAAAACGCGGTAAGGTTTAGGGTTTGCCAACCCCCACCCATAGGCCCGATTTAGTAGCTCCTTTTTTGATACCTTATAGGATTCTACATATGAACTTAAAAAAGGAACTGCTTTGGGACCTATAGGTAAAGCCTCAACCCTAGGATTCCAGCCAAAGCTCTAGTGTGGAGCTCGCAGTCGGCAAGAATCAGCTTCCGCATACCACCTCTCACTGGGTTTAGGAGTCGTGGGACCCTTGGGGTGGTAGAGGGTTTAGGGTTTAGGGTTTAGGTAGAGGGGGGGGGGGTAGGGGAATACTTCCTTGAATAAGCCTTCTTAGGTTCTTATTGCCCCTGACCCCCCTACCCCCCCTAAGGGTCCTTATGCAAGTACGACTTGAAGTGGGCCCAACCCTAAACCCTGAACCATGAAACCCTACGCCCGAAACTCTCATCCCCAAACCCGAAACTCTCATCCCCAAACCCGAAACTCTCATCCCCAAACCAGCAAGCCCAAGGACCCTCGAGCAAAACTTCTGAACCGACGGCGAGTCCCAGTAGTTAGGGTCTGCGAAGACTAGTGTAATGAATGGCTTTGTAAGTCTCATTTTGGACATATCCCCACCCACCCAGAATCCTTCGCATTAGCGATGTTGTTTCAACATTTAGTTTGAATCCACTTGAATATTATGTATCGTTCGATACTCCTCCCCATCCCAGTGGTCTTTTGCTACACAATATTTTGTTCGTTGCTTCTTTACCCTTCGTTTGTTGCTATCACCTTCGGTAGTTTTCAACCTATGCCACACCCCAACTATTGCTTCAGTTGTTGCAAACAAAATTATCGCAACGTCAGCGTTCGACACATCTCGGTGCTGACTGCACTGAGATGTCAGACTCAATCGGTGTAGTCTATCCATGCTTCTCCGCTCTGGGCGCTGTGTGCGATGCTTTTCATTCATGTAGCCTCTCATCAGAAAGACACCTTTGACGAAATCGTTTCATGCATAAGAATATGAAACAGTCAGACATTCCACAACAGGCACATGATTTTAGGGCGTGAATGGCAGAACCAAATCTTACGGCATGCTCTTCGCTCGAGGCCATGCCGATACTGCTCTGAACAAAAAACATGATTCCATCGCACATACAGGGACCCAAAACCCTAAACCCTAAAGACCTCACCGCTCCCACCTGGAACAGCCTTGATGAGGGAGGCCAGGCGGTCTTTGTTCTGATAGAGGTTGGTCCCTCAGAACACTTAGGCTTGACTATGGTTTTACTATACTGTAGTTAGAACCCTAGCAAAAATTAAAATTTTAGCTGTTTCTTAGGGATTCTAATAACCCAAAATAAAAAATCAATTCTCTAAGTACCCCTAAGTTAGGCTTGACTACTTTTTTAATTAGGATATTGGAGTTGAGGCATTCAAGGGCCTGGGATTTACTGGGTTAGGTTCTCTTGAGGCAGCTTAAGTTACCATGGTACGAAACCTGTACCATATTCTAAATACGCCGTTCTGGTAATCTAAATTCAGTTTCAAGAACTCACTCAACTTTTTCAGCAAGGCAGACATCAGGGATCTTGTTTTCGCGGATTTTGGGCGTAGTGAGTCTGAAGATTCTCCAAGCCCTAAACCCTAAACATCCCTAAACCCAAACCCCTAAACCTTACCTCCCAAACCCCTTCACCGTGGCTCTCTGAAGGGTGTTGAGATCTTCAGTGTCCGGTGCCACAGCTGCAAGGATTTCGGGCTTGTTGTGCAGAAGGTGAACAGGTCAGTGATTTGGGGTTTAGAGTTTGGGGTTACGGCCGTGGGTTGGCGTAGAACCTTTGCGGCTTAGGGTTTAGGGTTAGCAATGTAGGGTTGAGGGTTAGGGTTCTTTTGAAAGGAGTAACAGAGCCCCGGAACCCAGAAATACTCAACAGGCTGCATCCTTCCTTGCTCCTTGGTGTAGGGACAAACCCCTAAAGCCTGAAACCAAATAGCCGAAGCCCCTAAACTCAACAAGAAAGCACTAAAAACCCAAACAACCCTAAACCCTCAACACAGCAAGGCTTCGACTTTGAAACGGAAACCGTCGTTGGAAGTCCTAGCTGTGCAGAAAGCAGACTCCACCCCCGAAGCCTTGTCAAGCTGGAATATTTTATTTTTTTTTTTTGAGGGGGGGGGGGGTTGCGGATTTAGGGTTTAGGGCTCGCTTCAAGAAAGAACGCTTCTGAATAATGTTGGTATTGCGCAGGCTGCTAACGTAAGCTACTACCGTTCTGCCGAGCAAACCCTCAAGTGCACCCTAGCCGGCCCTGGCCTTGCCTGAAAGGTCCAAATGCGCGGTGGCGCATCTGCCCGAAGGCGTGCAAAGCGCGTCGAAGAGCGCCTTGATCCTGGACTGGGGCGGTCTGGGCTGACTCCTGCAAACCTGAATCAGACATCTTGCAGAGCTAACTATTGGTGGGGGGGGTGTCGAGTATAGTTATATACTGATACTATTCCCTACCTTTCCTATGATAACATGTAGACCCCACCGTGACTCTGGTAGAACTCTTTAGGCCTCATTATGAGCCCGCCAAAACCAGTCTACACCCTGTACAACCCGATCAAGACCCCAAACAAAACCTAGAGCTTTATGAAAGCATTCAGGCTCTGATAGCATCCAAAGCCCTACCTTGAGGACGTGTTGGACCTTAAAGCGCCCCCACCCTTCCCAAACAGACCTTAAACATGAGTCTTCAAAGCTTTAAGGCACATTTGGATTTTTTAAGGTCCATTTGGGCGTTGTTCAGCAACATGGCAAAACCAGGATGAAGAGCATCATTGAGCATTGTTTGAGCATTCGAGCCAAGAAAATAGGCCAAGTATCATGAAGCATCGGCATGAGCCATACATCGAGCAAAGAACAAACCAACAAATAGCAACATACTTATGCACATGTTTTTCATACGGAAGCATCCCGTGTAGCACAGAAAACATCCCTTTGACCCAGAGAGCCAAGCAAGCAACCCAAATGAGGGTTTAGGGATGTTTACGGCAATGCCCTATTTACACTAAGTATAACCCCTGATCAGGAATTACTTATGCAGGTTGCTTCTTCTGATCGTTAGAAAGTCGTATGACGACACTGCAGTACTGGTCGGGTTTTGTTTCCAAGATACACATGCACACATCTACATATATACACATATAACTAAACATCTACACATACAGTACATACACTGTTTACACACACTTGTTCTGATCACTATTACAACACATACCTGTATTTACATATATGTGTGTGGTGTGTATGTATGCATGCACGTATGCACGCACCTACCTATGTAGGTAGGTATGTACGTATGTATGTTGCAAGAGAAAACATCATGCAGCAACATCGCGTTGAGCCGTTGGGCCAACAAAACAACATAAGTTTGATCCAGCTGAGCCAACAAAAGCAACTGTTAAGTCGACAAACGCATAATATGGGGGGATAAAGGCGGTTGGGGGTCGGGGGTTGCCCTCTGTTATAATCCTTGATGAGTTAGCTACTGTAGGGTTACGGAGATGTTTGGTCAAGCAGGTTGTTCATTTTCTGAGGTTTAGGGTAGGTGGGGATACAGACACCAATTTATGGAATGCTCTCTTGGCGTTATAAGATATAATGCTCTGCATGCAGCCTGTATTGTTTGAACTTGGGGTGAGTGAAGACTTCTGCAAGGAAAATATATAGGGGCCCACCTTGGCCTTTTAAGCTATGGTTCTGCAACTCTACAGGTATCAACGGGATATCCGGTAGGTTGTTCCGCAGGTAGCTTACTGTCTGAAACAAGTATCTCGGAGCACGGAAACCATGTTTAGTCCGAAAAGCTTTTGCTTCTGAAGCTTACAAATTTCTGTTTGCCAAGATGTCCAATGAATTTTCCAATGAATGTTGAATCATTTCAGCTTGTGCAATGCTAATAATTTTGAAAGATTGATCCTCTCAACGTTCACACCATTAAATACCCGAAACTAAGGTCCCATGCCCTCATCAGCTTCATTTCAAGCAGCTTTGTCTGAAAATGCGCTAAGACAAAGCTAGGACAAGTATTTTTGGGGGCTTCGGCTTTTAAAGCTGTTGGTATTCTTGGATAAGTGATAGGAGGGTTTGGCGATTCAAAGCTTTAATTGGTCAATTCGAACCATTTTTTGTCTGCGCTGCTGGCTTGAGGCAGTGATCCATGTCAGACTTCGATGGTTGTATCAATCACATCGCAGGAAATGGCGTCGACAGTGCTATGAGGTGTAAAAAAGCCTCCAAACCACGTGCAACCTTCAATCGTGAAACAGGACCCTTGAAATAATCCACCTGCTTTTCGAGATTTGAAATTCGTCGATCCTGTGAGTAGACTGGGAGTCGTCCTCAAAACGTGTTTCCGTGTATTTCATGATGCAAAAATGTTGTGAATGCAGCATTCACACTTTTCACGGTGTTTATGGTCCATTTGGGGTTGTTTTAAGGTCCTTTTCACGCTTTTTCACGCGGGCAGTCCGCGTGAGCCGAGACGCGCTGAGTTTTCTGCTCCAAAAACATTGCTGAGCAAATTTGCGTAGCAGGGCACACGCAGAGCGTGAAATTTCACGGCACGCGCCGTGAAATCGTGAAATTCAGAACTGTCTGGCAACACATAAAAAAAAGCAGCCCCGTGAAATTCTATGACACATGACAACCGTGAATTCACACATGGCAAGTTGGAAAACGATCATTTTGTGGCACTGTCTTAAGGATTTTACTGGCCGTTTTCATGTTTTTCAGGTGGGCAGTCCGCGTGCAACGTGTGAACTGCAGGCACACACTACCCAAGATGCTAAGTTTTTCTGAACAAACAGCATCGAACAAATTTACTTCGAGATGCCAGCTACAGCAGCTATGAAGCCACCGGCAGGGCGTGCAAATACACGGAACCCACCGTGAAAAAAAGTGCCAAATCGTGAAACTCGGCCAAGACTGCCCCGTGAAAAACGTGATTTCACGCGTTGCCGGTTGGAGAGCTACAAGCGAACGATCCATTATTTGGGGATTTTGAGGTCCTCTGCACGTTTTGGCCGGGCGGCCGGTCTGCGTGAAACTTGTGAATTTACTGCTCACCACCAATATTGAAAAATGTTAAGATTTCTGCTGCAAAGGATTGAGAAGAGTTCCTTATGATAGAGATGCCAGCACTGAAGCACACAAGCAGGGCGTGAAAATTCACAGCATGCGCCGTGAACAAGCGTGCCAACATGTGAAACTCAGAACTGTCTAGTTTTCAACATAAAGACGGTGATTCGTGAAATTCTGTGGACTTGGTTTTATAGGTTGCAGGGCAACTATAGTCTAGGTTTCCGCTTGTGCCTTCCATTCCAAGGTCTGGCGCATACACACACTTCAACACATCTATAATTTTAAAGCACTGCGAGCTCAACATCGCTCATCAAGAGCAACAACAAGATGAACACGAGTACTTCCAAGAACTGCTGCGGAAAGATGAACTAATGCATCGAGAACGAAACTGCTAGTACAGCTGCTGCTGTTGCTGCTGCTGCTCCTCCTCCTCCTCCTCCTACTACTACTACTGCTGCTGCTGCTGCCGCTGCTGCTGCTACTAGTGCGACTAGTATACTATTACTACGACGACGACTATACTACTACTACTACTACTAGTACTACTGCTAGTACTAGTGTTAATGCTAGTGCTAGTCCTAGTCCTCGTCTTAGTCCGAGTCGTCCTAGTCTTAGTCCTAGTCCCACTGCTACTCCTACTCCTGCTCCCACTCCTACTCCTCCTACTACTACTACTACTGCTACTACTACTAGTGCTATGCTGCTACTACTACGACTGCTACGACGACGACTACTACTATGTGCCCGAGACCAAAAGCCAAGTGTTCTCCTGTTTGCGTTACCAGTACTATGCACAACTCACCAAAAATCGACACATATAGCTATAGAGCTCAGGAAAACGCATAGGTCGGGGTTTCCGCCGGGCAGAAAGTAAGCTGTTGTGTGATGCTGCAGGGGGTTGGGGTTTACGGTTTTAGTGGATCTGTTGTGTTTTTCGACATTTGCGCAGGACCATCAACACACGATCACAATTCTGTTCGAAACCCATTTACAGCGTGCAACCTTCCAGACGTGCTTGTTTTTAAGGTCCATTTGAAATGGGCCTTAAAATAAGGCACATTTCTAAACGCACACGTACCTTATTTTAAGGCTCATGTCGTCCTCAAGGTAAACCCTGAACACCTAAACCCTGAAACCCTAAACCCTGAACCCTGAACACCCAAACCCAAAGCCCCTAAACCGTAACCCCTGAACACCCAAACCCAAAGCCCCTAAAGCCGAAACCCTAAACCACGTAGATCCCTTTAAAGAAACCCTTGTAGCCAGACCCTCCATCTACCCTCTATTAGACCCTAAATGCCCATTATTTGGGGCCATATACCTCTATTTAAGGGTACAAGGAGGGTGCTGGTAGTTTCAAGAAGGACCTAAACCATATAGATCCCTTTAAAGGAACCCTTGTAGCCTTAAAAAGGACCCCCTTTCTCTGAGTTGCTCTTCAGGTTCCAGGCAGCACCAAGCAAGGTCGAGCTTGAGCAGGTTTCCTCGTCCTGGGGGGGGGGGGGCTTATAGGGTATATAGGGCTCATGGAACCCTAAACCCTAAACCCTAAACCCTAAACCCTCATGGGGTGTAAAGGGCTTACAGGGTTGATTGGGCTTGTAGGGTTTAGGGTTTTGAAGCAGGAACTGGATTAGTGAGTGTCCAACCACACAAACGAGCGCACTTTTTGGTCTGAGCCCAAGACGTCTGTCGTACAGGGTGCGTTCAGATCTAACTCAAAAGACTACGCTCGCATGAGGACATGTCAACACGGCACTTCAAGACAGGGAAATTTCACACCCGTCTTATCTGTAGTGTGACGTCCGAATCATGCTCGAATTATGGCCGCTTTGGGCCAAGCCTACTTCACCGGATTATACCGGGAGCTTGCGCAGTCAACCGAGCCGAGTGCGGCGACTCAAGGCTCCAGGCTGAGTTCTTCAATCGCGAAGCGGAGTGCTTTCGGTGCTCTCGGTATTCTGTGCGGCTTGCGCGGGCACATCGAGCACCTGAACGAGATTGCGATCAATGCTGTGATTGATCAAAAGCGGTTTCATACTCTTAGTCAAACAATCCGCAAGTTGTAAATGCGTCGGTATCCATCTCAACTCATCGCCGTAAGGATGGTACAAGGCGTGCGTTAGCTCGTCCTCTTCCCAGAGTCCTTGGCGGAGTCCAGACATCTCTATGGCAAGGCGTTTATCCTCGCAAGACTTTGGAATCGACGCAGTCAAGTGATCCGAAAGGGACCTGCAGTCCGTATACTGCAGGTGGAACATCGATCTCTTGGCGACTTCTTCCCAGTTCTGTGACCGGGGCAGTTTGCCGAGCAGTTCGAGTACTGCTGCTCGAATGCGGTCTCCATGCTCTATGGCATGTTGCAACGAGTAAGCCTCACACTGGAGTGTGGCGCGACAAACCCGTTTCATGGTGGACGAGGAGAACGAAATGAGGTGCATCTCATGCGTTGGCGCGTTCTTGTCCACCGCCGACTGTGCGGAAGTGAGGTAGTGGAAACGGCCTCTCTGCGACTTATGGTTCGCCTCTCCTGCAAAGGAGGCGTCGCAAAACGTGACAACCGCCAGCTCCCCTGTATTCCAGGGTAACTTAGCGCTGTACGTGATCGGCCTATCCGCATCTCCTAACGCCAGTGCTACTACGCGGTTTGCTTCACGGAGCGTATCCACCGTGGCTGTCGTAACACGCTGCTGCAGGGCATTCACCCTATAGGCAAGATCAGGTCTCGTGGCGCGGGCCACCCAAGCCAGCGATCCTATGACGGATCTCAGCGCTGTGCGCTGGCCATTCGAGACTGGAGTCGTGCCCTTTTCAGACTTATGTATATCGATCGGGCGAATTGCACGCGTGTTATCCCTACAGTTTATACTGATGGTCCCATCGGCGCTTTGCACATACTCGCGTCCGCAGAAACGGAACTTCTCAGTCTCTATGCGACCGATCTTAAACTTATCCAGCAGATTCTGGATAGCCGGCTCGCCTTCGGCGGTAGCAGCCCACAGGAAATCATCCACGTGGGTGCACAAGCAAGCGCACAAACGACCACCTTCTCCTGTAATATAGTACAGGGCTGACAGAATTTGCGAGGCATTTAAGCCAAATTCTCGGGCGCTCTCCTTTATACGGAGGTAAAGGTTCCGACCCGCGTCGGTCGTGCCATACACGGGTACTCGGGCAATCATATGCCCGGCTCGCTGAATCTCTGCATCGGGCACACCCTTAGGGTGTTTAGGAACCCGAAGAATGAGGAGGCGCTCAAGGGGTTTCCCTTGGAAGTATGCGTTCGTTATATCGGCTGCTTTGAGCCGCAGGGCCAACGAAACCGCCCATGAACACAGAAGGGCTATACCTTCCGGCTCGGCCGTGGGGCTGTCTGCCCTGATATCCTCCTCATTCGAGATATGCTCGAAGTTTCCACATGCGACCAAGCGTGCTTTCCACTTGGGAGTGTATGCTGGCGTCCCCTTTAGGTGTTCATTCTTATCGGTGAGGACCCATTTGGTGGGGATACACACGTGGCCAGCCTTTGTAAGCTCCTTAAACTCCTTGTCTGTGCAAGGGACCACTGCGTTGAATTCAGTGTACTTCTGCCATTCAGTTTTCATGGCAGCATCCAGCCCCAGCTGTACCTCTACAGGGGCTTTATGGTAATCCAGGAGCGAGGCCATGTAGCCAGCATCGACATTAGAGCCGATGGCGTCTTCCCCATCTGGGGTGAGAGCAAAGGCCTTGGATTCCGCCGCTCGACTATCCGAGGGCTCAGCTGCTGGCACTGTCGTGCCAATCGCAGCTGTGTGCGATGCTGCTGCCAGTCCGTCGTCTTCCTCAGGAATGTAGTGACACGGATGGGCTTCTGGCAGTCCGTTAGCACGTATGTGCTCGGCAAGTTTCGAATGTTCGAGCCATATGTGCTGGGCGATATTTCGCCGATGGCATCGCCGCCAACTGGCCTCCGAACACAATAGAAGTATTCGGTGAAAGTCATCGTGGGCCTCGCTAACTATTCTAGCGATCGTACAGAGCCCTTGGTCTGTTTGCAAATTGGCTTCAATCCCGCCCCGATTCCTGTTGCCTAACTCGGGGGCGTGACTGTACACAACCCCTTTTGCAAAGCATGTGGCGGAAAGCTCATCACAATTGTATTGTGGATGCCGAACGCTGTACGGATGACTTCTGCAATCTACGATTTCCTTAATCCCGTACTCGTGGATGCGCTCTAGGAACGTCTCGATGGGAAGATCAGAGTGACCCATGGTGTATATCCCATCGCCTTTCCTGCCAAAGGTGTTGGGCGCATCCCTATATATGGGGTAGCCTAAGTCCGACAAAAGCTGTATGTCATCTTTAGACAACTTACCGAGATCACTCACCGTGTATGCGGAGAGACTGTATCTTTCTCCTACAAACGGTGCGACCATGTGCACGTCCTTCGGGCGAAACTTAAGAACCTTGTTCTTAGTATCATGGACGGTGCCATACATTGTCGTGTTTTGAACACGCACGGGGGTTGTACCCGTGGCTTCTTCCACCCATAGGCCGCCTCCACGATACTCGCCCACACCTATAGTGTAGTTATACGAGCCAGGAGTGTTCGCTAGGTCTCTATGGGCCTCTGCGCCTCTGTTGGTAAGCTGAACGCTACTCCACTGTGGGAGATGATGACCGGCTTGCATACTGTGATGCAAGATGTAGTGGTTGAGGTACATGGCGAACGACGGTCTCTCGCGCGTTGGTCCAGAGACACCAACAAGACCACCGTGCCGATATACTCCCACCGCGAGGGCTATGCTCCCGGGATCTCCATCATCTAGGAGCGGGCGCGTGTACGCCTCGCGTCGGTCGCGGTCATAGGCACGAAGGAGGGCCAGACACTCATCTGGGGAAAAACCCTGAGTATCTATCAGGCCTTTTGCCATGATCTCTACCTGATCAAACTCTTCCGCAACTAGTGCATCATCACGGCCTCCTACTGGCGATCGCGACCGGGCGGTTTCGCCCGTCTTATCTTTGGCGCGAAACCTTGCAGGTGTAGATGGCGCTGGCATCGGTGTGCCGGGCATCATCGCTGGCGTCGATGGTGCTGGCATAGGCACATCGTGCGCGACTGCCGGTGTAAGCGGG